ATCTTGTTTAAAGGTTCATTATAGTTGTTGGTCAAGAATGGACTAAATCCAGATTTGAAGATTCAGAAACTTCACCATACAAGAGCCACACAAGACAAACCAAATGTATGCAAATGTGGATCATATTTGGTTCTTGAGCCAAATAAACCACTATAAAAAGAAGTTTTGAAAAAACTGGGGAAATAATTATGAACTCAATATCAAGTGATGGTGAAAATGATTACTTTTGTTAACCGTGTGATTACATTGTGCTATTTAAGAAGATGTATAGTCTTGCACACTGACCTTTTTTTTTTTTTAATGTGATGCACTTAAATATGTTAGAGTAAAATGACATGATGTTTGGGATAGATGAAGAAAATATTGATAACTGTCATGTCTAGATGGTGAATAAATGGATATTACTCATTCTCTTATATGTGTATTTTTGTATTACGAAAAAATGTCATAGTAAAACTTGTTTTGGTCAGGACAGAGGTTTGAACTTGCCTTCACCCTTGCTAGGCAGGCTCTCTACCACTTGAGCCACATCCCCACTCTTATTTTTAGCTTTAGTTATTTTTCAGGTAGAGTCTGGTGGTTTTGCCTCCGTCATCCTACCTCCGCCTCCCATGTGGCTGGGACCACAAGGTACACCACTCTTCCTAGCTTCTTGGTTGTAATGGGGTCTCACTAACTTTGTGCTTTGGCTGGTCTTGAACTGCACCACCTTGCACAGCTGCATAGTAAAACATTTCTTAAGAATAGAGAATGGGTACAAATGGATCAGTAGGAGGCCGTTGCTGCAGACCAGGTGAGGAAACAATGAAGTTGTGGTAGAGATAGTAAAAAGGGAGCAGATTCAGAATATGTCCTGTTAAAAAAATCAGTGACACATCCTTTTGCTGATCTTATTCATAACAGGCAGCATCCAAAAGCTGTCAGTGGTTTCTTTCAATGCTAGAGCATAAGATATTAACTCACTGTCTCTAAGAAGATAGAATAATAGTAGCTTTATTTTCTTCATTATGTTCTTTTTTCAGATTCCCAAGAGAGACCATGTATTATTTTATAATCAGAAAAAAACTGAAAATTAAAATTTGGTGAGGGGGACAGGCATGGTGGAGTACACCTGAAATCCCAGCTCCTCAAAGAATTGCAGTTGGAGGTCAGCCCACGCACAGGGTTAGCAAGACCTCATCTCAACAAACATGGTGGCTTACTTCTGTCATCCCACCTGTGTGGGAGGCTGTAGGTAGGAGGATCATGGTCTGAGGATGGCTCTGGGCAAAAATGTAAGACCCTATCTAAAAAATAACTGAAACAAAAAGGGCTGGGGGCATAGCTCATGTGGTAGAGTGCCTGCCTAACAAGTGCGAGGCCCTTCATACCCCAGGACTAGTAAAAAAATAAAAATAAAAAGGTAGATGATAGAAATACAGTTAGAATGATGTAAAGAGATGAATGTAAAGAATACCCTGCCTAACTACCTCCAAATAAGTGCCTTCAAGCAGTTACAGCATATTGGTTGATAAGGCTCAGCTGGGTGACTCTGCTGCTACAGTGAGGGTGAGTGAGGTCACACCTGCAGCTTCTTTCAGCTGGGAGCTTGGCTGGGCTGTAACGTGGAAGATGGCCTTTCATCTTTCAGGGCCTCCCTCTGCTGGGCCTTGCTACACAGTAATCTAGGCTGAACCTGGGGCATCACAGAACCAGTTTCAGGGAAGAGCTCTTGGGGAGGATGAGTGTCTTCATGTGCATCCTGCTTTCTCATGTGCAGAAAGGTCATATGACCAAGTCCAGAGTCAGGGTGGGTGGAAACAAAACAGGCGTGAGGTGCCACCAGTGTGTCAGTTTCATACTCCAGGTACTTAGAATTCTGGCCGGAAAGACTGCAGAGCAGCCAAAGCCTGGGGCCTCCTGTCTGATGTGGCTAACACGAATGTGGTACGTCCCTGCTCGGGACTCTTCTGCGGCTCTTCTCCACCTTCTGAGCTCACTTGCTTACGTCCTGCTTCTGCAGGGCTTATGTTCTGAGAGGGCCGCCCGTACGTGCTCAAAATGCTGCATTTAGCAGGTTAGATTCAGTGACAATTGTATTGCTATCTTATGCTTTAGCTCCTTCCTAAAGATACGGTCAGTGCAGTAATGGCCGCACTCCAACTCGTCCCCTTCTCCCTGCCAGTTTATCATTCCTTCAAATTATGACCCAGGTGAGTAAACTACCCTTCACTCACTTGGCTTGAAAGAACTCAGTACTAAGCTGCCTTGTCGGAAGCAGCTCAGAAACTTTGTTTTCAGGGGCTTATATCAGAGTGTGGGAGTTAGGCCAGAGGAAAGTAAACACGAAGGAAATAATTCCAGCCAGTGATAAACACTGGAGACAAAAAGAAAAGAGGTCATGTGATAGAGACCGAGTGGGGGAAAAGGGAGCCCCCTGGTTTGGTGGCTGGTGAGCCCTTTCCAAAGTGGCATCTGAGCTGAGACCTGACAGACGGTTTGCTTAGAATTGAAGGGCCCTCAGGATGTGGACCCCTCACGGCAAACTGAGATGGGTGGGTAGTTCAAGAGCGAACAGCAAGCAACAGGCCTTGAGCTAGGAGGAGCCAGAGGCCAGGGGCGCTGACGTGACGAGAGAGGGCTGAGGTGAGGCAGCAGAGGCTGAGGAGGTTGGTGGACACGGCCTCCATGTTTGGTATCAGGACTATAGGTTTGATTGTAAGTGGTGGAAAGTCACTGCAGGTTTAACACGACAGGAAGGGGGAATCCATTTACATTTTAAAGTGATTGCTGGCTGATGTGTGGAGAGGAAACCATAGGGGCACCAGGTGTAGGTGGGAGCCTAGACAGCCCAGTGCCCTGGCTTGAGATAATGGTGGCTTGGACCAGAGTGGTGGCCAAGAGGGAAGCCCCTTGTCACTACTAACACTGTGCTGTTGCCACTCCTAGCTCTTCCCCTTCTTCAGTCAGTAGATTTTTACCTCCCAAGTGCCGCACTGCTAAATGGAGTTCCCAGCAGGATTACTACCTATGCCCTCAACCCCAGTCTCCTTGCTTCTCACCTGTGCTTTGTCATCTTTTCTTCAGCATTTGCAAGGTACTCGAACATAGAAATATAATTTGTTTTTCATACTGTCCATTGATTTTCTCATAGGGTCAGATAGGTAGTGCTTTTGAATGCCAGGCTTGAAGAGATTGATTTTTATCTTGGATGGTTTTTGGGGTTATATTTAGAGTTGTGCAACATAAATGCTATGACTGCTAAAGGTTGGTCTAACAGGAGGGTGGAGTAAAATAATGCAGAAAGTAGATGAGTGGATGTTGAGGGGACATTGCTCAAATGATAGAGTGCTTGCCTAGCAAGTGCAAGGACCCAAGTTCAAACCCAGTACCAGAGAGAGAGAGAAAGAGAAAGAAGGAAGAAAAGATACAAAGTGGATGTGTTTAATTTTAGAGGACAAGAGGCCATTCAAGTAGATATGTCAGTGGGGAGGCTGGGGGTAGTGAAACAGGTGGTACTAGATCTGAGAAGCCAAGTGGATTTGAGGAAGGGCCTGGATCTATGTACTCAGGAAGGCATCAAATACTGGCAGTGTTATGGTGAACAAGGTTGGCAAGCTCTCTGCTCTTGGGCAGCTGCTATTCAGTTGGGGTAGGGGCAGGAGAAAGGCAAACCATGAATGAGTGAATGAAGTTATTTCAGAAACTGATGAGCTTGGTAATCAGGGATCTTTCCTAGCTGTGCTTCTGATGGTCTCACCTTCCTTTACCTCTTTTCTGTACCAGAGTGGCCCTTTGGACTCCTGCTTTGCTCTGGGTGCTTCTGAAGACTTGCCACTTGGTACCCTGGTTCCCACTTGTCTCGTTGCCCTGCAGAGGCCAGTCTTGGGTGGGATGAGTTTCTGAGGCCCTTCCAGATCCAGGGGCCTTGGTCTCCAAGGGCACCTGAAATGGAGTTGAGACATATGATCATGAGTGAAAGTGGGAGGAAGGGATGGCATTTTAATGGGACACCAGGTTTTGCTAAAGATCACTGAAATCTGTGAATAATTGAAAACAAAGAAGGAAATGAGTAGAGACACTAGAAGGAGCAGAGGGAGCCCAGGACGTGAGGCAGAAGTAGAGGGTGAGACACTTCCTCCTGGGCAGCAAGATCAGGGAAGGCCTTGTGATCTGGGTTAAAGATTCTTGAGATGGAAGAGAATTAATAGTGAGAAGCTTATGGGAAGTGGCCTGAGTCATCTTAGCAGTAAGGAAAGCTGTGGAAAAAGAAAAAAAAAAGGCAGGTGGTCTGCGGGAAGTCAGCTTCACATTGTGAAGGGATTTTTGGCATCACCACCCCCGAGAGCATGCACAGAATAATCAGTGGTGAGTGAGAGAAGTGCCAGGTCCAGCAAAGGTGTAGTTGAGGTTGTATACTTTTAGCTGAGTCTGCCTTGTTCCAGGATTGCTCTGCCAGTGCCCGAGCACTGGAGTCAGCATTAACTGCTGTTCAAAGAGAGTTTGGTATTAGCCAGAAATTACATTTCAAGATGTTAGCCTCATGTTGTCCTTAGCAGTAAACCAAGACTGATTGATTTGTTTCCTCTCTCTCACTTGTACCTGTCAGAGGCTCATAATTAGTGAGTGCTGCCTATGGAATTCAGTGTAAGACTTGCTTTTTCTCTTCTTCAATACCAGAGATTGAACGCAGGGCCTCGTGCTTGCCTAGGCAGGCACTTTGCTACTTGAACCACCCCTGCATCCCCAGTATAAGGAATTTTCATGATCAACTTTTTGTAGAACCTATTAAACTTGGTTGATAACATTTCAGATCTGGGCTATTATGAAAAACAACATCTCTCAAACTCAGCATAGCCTTGCTTTGCCTGCGGTAGTCTCTGCAGAGCACATAAAAGTTGAGGGATGCAGTTTTGGAAATGTTTTGAAGCAACTAAGTCACAATAATAGTGATCAAGTAGAAATTTGCTAAGTAAATGGAGCAGATAACATTTCAGAGCCTGTTTTTCTCTAAACATTAGGTTGAAAATGGGGTATTTGTAGCCAGCCCGCTTCAGGAACGCACCATTCTCATGAGAAAAGAGGGCGAGTCTGCTAAAAGCATCAATGAGATGCTTCTGAGTAGACTCTCTCGGTACAGAGCTTCCCCATCAGCGACACTTGCTGCCCTGACTGGCTCCACCATCTCCAACACCCTGAAAGAGGACCAGGCAGGTAGGTTGTTCTGCGCCTCCCAGGGCTGTTTCCTTGGATACCTGTGTTCAGCCACTTTTTATTAAGCACTTACTCTGCTGCACAAAGTGCTTTGTGAAAAGCTCACTTTTTTGATCTTCCAGACACTGTCCAGTTTTTTTTTTCCAAGTTAACACCTGTTGTGGGCCATGAAAATGAATTCGTATGAGTCTAATAATTCAAGGTAGCTCTTCTTTACTTGTGCATGTCTTATTATCATTACTGTTAGTGTATGTTAACCGACTTTATGTTTAGCTTCACAAATGTGCAAAGCTGCTATTTAGCATATATTCATTAAATACAAGAGTCAGACCTTCCACAATTGGGATTTTGCCTATAAGAATTTATCAGTTGATTTTTATAATGTTCCAAAGTAGATGATGCATTTTTAGACCTTGACAGTCAAAATGATGTGAAAAGGTTCATGCAGACTCATCTGATTCCCACCATTACGTGTTTTGTACCACTCTGTCCCCTCTAGCTAACTATTTTACTTGTCCTTTCAGGGTTTCTCTATGCAAATATAATTAAAGACGAGTGTATGTGCTTTATTTTCCACTGAATTTGTTTTGTTCTTATTTGTTTATTTTTGAGGTAGAGTCTTGCTATGTTACTCAGGCTCATCTTGAACTCCTGGGCTTAAGCCATCGTCCCACCTTTGCCTTCCAAGGGCTGGGATTACAGACACAACACCACACCTAGCTCCAACTTTTTCAAAATAAAAGGTAGCATACTATATACACTGTTCTGCACTTTTAAAGCACGAGTTCTTAACCACAGCAAGCCTTGAGGGGGTTCATATATATGCTTCCCCAAAGTTTAAAAAAACATTTTGTGTTCGTCATAACTTTCATCAGATTTTCAGTCATGTATGACCCAAAAAGAAAACGTTAAGAGCTGTTATTCTATAAAAATTTATAGATTACACACCAACTACCTTGGTTGATAACAAACCAAGAGCTGGAGTAAAAGATAAGGGTAGAAAAAGATGCCTATGTACAGGCTGGGGATATAGCTAGTCCAGTGGTAAAGCACTTGCCTAACATGCATAAGGCCCTGGGCTCCATCCCCAGAACCACAAAGAAAAAAAAAAAAAAAAAAAAGAAGGAAGGAAGGAAGGAGAGGAGAAAAGAAAAAAAAAAAGAACTTACCCTATAAAGCAAAATGTAACCAAGTATGATAGTGCATACCTTTAATCCCAACGGTTGGGAGGACCTTGAGTTCAAGGCCAGCCTGGGTTATATAGCAAATTTGAGGCCAGCTTGAGCTACATAGTGAGACTGTCTCCAAAATAATAACAACAAAAGGAAAATGTATATGAACTAATATGAATTTAATGACATTTTATGCTTTAATCCTTTTACTACTTGAAATGCTAGGAAGAGAAAATATTTGTGGTTATTTCCTTGAGACTACCAAATAAATACATACGTGTTTCTTAGAATTTAGGGACGGTGTTTTATTCCTTTGGGCCTCTGTTATCCAGTACAAGTGAGTGGCCATCAGCAGCTGTGCTGATGTGGGTGGGTGGGTAATGGGAGGAAAGGGAGAGACTTTGACGAGGACACTTCTTTTTACCTAACTGAAGGCTTCCGTGTCCAGCTGAGGTCTTCATCGTGCTTTGTCCCGACCTAATGACTTGAGGACTGAGGAAATGTTTGCTGGATAAGAAAATAAGTGCAATTAAAAAAACAACAACAAAAAAACCCTCAGCAGGCAAGAGTATATTTAGAATTTGGTGGTATCTGTGTTCAAAACCCGTGACATCATGGCACTTTTATATATGGTTTCTGGATTTTACATGATGTTACTACATTGAAAATTCACCAGTTGTAGACTAAGTGGACTTTTTAAAATTACTTGAACATTCAGAAGTCTAGGGGTTTTTATCTTGTGATAAATGTCATCTATTTACATGCTCATAAGAGTCTATGGAAAACATCTTAGTGTCAATGTTAGGCCCACAGACTTGCTTAAGTTTTTCCAATCTTTGCCTTTTTGGGTTACCTTGCTTTTTTTTTTTTTCCTTTTGATGGGGCTGTGGTCTGAATTCAGGGCTTCCCACTTGCAAAGCAGGCGTTCTACTGCTTAAGCCATACCACCAGTTCCTTTTTGGGTTTCTTATCCATGGAAATTTGTGCTGCTGAATTTATGTCTTGAGTCTTAGCGGCTCAGGTTTTAAAACTGGAGCTGTCTAAAATTAAAAGCACAAGTATTCAGAACAACTTGTAGACAGATTAGGCTTCACAGTCCTCTTTTTTTTCTAATCTAAACCACCTGAAAATGATTTTACACTTACCTGGCTGTGAACGACAAGTTCTGTTTTCTAGCCTCACAGCTTCCCAGCAGGCTATTCACTCCAGCATTAGGTTCAGGTGTGCCAGTAAGTAAGAGAGGTGAAAGTACTCTTCCTACATCCTGATCAGAAACAATAATTGTTTTATTCATGATAGTTTATGTCACTGACCCTAAAAAAGAAATAGATGCATATGGGCTATCATAAATCATGCAGGCATAAAATTATATTGTAGTACATATTATGAAAGCTTCAACTAGGCTGAAAGTTCTGGCTGATTTCATATTCAGAGCTGTTTGTAATGAATGTAATATCAGAAACCTGTTAAAAATTTGTTCTATATAGTATGAAAAAGCTTAATTAAAGTGCTAGTTTAATTAAAGTTTTGTAAGAGAAACAAGCAATATGATTCTCCAGTACAAAGCGAATTTGAGATTTATTCCATGTGAGGATTCATTCCTTCGGTAGGACTTTCAGAGTAATGGAGGTGTGCTGGACACTGGGGATGCGCAGGCCATGCTCAGAACATGTAACAGGCAGCTTGGGATCAGGCTCTTGAGTAGAAGACAATTATTTTCCTTAACTATTACTTCTTGCTGTCTTTTCCTAATCGTTTTTTAATTTGGGGCTCCTTCATTATACTTAGATCTTTTTTAAGCAATCAAATTAATCTATGTTTTTAGTACTTTAACACAGCATTTCTATTGTTTTTTCTAGCAAATACTAGCTGTGGACTTCCTCTAAAAATGCTCCGGAAGACGCCCATCTACACCTGTGGCACATACCTGGTAATGCTGGTCCCCCCTCCAGGAGGGTCAGGCAGCTCTGCCACACGCTCTCTTTTTGGTGGAACAAGTGGTTTGTCATCTTTAAAAAGTAAGTAAATCTTATTTATTGCCCTTTTTCCAACTTATCTCAAACTCTGAAATTTAAAGCTTTCCTATTTATTATTTTACACTTATTCTTTTAAATGGTTGTTTATTTTTTATTTATTTATTTTTTCCTTTTATTTGTATGTGCATACAATGGGTCATTTCTCCCCCATTCCCCCCACCCCTAAATGGTTGTTTATGATAGCTCTCTGATAACACAAAATAATAATTATCAGTATAGTTATAGGCTAGGAATTTATTTTTATTTTTCATATTTTTGGTGCTAGGAATTGAACCAAGGCCTTGTTAGGCAAGTGTTCTACCACTGAGCTGCATCCTCTAGCCCCCAAATATAATTTTTATAGATGGTATAATAGTATACTTTTGAAAATTATCACCCTATTACTAGGAACAGTCAGTCCCGCAAAGTTTTAGGAAATAATCTGTTTGCTGATGACATAATAAGAGCCCTGCTTGTTTTGATAGAATCCTAAAACTATTAAAATAAGGACTAACACCTCCATTTTAGGATATATGTTCAAATGTTAAACAAAAGTATAGAACAGAAAGTAATATGTATAAAAATTGATTAATGTTTTCAAATGTGTATTTTTATAAAAGAGGGACCACAGTATAGTAATGAAAACAATGTGATTTTTAGCTTCAAAGTGACCAAATGGTAAATAGACTAAAATATACAACCCCAAAATGCTCCTTTTATGCCACTGTTTTCTACCTTTCTTATTTCAGGGACACCATTGAACCTTTGGGCTTCAGTTTTCACAGTTTTTCTCTTAAACTTCATTTAGACACATGACTTTTTTCTTTTTTTGCAATTAGTGGGATTTGAACTAAGGGCCTCACCTTTACTAGGCAGGCTCTCTACCACTTGAACCACACCCCCACCCTTTTTTGACTTGAGTTATTTTTCAGGCAGAATTTTATGTTTATGCCAAGACTGGTCTACACCATGATCCTATTTATGCTTGCTGTGTAGTCTGGAATGATGGCTATGAACCACTAGGCCCAGCCATTGGTTGAGATGGGATCTCACAGACTTCAAACTCCCTCCCCTCTGCAACCTTCCCAATCTCTACCTCCCAAGTAGCTAGGATTACAGGCTTGAGCCACCATGCTCAACAACAAAAAAAATGTTTTAAAGTCAGTTAACTTCTTTTCATTTCCCAATATTTCATATTCTGCCCTCTTAAAATAATTTTCTTACAGTAATTCCATTAATGGATTTTATTTCACATTTAGATTTTTAAAAAACAGTTCTTATTTCTAACCAAAGCCTCAGAATAAATTTGTCCCTAGCAGTTTAAGGAAAGTCATTTGTCAATATCAGCTTAACCTTTAACCTTAAGGTCATTTCAAGTAGTTGCATGTGCTGGAAACTTAGCTATTTATAACAACTCCAAACTCCCTTTGACTTCTTTTTTTTTTAGTGATACTGGGGTTTGAACTCAGGACTTGCTTGAGCCATGCTCCCAGTTTTCTGTGGTTTTTCCTCTACAGCTTTTTTTTCTCTAACAGTGCTTATGACCAGAGTATCAAATGCCCTGGGATAGAGTAAATCATGCAAATTTACTGCTAGCAGCCTTAGTGAGATCTAACTCATAAACCACAAATTTAACCTCCTTAAAGTAAGCAGCTGACTGGTTTTGAATATGTTCAGAGTTGTGCATCACCAGTGTCTGTCCATCACCCCAAAAAGAAACCTCAGACCCATTTAGCAGTCATCCTTCCTGCCCCCAGATCCCTGGCATCTACCTGTCTTCTTTCCATCTCTGAGTCTTCCTGTTCTAGATTTTCACAAGAACAGAATCATCAGCAGGTAGTCCTTGGGACAGACTTTTCGCTTAATGATGTCCTCAAGCTGTGCACTCAAGCTTGAGTCCTTTTGATGGACTGAATTCTACTTCACTATGCACATATGCCCCTGCTTTACTCATTCACCACTCGATGAATTCTTTATTCATTTTTACTTTTTGACTCTTTTGAGTAATGCTGCTGTGAACCTTGGCATACAAGGTTTTGCATAGCCAGAGTTCCATTTCTTTTGGCTATATGCATAAGAGTAGGATTGCTGGCTCATATGTTAACTGTATGTTTATCCTTCGAAAGAACTGCCAAATTGTTTTCAAAAGTGGCCTCACCATTTTCCATTCCTCAGCAATGTAAAATGGTTCCAATTTCTCCACGCCCTCACCAACATTTGTTATTTGCCTTTTTTGTTTTATTATAGCCATCCTAATTGGTGTGAAGTGGTACTCACTGTGGTTTTGATTTGCATTTCTCCAGTGACTCATGATGCTGAACATCTTTTCATGTGTTTATTTGTACTTTGTGCATCTTTTTTACAGGGCTGTCTGTTCAAATGCCTTGTCCATTTCTAAACAGAGTTACCTGTCTTTTTATTGACTGTTACTCATACTAAGCTCTTTTTAGTCTCCTTAGCATGACTTTCTCACTCAGCCTATATTGGCTTTATTTGATTAAAGCCATTTGCTCATGAGGATATAGTTGACTCACTGATTCCATTGTAGCCCAAGAAACCAGTAAATACTTCTGTGCCCTATTTGACCTTGGCTACCACAGGGGCTGCTCAGTGTGAGGAGAAACTGCACTTCCCTTTAGGAGCCCAAGTCTAGGTGGGAGAAGTGGAGGTGTGAATCACTAGGAAGTGGCTGGCACTGCCACCTCTCACTGCTGAAGGCATGTGGGGCAGGTGTGCGGTTACAGCATCAGAGGGAAAAAGGGTTTCGTGGAGCAGTGCGGAAGGGAGAGACAGCCTAGGGTCTTGAGTTGAAGTTGTGAAAAAGGGGTGTTATTCAAATAAGTGGCCAACTGGAATAAAGGCATGTGTGCATAGCAAACACAATGCAAAGGGAGTAGGTGAATATCGTCTCTTTTTGCTGTACTAATAGAACAATAGAGGAAAAAAGAGGGCTGGGGACAGAACTCAGTGATAGAGTTCTTGCCTAGCATGCACAAGGGAAAACAAGAGAGAGAGAGACAGAGGGAGAGTTTTATATTGCTCACTGTTACTACCAATAGATAACAAAAAGAGGGAGTGGCTTTTATAAAAGTTTCATGAAGAGCCTAAAGTTGAAACTTTGAAGATAGTCTTCAGGCTCATTGAACACCTGAGCATTTGTCCCACAGTCCTGGCCTCCAGCCTGGTGTACAACATCTCTGATGGTCAGTTCACAAGCCGTGCAGATCTCATGGATGCAGCTGGAAGCTCCCTGGGGCGTGGTGCTCTGGTACCAGGATTGGGTAAGAAATAAATGCTTGTTTCCTTGGAAAATTCAGAGTTTTAGCAAGTTCTCTTAAAAAATCTTGCCAATTCTTTGTGACATTCCCGTTTCCTTTAAAATAAAGAAATTTTTAAATATAAGAAATTGTAATGTGTAAAATTTTCCATGTAAACCAACTTTGAAGCAACTGTCCACTAGGTTGTATGCTGATGCCTATAACAAACCTCAAAAGTTCATGCCATTAAAAGGTTTCTTCCTAGCCAGGTGCCAGTGGCTCATGCCTGCAATCTTAGCTTCTTGGGAGGCTAAAATCAGGAGGATAGAGGCCAGCCTGGGCAAAAGTTCCCAAGACCCCATCTCCAAAATAACCAGAAAAAATGGACTGGGGGTGTGGCTTAAGCAGTAGAGCACCTGCTTTGCCAAGTGTAATCCCTGAGTTCAAATTCCAGTTTCCATCCCCCCCAAAAATTTTCTTCCTGTTAAAAATATGATGGTTAGAAAATGAATGTGATGGAGTATATTGGGTTTTCTCTTTTCCCTGCTGCTCGTAAGCTCATATTGAAGTTTTGGACTCTGTTACCAGGGCGTTTTATTGTGTGTTACTGTTAGTTGATTCTGTTGTTTGCTGGGTTTTTTATTTAAGTCAGTTTTGGAAGTTGGTCAGTTGCTAAGATCTATCTATTTTATAAAACATTCCTTCTCACATAGGAGTTAAGCAAAATTAAAAGTTAAACCCTGCCTTCTTTTTTTTTGAGGCAGGGTCTTGTTATATATCCCAGGCTATCCTTGAACTTCCAATCCTCCTGCCTCAGCCTTCTGAGTGCTGGGAGTATAGGTGTGCACCACCATGCCTGGCTAAATCCTAGTTTCTTGCTGAGTGCCGATCTACTGCTTTGCCAGGTAAATCTATGGGAGTAGGGATGGATGCGAGCATTATAGAGAAGCCTTGCTGTTCTGTTCTTAGCAGTGCTGTTGGAAATATCTGCACAGGCAGACAGTAGCACAACCATTGAATATAGGTGTTCTTTGCAGGCGCCTGTTACGACACAGTGAACAACATGCTATGGACGTGCTCAAATGACTACATTGATCAGTGGTGCAACCCTGGGAATCAAGCCTTCCATTATGTGTGCCAGAGACTGGGAGTCAGCCACATCATCACGGAGCCCAAAGGTGGGTGCACTCTTGGTCTTACCAGAGAAGGTCCCCCGCCCTCTGAAATATAAAACACTACAGCACTACGTAGACCAACAACAAAATGAGTGACAACCTTCCTTGAATTTAGAACCTAAAATCCTCTGCTATCCATAACCTAAAAAGATTGGTTTATGAATAAGTGAAAAAATATGTGACTCAGCTGAGAAAGTGGCTCAACTGGTAGAGTGCCTGCCTAGCAAGCTCGAGGGCCTGAGTTCAAACACCGGTACTAGATGGGCGCCAATGGCTCACGCCTGTAATCCTAGCTACTCAAGAGACAGAGATCAGTAGAATCAAGGTTTGAAGCCAGCCAGGGCAAATAATTCAACAGACCCTATCTCAAAAATACTCACCACAAAAAAGGGCTGGTAGAGTAATTTAAGTGGTAGAGTGCCTGCCTAGCAAGCATGGGGCCGTAAGTTCAAACACCAGTACTGACAAAAAAAAAGAAAAAATCTTGATATTCATGTAAAGTCTTATGACTTTGAAGTCAACTATATTGATGAGGAGGAATGAAGAGCTCAGCAAATTCTTTCTGCATAAAGTGGTGCTAAAACAGACAACATCATCAGAACAATTGTTTTGCTGGATGTGGTGGTGCACACCTATAATCCTAGTACTTGAGAGGCTGAGGCAGGAGGAATGTGAATCAAGGCTAGCCTGAGTTCCATAGCAAGTCCCAGTCTCAAAAACAAAACAAACACAAGCAACTATTCCCAGGCTCTGGAAATATGACCAAAGGCATATACCAAATTGAGAAGTGGTTATTCACAAAAAGCCCACTGAATTAGCTGGGACTGCTCCTATCCCCATTGAAGCATGGTTAGCATTGCCTTTCTACCAGGGTGGAGCAGATTGTGACACTGAGCAGCTTTGCTGCCACAGGGGAAGGGCACAGAGAGCAGCATTGTCAGTAAGAGTTAACAGCCTTGGTGGCAAACAGAGACAGTCATCGCCCAGTGCCTGAGATTGTGATCATGGTTAGCACAGCAGCAAATTGGCAGACTAGCTAGAGACTGAATAGTGAGATCTGTATAGTGAGAACCTTCAGGGATCTTGAGAAGCTCCTCACATCTCCACAAAAGCCTGAATGAATCCACGTTGTTGATACATTCACACATTTCCAGCCAATGTGAGCCTGCAGACAGACGTGAGGGGGCCAGCAGAGAGTAAGGAGCATGGTGGATTTTGAAAGTGCCTGAACTCTGATGCCTCCTTGCAGAATACACAGATCCATTGAGGGTGAATGTGTGCTGGCTCAACGTGTTGGACAAAACCTCTAATTGTTGGTTGACAGCCACTAAGGAATACAGACAGGGTGACCCCTACGAAGCTAGATTTAAAAATAAAAACAAGGACTGGATGTAGCTCAGTGGTAGAGCACATGCTTACCAGATACCAGGCCCCGGATTCCATCACCAGCACCAAAAAATAAAAATAAATAAAAAGTAAAGTGATAAAAATAAATGAGAGAAAGAAATAAAGATTACAAAAATAAGTGGAGCAGAGACGTAATAACCACACATTGCAGGCAAACTCAGTTGTTGGACTTAGTACATGAAGCTTTAAAGCAGCCATTATAAATATGTCCAAAAAACTAAGGAAACCATGTTTAAAAAATTAAAATATGAACATGACTTAAAAAACAGAAAACTTCAACCAGGAAGTTATTAAGTAAAAAAATGGAACATCTGGATTGGCAAAGTATAATAACAGAAAAGAAACATTCTTTAGTGTAGTTCAGGGCATGTCTGTGATAGCGGGAGAAAAAGTCCATGCCCTTGGATAGAAATTGACAGAATCACTCTGCCAGAAGAGCAGAAGAAACACTGAAGAGTGCCGCTCAGGTATTTTGGACAATGTCTATCAGTTTGGGTTTTTTTCATGATTAAACTGAGGTTATGAATCTTGGGGAGGAAAAGCATAGAGGTGATAATAAGGAGAAGCCTGAATTCAAATGCTAGCACTACCACTTTGTAGCTGTGTAACATAGGGTGACTTATTTAATCTCTCGGACTCTTGGTTTACTGCTCTGCAAAAGAGAGCTTAAATAGTCTTAAGTTTGTTTTTCGATGGTACTGGGGTTTGAACTCAGGGTCTTGTGCTTCCTAGGCAGGTGCTCTATCACTTGAGCTATGCCACCAGCCCACAAGTCTTAAGTTTATAAGCATGTTGTAAAATAACACATCCAAACTTCAGCCCATCATCCAGAATACAGAATGGGCTCAATGAGTGGTACCTATTTATGTTCTAGAAAAATTGAAATCCCCAAGTGTTTTCACCGCACGCTGGCTTCTCCAGCAGATGTGGAAGAGATGAGCCATACCAGTTTTCCTGCTCCTACAGCTTTTGTAAGTTGGTGGTCTGCTCCTTGGGGACCATCCACACTGTCTTTCCTCACTGAGTTCCTTTTCATCTTCCAGAAGAGGCTATAACCACGAATGAGGTTATAAACCAGTTGTTGCACCATGTTGGTGCAATGTGCATACACCAGCTCAATCTTCTGGCCACCAACCCCAACCTTCCCATCACAAGCGTCCTGGGCAAGCAGCACCCAATTGAAGCACACCATCTGAGCAGCATTTGTGACATCATGGAAAAGGCCATGGTTAATGGAGACACCTGCATCATACGCTGCGTTCTCGTTGTCTTTCAGGTAAGTACACAGTGTGAAGCATATTGTAATAGACAAGAATAAACACAAACCTTGGATTCAGCCAGCTAATTTCTACCAGAGGAAATACACTCAGTAACATTCCTGTTTGTCTCTTCACTCCTTCCAGTTCTCTAATTAGAATTCTTAGATTCATTGCATGCAATTAAGGGGGCACTGCTATACATAGCTTATTGCCATTAATATTTGTAAAATATTTACTGTAAGTATACCTTGACACAATAGGAGAGATTGTAGTTAGAAACCCACCTAGTTATCTATGTGTAAGACTATTTACTATGTGCTTTCTTCAGAGGAATAATTTTATACCCAGTAGAGGGGACATTTTTTAGATCTACCCCTTATGTTTCGGTAGGTGGTGTTTAAGTTTTTCTTCAGCCCACAAACTGAAAGGAACCGAGACATCATTCGTCGGTCGGGATTGCTGCTTTGGCAGTTATTGATGGCACCAAAAGATCAAATCTGCCTTGAAATTCAGAAGGAGGTCTGTCTTGCCATCAGGTAAATGGCAAGTGGTTTTCTTAGTGCTCTCCACCAAACGGTCCTCTTGCAAGGCACTGTAACCTTCCCTGCAGGAGACAGCATATATGTCTCAGCCCTTCCTGCACTCAGGAACTTGTGCCCTGGGGATAATTTAAAAGAGGCTAGTGCCTCATGCTTAGTGGGTCAAAGGCATACTTACCTCCCTCTATCTTTGGATTGTAAAAGGAAAACAAAAACAAGCCCTTGTGAGCAGATACTTTTACAAGCCACTGTCCTTGTCATGTGGGAGGATGTAACACGGCAGGAGTAGGCGTTGGCACTGGGCACTCTGGGTTCTAGGTTTTGCTCTGCCACTCACTGCCTTTGGTCTTGATTTGAGATTTCCAAATCTTCAGCAATAAGATGGGCTTAAAAATTACATCTACTAGCCAGGTATGTGGTTCACATCTGTAATCTCAGCTACTCCTAAGGTGGATATCAGGAGGATCACAGTGCAAGGCCAGCCTGGACAGTTAGCATGACCCCATCTCAACCCATAGAATGCTCAGTGTGGTGCAGTGTTTGATCCCCAGAACCGCAACCAATCAATGAATAAATAAATAAATAAAACAAAACTTACCTCAGCTTTATGTAATCAAACTGGCATTTTCTTTCCTTTTTTTTTTTTTTGGAAACAGGGTTTCACTATACTGTAGCCCAGGATGACCTTGCACTTCAGATCCTTCTGCTGTAACCTCCCAAGTGTTGGAATTATAGGTGTGTGCCTCCACAGTTGGCCATACTGTTATGTTTAATAACATTTAAAATTTAAGGCCAGGCATAGTGGCTCACATCTGTAATCCCAGATACTTGGGAGGCAAAGATCAGGAAGATTGCAATTTGAGGCTAGCCCAGGCAAAAAGTTAGTAAGACCCCTATCTCAACCAATAAGGCTGGGCATGGTGGTGCACACCTAACGTCTCTCATCCCAGTTATGTGGGAGACTGAAATAGAAGGACCAAGGTACAGGCTTGTTAACCAGGACTGGAGGAGTGGCTCAAGTGGTAGAGTGTCTGCCTAGCAAGTGTGAGCCCTGAGTTCAAACCCCAGTACCACTCCAAATTAAAGTTTAAATATTTTGAGTTTGACTTTTCCAGAATGTTGGCTTAAAACTTTTTGTCTGTTCTGTCATTTCAGCTCTGGCTTAAATATCTTGTACCCAGGTGAAACGGAAATCAATAACTTACTTAAGTTGGTCTTAACAGAAGGTGAGAATTATCCTGAAATTATCCTTGAACAACCCTCTTTTTGTCCCTAAGGAAACAACTCAACATTAAGATAACAGATTCTTGTTTTCTTCTTATCTGTCAGGCAGCATATTTTAAAAATGTATCTGCATAGATGCAGACTGAAAGCAGAAGCCATGCTTTATGTATCTGCAAGCCTTGGAAGCCTCTTCTCTACAGCTTAGCCTGACTACAGATACTTAACACATTTAAAACTACATGACTCTTAAGCCACTCTTTTTTTCCCACATATTGGAACCCAACTTTTTAAGTTAGACCGAACAACCAGACCAAAGCTACTCTGTTAAAGACACTCTGTATTTAAAAGCAGCCATTAACTTAAGGAATTAGAATTTGTACTGTGTGATCTATCAGGAAGGCAATCACAGGGATGCCTGATGGGTTGTGGTGTAGTTTTGCTTCTGCTGTTTGTGTTTGTGTGAGGTTTAAAAATAGCCTCAGTTTTCTAAGTGCTGTTGCTGAGGTTGTTTATGGAGCTTTGTTGTGTGTTAGGAGAGAGAAACAGTGGACTCTCCCAGCTGCGAGATGTGATCCTCACCAATTTAGCTGAACAGCTTCAGAACAACCGATTCGGCAGTGATGAGGACGATCATTACAGGTGACACTGCAGCCTTTTCTTTGCATTCTTCCAAGTAGTTAATTTACATGTGAGTGTGTTTGATCAGTGTTAGTTTCCAGTTACAGCTAATAAGATCATTAGCATGGTAAGCCTAAAGCCTGGATCCACTGAAAGGTAATAAATGGCAAAGCTATTGAAGAACTGACTTTTCTCAGGAAAGTGGGCTGAGGGCTTAGCAAAAGAGGAGGAGCTTGTTTCAGAGATCTTGGTGGAGGGTGATCCAAACTGCTGATGTGAGAGAAGCTGCGTACTAGTGCGCAGAGGGAGGAAAGCTTCTTTTCTCTGTTGTTCGTAAACTACTTTAATTAGGTGGTTGGAGCCATTTGTTTCTGGGTTGCTTTAGGTAATACCTTGTTGCTATTATCATCACTAAGGTAACTTTCTTGCAGAACCAGTTAATTTTGTATCTTGTATTTGTCATTTTGTACCAGTTGTATAAAAGTTAAACTGTTACTAATAAACCACCAATATTCTATTGTTTTTCTTGAATTTTAAAGACTAAATGATGAACTTTTACACTACATTCTGAAGATTGTTGTACGAGAATCCTGTATCTTAATCACCAAGTGCCAAACTGTCTCTAAAGAGGATTTTCAGAAACTCCTTTCAACTGTGCCTGTAAGTAAAGATGTGTTTTCTGAAATCAAAATTACATCAAATGTCCCTGTTTTCATTGAAAGGTGTGAGCACACTCACACACTTACACCTCACTCTGTGTGCGTGTATGGGGGAGAGAGAGACTTAAAATAATTTAAGGAGTCAGTGGGTAATTACTTCTAGAAATGTACAGATCGTCAAATCCACAAGAAACACCTTTCCCACGACTTTAATCGTCCTCTTCCGCTGTTTGATGCAACAAATTATCCTACTGAATTTGGGCATTTAAATCATCTAGTGAGGGATCCCCCTATTAATTCACCATTGTTTTCTAAACCATTAGTGTTTTAGAAAGACTGATAGAAAACAAAAGGTTCTTTAAGGGTTTGGGTGGAGTCTTCCTATGGGAGGGGAGAAAGATTACTTAGGACAAAGGGCAAGAAAGTCTTCTGAGTGATTAGTGAAGCTTGCAGAGAGTTAGGCTAAATGTGTGGAAATCTGTACTGATAGCCATGGTCTTCCAAGTCACCTGAGAACTAACTTGCTCTGATTTCTGTACTTTCTCATTTTGTTTCTTTTGTTGAAATCTTTTTAAAAACATGAGGATTACATGATCCCTTCCTTCAGTAGGGTTCAGGTCATTTAAACAAACACCCTTATTTGTATTAAAGGCCGCATCCTCCTGCCTGCGCTATCTGATGGCCGTTCAGAACCACCTTCTCAGTAACACTATTTTGATTAAACCCGATGACAATGATGACAGTGACAGCTCCTTGCAGGGAGAGACATTGAAGGTACAGGTAAACACCAAGCTTTATCTTAAAGATGCTTTCTACCCAGTATGTAAAGCACAGATTAACTGGCTAAACTTTGCTTTTATGATGTCAGAATTCACCATGTGAGTTATGTTCTGTGAGAGGTGTTAGGCCTCTCGTTTCATAGATCTCATGTCATTGCACGGTGGTTACCATATTGTGACACTCTCGTGATGTTCATCCTTGTACTTTTTTCAGTCTCTTTGTGCCTTTATTTTGTCATCTTCTTTTAAGAACTATAGGGTGTCACTCACAAGTGACCTCATCGCACCTGAAAGTGATACACACACACACACACACACACACACACACACACTGGGAAGCATAGAGTTTGGTGGTTTATTGTATCCTCTCAATCCAAATGACTTAAGAAGTGACCATTTTCTCTCCATCTCTGCATTGAATACTTTAATTTCTAGTTTTATAGTTCATTTCATTATTTTTAGTTTAGCTTGCACGTAAACTCAGTCATTCATTTGCACATTATCATTTATAGCAGTCCAGAGATTTTTTTCAGCAGTGCTTGTTGCAGTTCTCACAGATGCTCAAGGTGGTTATTGCATTGTTGTTCAAAATTTCATCTTTGTAGGAAAATTAGAGGAATGAAAAAGAACTTTATTTTTCCTTAAAAAGTTGGATTGAACACGCTGAAAAATTACATAAGAAGCCATAGAAACCATTGCAGTTTTCCCTTTGCTTAGCCCTATCTGCACATGTACCATAGAAGCCAGACATCTACTAGCTCATATTCATGAGTTTATGTCATATGACCAGGTTTTTTAGGGTTTTTTTTTTTTTGTGGTTCTGGGATTTGAACTCAGAGCCTCATACTTGCCAGGCAGGTACTCTACCACTTGAGTCACACCTGCAGTCCTTTTTACTTTAGTTATTTTTCAGTCAGGGTCTCTTTATTTTGCTTAGGACAGTCTTGGACTACAGTCCTCATACCTATGCCTCCCACCTATCTGGAATTACAAGTGTACATCACCACACCTGCCTTATTGGTTGAAATAAGGGTCTCACTAACTTTTTGCCTTGGCTGACCTCAAACCACAATCCTCCTGATTGCTGCATCCCAAGTAGCTGGGATTATAGAGTGAACCATTGCCCCTGGCAAATTATATGAACAGTTTTTAAACAGGTGGGCATGCCTGAATTTTTTTATTTAAACTGCCTATAGTATTTATTTAACTTCTCTTGCTTTTATTTCCTAATTAGCAAAAAGAGACAATAACATCTGCTTTGTGAGGTTATGTGAGGACTAGGGACAAGCTATGTAAATTCATCCCCTGCTGCCACATGAATGTTGTCAGTAGGAGAGTGCTGATATCGTTAGTATGGCTTAAGAAATGGTCCAGCTTGTCTGTCAGCTCAGAATTCCTTTTCTTTTAATGATAAAATTGTCTTAATAATACAACAAAAGATCCACGAAAACCCCAACCACAAATGAAGAGGGTTTTTTCCTATTTGAAATACTAAGCTTTATTAATTCTTAACTAAATGGAGAGAATATAAAGGTTTTTAGTAAATAGACTTGGTTGTGTAGTATTTCCAAGGAAAAAACTTAAAGACACATATATGTCACCTTAAAGAGTTAATTTCCTTGTTTTTTTAAAATAAAAATAATTGTAAACTAAATATTTCTGTGATATTAACCAGTGTTTCTTAACACATTTAGTATTCTTAGTCCTGTGAGCTCTCAAATTTATGTTTATTAGCCTATAACTGCTGATATTTTCATTGAATTTTTTAACTCGCTGGATTTTAAGTGTAATGGGATTGAGACATAAGGAAAAGGTCACTTGTACTGTTTCAGAACGTTGTGTTTTGTCTCATTTTATCCACCGCCTATACATGCACCTTTTACTGTTCTGTTTTTCTCTTTAGCTACCTCATACCACCCAAGGCAGTCTTCCACCGGGACAGTTGTTTCTGGGCTGGCCAGCAGGAGCGCTCTTGTGCTGGATGGGATGGAAGCTAGGCCTTTCCTCCTAGGCACGCAGTGTGCTTGTGTCCAGACCTTGGCCTCCCAAATCAAATTGCTCCCTGCAAACCCAGAGGAGCTCATGGCTTTGGGATTATCCTGGCCACCTCATCGTTTCATGTGGCAGTGCACCATTAAATACATCATTCATGTGCTCATTGTGAGTGGTGTTCATCACGAAACCTGAAAGTAATATGATGGTATTTTCTACCTAGGAGCTCAAGGTCAGTATTTTGGCTCTTGCCACCCAAATCCTGACTGGATGTGATGAAGTACTGGAAATGCTGCAGCAGGTCACCACTGCCCTCATAAACAGTGACATAGCAGACCGCGAGCAGAGGTGAGGAAATGGATTGGGACCCATGACCTGCTGCCCTTCAAGAAGAAAACTGTGCTTGTGAAAGTGAGACCTGTTTAGAACAGTACATCAAGTAGTCATTTAACACAGAGACATTTTTATTAGAATAGGTTGAAACAACAACCGTTGCAAGGCCAAGTGCAATCGAACTTTTTAATGTGCTTTTAGGTGAGATTGGGCCAACAGCCATGATCTAGGAGTAGCAAGGTTATGGTGGACAGCCTCATCTGACATTGGCTTTTCTTTTCATCATCTAGCTCAGCACCACACCCACTTACTTTTAGGAGGAAGAAGTGGATTTCTTGATACAGATAGTCAAAGAAAGATGACTCTGACCTGGTGTCTCGTGATTTTACTGTAAGGGCTGGGGATGTAGCTTAGTGGTTGAGTGCTTGCTAGCATGCACGAGGCTCTGGGTTCTATCTCCAGAACTGCCAAAAACACTCCAAAAAACAACAACCTAAAAGATTATATTGTAATTTCACTTCTCCAAATACAGGATTGACCTGTGTAGAGGGTGAGGTTCTTCACAGTACAAAGCCCTTTCTCAGCCATTTCCGTGGAAGTTCCTGCCATGCTCACTTTTAGGGATGAGTTGCATACTGTTTTTTGATGATTTGAATGTTAGGATATGTTGAACCAAAATGATCCTGCAGTGTAATTTGCCTTAGTCACCTTGTCTGTCCCTTGCCCTTGGTCCCCCCCTGCTTATTGTAGGGGAAGATAGGGACTGGGGCTGAGCACAGTGTAACCCAGACAGATGTTGCATCAGCACTCTTTGAGACCTGGAGGCTGCTCTGCTGGCTGGTGGGAGGGGGTGGAGTCTAGATACCCAATGTCCTCAGTAGCCTTAGAGAATTCACAGGGCCCATTTCTTTCTCTGTGTGACCCGTGTGCTTTAATTCTTCTAGCAGCAGATGAGAATATTAAGACTAAGATTTTTTTAAACAAATTAAAAATCTGCCTACTTAGAGTCCTCAAAATCATAGAGACAGAAAGTGAGACAGTGATTACTAGGGGCTGGGGAGGGGTAGGATTACCCAGCAGGCGTAGAGTTCTGGTTTTACAAAATGAATAGTTATACAGATAGATGGTGATAACTGTATATTATTTTAAAACCATGAATTGATAAATTGTGTGTTATGTGTATTTTGACACAGTAAAAAGTATTGGAAAACAAACCTGCCTGCCTCTGTGGCCCACACGAGCCTTGGTTGCGGTAGGCTAGGAGAGGGTTTCACAGCTCTGGGCAAGTGCATCCATTGCTCTTGCCATTCACTTCTTCTTTCTTTCAGTCTCAGACAGCACAACACCAGGGGCCTAGAGAGGCAGGAACTACCAGGAATAGGCATTGCATTTCAGGTTCATTTGTAAAGTGCTTCAGAAATGCACCACCTAAACTTTTTTGGCCACATCACAGGCTGAAGGGGAAACCCACTAATCTGTTGCTCTCTGTTCTTCTTTGCTCCCTCAGTGGCAGAAGGTAGGAAACTTGTGGAGTGAATGGCTATAACCATGAGTTTGTCACTGGTTCAAGGAGATAAGGTTCAAGAGAATTTGTCAGCATAGAAGATGTCAGTTGCTTTTCTCCATGCTTGGACGTCACTTACACTGTTTGCTTTCTTGAACTTGTAGGTTAAAAGGCTTGGAACAAGTTACCAAAGCCACGATGTTGGGTCACCTCCTCCCGGTGCTACTGACCTCTCTGATGCACCCCAATCTGCAGACCCTCACCATGGCCGACGCGTTGATGCCTCAGCTCGTGCAGCTGGTGCTCTACACCAGCCAGGTGGGACCCTTGTGCCTATCTGACCTTCCCTCTGCTCAGCCTGCTTTGCCGTGGAGGACATGATAAAGAGAACCAAGGTTTTTAGAAACCAAGAAAAATGTTGTATGTCTTAAAAATGAACTAGAGTATTAAGGGAACACATTTTGTTTGACTCAATTATCGACTGTAGACTGTTTAGCAAGTGTTCATTGCCTACTGCTACTGTTGAAGCCTACCATAATACTGAGTGTCCTGAGTGTACATCAGCTAAGAGGAGGACTAACATGAACAAGGTGGTCCCTCCCAGCACTAAGTAAAATGATAGTGGCCTCAGGAGCAAAGCATTTCTTAGTGAAGAAGAGCAGGCTGGGATTGCATAGAATGACGATTCCAGTGAAAATTCTAAGTTCGGCTCTGGGACATCCTGGGTACTGGCAGTAAGCACTTGAAGACACACGGATGGTTTTGTGTTTCAGACGGCTTTGCTGCTTAAAACCCAGTGTCCAGTTTTTGCCGAAATGGGCTGTTCCCCATGTGGCACATCAGACCAGAAGTGCAGGCTGTTCCCCGATGAGAGGTAATGTGCTGCCTCCTTGGTTTCTTTTGTCCTTCTGTGATTTTAGCGAAAGATTGTCTCACTGTGAAAAGAAAATACATCAGGGTTAAATTTTATAATAACTATAGAAGTGCTTGTAAATTTATAGGAACAGGTTAGAATGAATTTTCCTGTGGATCAAGGAATTACTTCAAAATTAGCCTGAAATTCTCCTTCACTCCTGGTAGCTATGTAAATAAAGTATTAAGACTTTAACAAATAGTTTGGCAGCTTTTTTGTCTTTTTTTTTTTTTTTTTTTAAGGAGGCCAGGATTTACTGTGTTTCCCAGGCTGGCCTCGAATTCCTGGGTTCAATTGATCCTCCTGCTGTGGCCTCTCACAGAGCTGGAACAATAGGCACATGCCACTGGGCCTGGCTGACACTTTCTTTAAAAGTTGAACATAGACCTGCCACATGGCTCAGCTATTCTGCTTCAGGGTGTTCCCACAAGAGAAAAGAAAGCACATGAAGATTGCACATGAAGATTCATAACAGCTTTCGTTAGAGCAGCCCAAACTAAAACTAACCTGAATGTCCTTCAGCAGGTGAATGGGTAAACCAGGAGTGTCTGTCCGTACAGCAGACTCCGACTCAGCAGCAAAAAGGCGCGGCTAGATAACAGTCAGCACCATGGGTGACTGTAGAAGTCCTGTGCTGAGGGAAAGAAGCCAGGCCCCAGGTCACACACTGTAATTCCATTTATATAAAGCTCCAGAAAATGCAACCTGCTCTCTGTAGCAATTGCCTCATGGCTGTACACAAATGTCCAAACTTACCAACTTATTACATGTCTGTGTTTCATTAAAGATAAATTTTAAAAAAATTGGTCTTTTCCTTTCTGCCATACTGAACCACTTTTTCTTTGTCTGGTTTTAGAATGCTAGAAGAGAAGGAAGAGCCAGGCTTTCTCACTGGCTTAAAGATTCCTGCCCCCTGGGCTGCTGGGAAGACTGTGGAAACAGTTCATCCTGTCAGAGACAACTATAAGTTTAAAGAAACAGTCCACATCCCAGGAGCTCGCTGCCTGTATCTGAGATTTGATAGCAGATGCTCTTCGCAGTACGACTATGACAAAGTAAGCAAGTGTGCCTTAGTTGTTGCTGCTGCCTCTAGTGATCTGGATTCTCAGATGCTTCTTATTTTTCTTTGCTGCTGGTCACCATTCCTGACTTATTTCTGTCTGCAGATATCTCTGAGGGGTTCTTTCCTCAATTAATGCCTTGAAGGGTAGTGCCTAAAGCAGTTAGAGCCACCACTATTGGCATCTCAGAGCAGTGTTGTACGTATAGGACAGGCTTTTAGAAGTTCAGCTCTGAGTCAAAGGAGAATTTTCTTTTATTCCGCTGACTTCCTGCCTTCTGTCTTGGGATTCTTGCAGATGATGTGTAATGGTCACTCATCTAAAAAGGTCTTACTGCCCAATTCTTGAGGCTTCTTACGTATCTTTTAGGATAAGGTGGCATTTTTAGAAGGGTTGCAGATGTGCTTGATTCTGGCTTCTGTAGATTTACATATTCTTCTTTGCCATATCTCAGGGCCCATGGAGGTTTTTAAGGAACAGTAGTTTGAACAGATGGCTTAACAGTTATCAAGAAAAGGAAGTGTTTTAGGGGCTGAAGTATTTTCTTCTGTTGATAATTGTTGGATTGTAAACCATCCCGTGAACTTAGGAAGCAAGGCTAATGAAATTGGGGTGTGTAACATGAAAAGCATCGCTGTTTCTGTATAAAAACCAACACTATACATACATGCCTGTCCCTGTGAACTGAGTGAGGGCAAATGATCTTCAGTCCCTTCAGGGGCAGCTTTTAGGCTAAAAATAAGGACTTCTTAACTGTACCTCCTATGAGAGGGTGAAACACATGACTAGAAGTTGTAGGATCTACTTCCTCATAATCTTTTAGGACAGTCAAGAGTTGCAGATGGCTGGGTACCAGTGGCTCACGTCTGTAATAATCCTAGCTGCTTAAGAGGTAGAAATTGGGAGGACCACAGTTTGAGGCCACCCAGGCAAAAGATGCTCATGACCTCATCTCAACAAATTGCTGGGCAATTGTGCAGAGAAGTACAAATAGGAGGCTTATGGTCCGGGCTCATCCAGGCGTAAAAGTGAGAGCCTATCTCCAAAGTAAAAGAGTAAAAAGGACTAGGGACACAACTCAGGTCAGAGAGCATCTGCATAGCAAGCACAAGTCCCACAGTTCAAACCCTAGTACTGCCAAAAAAAAGATGGTCTTTGGTAGGCCTTTCAAAAAAGATACCTGTAGTATCAGTCTAGCCCTGATGCCTCCTGGCATGAAGTCAAGGTTCCCCATTTCCTGACTTGAGACGAAATGACTATTTAATGTGAAGGCTGCCACTTTAGTTGGAATCATGTGTTTCTCCTTTAAAAACAGTAATTTTCATCTAAGTTAGTGATGCGCACTAACTTAGGCTGCAATATAACTTAGGCTGTGTTCAATGGTAGAGCATGCAGAAGCTTACTACATGGATAAAAGGACGTTTACTTTTCCAGGGGTCCCTGACTGATGTCAGCAAAAGGTACTAAAGGGTAAGAAATCACAAAACAAGCATTCAGTGCTAAAAATGCAGCCGTTACATCCAAACTTACATGCAGTGCAAGGTGGTCAGAGCACACTGTAGACAACAGGGCTTGGTATTTACAGAAGCCAGAGCTGATTTTGAATGGCACATGAGCTATCAGTGTTATCAATTGGATAAAATGCATAGCCTTTTTGAAAGAAAAGTACTGATACATGAAAACTGACCCAAGAAGAAGCAGCCCCTTTTCTACTCCAAATTCGCATCAGTTTCTTTTTATACCATTAAACAGCAGTCTAAGAATATATGGCTTATTTTCAATTTGTTGCATTTAAAAAAAAATCCTTATTTATTCATTGAAATTTTTTTGGCATTTTAATTTTGTTGTGTTAGATATTGCCATCTTTCCCTCTGTGTTTGCTCACTTCGTTAATTATGAGGAAGGTGTAAGGGGTCAACTGTACTATTAATGAATTTATGGCAGTGATTAGGATTAAAATAGGCACTTGAAAAGTGTATAGGCGTAAGAGCTAAGTATAAATTTTAATGTGAGGTCTCCAAGCCAAGTAAAGGTTGACAACGTGAAAAATACGCTTTTGATTTCAATCACGGTTACTTCTCTGTGGCTGTTCTATGAATGCCAGCAGTTGATTGCCTCCAAACTCGTATCAGTTAGATTACTGTGCCCCCAAGGCCTGGTTATAAATGTATTTTGAACACATATTTTGCAGCCTTTTTATTTGTAGATGTTGTTTTGTTTTCTTTTACAGTCTAACAGTGTATTTTCTGTTTTGAAGTTGGTGATATGCGCGGGGCCTAACACAAACAGTAGGAAGGTTGCTGAATATGGAGGCAACACTCTGGGATATGGCAGCCGTAGTGTCTTAGGAACTGGTTGGCCGAAGGACTTGGTGAAGGTATGGTATGCAGTCACAGTCGCCGTCTAGAAAAGAAATGCGAACTTGGGTTCCTCATGGCCCAGGGATACCTGGAACCCCAGACAGCATTTGCATGGGGTTCCTGTTGAGGAGGGCCCACTTTGCCAGCCTGTCAACTCACTTCTATTCAGGACGACCCTCCTTCCACTTGCTGGGAGCCAGACCCCTCCACTCAGTGAGGGCGGCCCACTGAAAGGGCTGCCAGCTTGTCCAGCTGGCTTCTTCTCCAGACTTCCTTATGATAGCTGCCCAGAACCCAGGGCCACTGCAGCTTGAAAATGTTGGCTTACTATTTTCAATGAATTTGGGTCTTTAGAGAAAACTAATGACCCATTTACAAACTGATGCAATCTGTGCCCTTGAGCTACATCCAATATCTGACTAGAATATGAGTACAAGCTCAGACGCCCACTAACCCCACAGTGTATCTGAAGTCCTCTGCCCCATACATAGCATGGTGTGCCCTCCTCACTTCAGCCAGTGGCAACTGGGTCTGTCGGGGTACAGTCTGAATACATCCAAGTCCACATCAGCACCCTTTGTCACTTATCCGCTGACTCACTCGCTGCCTTCTCTTCTTATTCATGGAGCTGGTCCTGCACCGCAGAGCCGGGTGTTCCGGCACAGTATCTTCAAGAGTACGACTCGCTTACCTGCCTTATTGACACAAGTGAGATCAGGAAGAGGCCAGGGGAGGATGGAAAGGACAGAAATAGAAGAATTAGAAATGAAACGCCAACTTGGTTCATCTTTATGCTGATCCTGCTCTTGGGCCACTGTGGCCCATTTCACAGAGGCCCATTTCCAAAGGCTACCTGCTCAGGAGAACGTACCTAAGTGAGAGGGAATGAAATTTGAGTCAAAAAGCAAGTGAGGAAAGCAGTGTGACCCTTTCAGAAGTAAATCTCTTCTGGGCATTGTAGCCCCACACCTGTAATCCCAGCTACTTGGGAGGCTGAGATCAGGAAGACTGCAGTTTCAGGCTAGTCCGGGCAAATAGTTCAGGAGATCCATCTCCAAAATAACCACAGCAAAATGGACTGGAGGTGTGGCTTAAGTGGTAGAGTGCCTGCTTTGCAAGTACAAAGCCCTGAGTTCAAACCCCATCCCAGCAACAACAAAAAGTAAATCTCTGAGTCAGGTCTAGTGGCACACATTTGTGATGCCAGCTGCTCAGGTAGCTGAGGCAAGAGGATCCTGAGATTGAAGCCAGCCAGGGCTTACATAGTGAGACCCCATATAAAAGAAAGAAGAAAAGGAAGGAAGGAAAAAAAGAAGAAAGGTAGGAAGGAAGGAAGGAAGGAAGGAAGGAAGGAAGGAAATCTTTGAAATACTTTACTCTCTTGAAAGTTGTGTGTCTTGTTTTTAAAGTGCATTTTCCCCCTTAAATCTTAAGGTGGAAGGCGATACAGTCACCTTCTCCTTTGAAATGAGAAGTGGCCGTGAACACAACACACCTGACAAAGCTATGTGGGGCTTTGCTTGCACAGTCCGCGCTCAGGTACTTGAATTCAACACTGCTGTGGGCAAAGTGTACTGTCTTCTGTGTGCCTTGGTAACATACATCATATTTGCCTTGGAAACAGGGCAAAATATGAGCCACTCTTTCATCTGCCTTTTCCATCTACCAGCAGGAAACTACTTGGAGTTAGCTGAATTTTATGGAGTGAGACATGCTGGGACCCAGAGTCAGTTGAGAGCATAGAAGTAATCCATGGCCAGGGCTCCTTTTCAAGACCTGGACAGGTTCCCTGCTTCCAGTGTCTTCCCATAGAGAAAAGAGGACATCAGCACTCAGTAGACATGAGCACTTGGATGCTGGGTTTTAAGGGAAGTAGGAGTTCTATTCACCATTTTAGTTGCCAGATTTTAAAAATGTATTTTACACTTTGAAGTTGCTCTTTAACTTCACCAAGCTGAGACTCTAGAGTAGAGCTGTCTTCCAGAATGTAAGCTCTGTGAGGGCAGGGATCCTTGTTTTGTGCTCTGCTGCAGGCACCTGGAACAATGGCTGCTACATAGAGACACTCAAATATTCCTTGAATGAATTCAGTGCCATCCTTGATAACATCATGATCTGAGCACAGGGTAGAGGCAACAAACTAAGTAGTGGGCTGTACTTGGGTAGATGCAATAGGAAGGAAGCCACCCAAAGAAGCTCTGCTTCTTGCCTATGACTGGTGCTGGCTCTAGTGTGGAGTCTGACCAGCTATTCTCTCCAGAACTGTGATGAGACCTCACTTGGTAGTCATTCCAGTGCCACCATCTACTCATGTTGGGTGCTGTACTGTGTCCCCTCACAGTGGCACACAATGCTGCTCTGTGAAGCCTGCAGTTGGGACAGTCCAGTGTGGTGCAGCACAGGCTGCAGTGCTCTGCCCGCGTCCACTGACCAGTGTGGTTTGCCCCTGTGTGCATTGCAGGAGTCCTCGGAGGATGTCTCAGGAGGATTGCCCTTCCTGGTTGACCTGGCTTTAGGTCTGTCTGTGTTAGCTTGTTCCATGTTAAGAATCCTGTACAATGGACCAGAAATTACCAAAGAAGAAGAAGCCTGTCAGGAGCTATTGCGGTCCAAACTTTTACAAAGGTAACACAAAGGTCCAGCTTGAGCTAGTTTTGCCCACAAAGGAAAGGAATTTATATGGAAAACTTTTAGTACATTTCCAAGTTAATTGTGTCTACTGCCTGACTGACCATCTTATTGATACTTTTTTTTGTCTGAGAAATAAGATGAAAATTACACCATAGAGCTTTCTGCCCCTTAGTTTGCTAAGTTTAAATTTATATCTTTGAACTGCATGAAGTTTATTCCAACCCCAATACTGTGCAGTTGATGGCTCCCCAAAAGAATGGGTAGGTATGTGGTGAGCAATGGGACAAAACGCAGTGGGCACACGCCATTTTTTTCAACTTCTCTGCACGTTTAAAAGTTTTCATAGTAAAATGTTAGGGAGGAGGTAGATTCCCAAAGATGTGGTTTCATGTAATGCTCGTTTTTCTTTGGCCTCTGGAGACAGTTTGATGAATCAGTACCTAATCATTACATACTTGATGTGCCTGCAAGTATCAAGTAACTTCCCAGGAGTCTTGATTGAAGAGTGAGGGTTTCTCTTTCTCTCTGAGCAGATGCCAATGGCAGGTGGAGGCCAACGGTGTCATCTCCCCTGCCCTTACTCCCAGCCCCTCTCCACTGCCTCTGACCATAGAGGAAGACAGAGAATTCACCTACCCATCAGATGTCCTCGTGCCTCCTGTTGGGAACTACTTCGAGCTCCCCCGGATCAGGCTGCCTCCTGGAATCATGATAAAGCTCAGGGAAATTTCTGGGCGTGCTAGGCCTCAGTTTAGGCCAAGTATAAAGTATGTTGCATTCTACTTTTCCCCACGAAAAATGTCCCACTGTTGCAAGGGATCTAGCAAGTGAACCTTACGTTTTATGTTTACTTGAGGTAGAGAGCTTGCCTGTATGTTCAAGGCCCTTGATTCCATGCCCAGCACCACAAAAAATTTAATTAAGTTTGTTGTTTACTTAATGTACTTGAACTAAGGACTCTAGCAAGTGTCCAGGTTATCACAAGGTAGTGTTGTGCGGTACCCCAGGCATCAGTACCTGAGACCTCGTTAGTGCTTGAGTCAGAAACTCTGAGGGCACGTTGTGATTAGTTGTGTCTTAAATTGCCCCAGTGGTTCTGGTGCATACTAACACTTGACAAGTGCTAGGTTTTTCTCAGACAGTTTGACCTGCTAGTATTCAGCCTCTGCTTTGATTTCCATAAGAGTCTAGTAGCATCTTTATTTTGACTCCTAGGGAAATGGTGACGGCGATGTCTTACAATTACGAATGAGTTTGTGGTATTCTTGCTTAAAGTCTGCTTGTGGGCCTCTTGTCCTGCCTTGGAAGGCAAGATTGACCATTCTAGCATGGAAAATTTGGAGCCTGGATGAAATTTAAAATGAAGGAAATACAGAAAACACCCTTATTCTCAGCTCAGTAACTATGTGCAGTAAATATTATAAACCTCAATACTTCATAAACTTAATTAGTTCATAAATGGTGCTAGATATCTTTTTAAAATTTTTAATACTTAGACCTGTTCCAGCTCTGATATGATCCTAGCTCAAAACATACAAATTATGCTAAAGGGAGTGTGTTTGATTTTGATTTTCAGCTTTATCAGCTATTACAGTTTCATCAGTTAATACATTAAATTATTTGCCAACATACAACACATACAGTGCCACCATAGTGACATTTCTTACACTATTGTAACAAAGGAGTTGTGGTGAATATTTAACATATTTAAATCAAAGCCTGCACTCTTCAGCTTACCAAATACAGTGTTGGCAAGTTGAGAGCTTGGCGTAGACCTGACAGGTTTCCATTGTTACCGCAGAGAAGTGATTCAGCCTGACGTGATGGAGGAGATGGTGGTGTCATGTGTCATTAAGCATTTGAATTTGGTCGATGCACTACAGTCTCTAATAAATTTCCAATATCAAGAAGAACATGCAGAAGAGTACGACGTATTGTGTAAAATTATGGGAGAGACCTTTAAGAAACTCAGTGCCATGGAGCGACACCTGCAGGTAAGTGAAAGCTAAGACTTTTATGTATGTTGTGTAACTGCTGGAAATAATTTATTTCCTGGCAACTTAAAGACATTTAAATATGCCTGTAATTACAGTTACTTGGGAGGCAGAGGTGCGAGGATCTTGAGTTCGAGGTCAGGCCAGGCAAATTAGTGAGACCCTGTCTACAAACAAAATAAAAACAAAAAGGCTGAGGGCATAGCTCAAGAGGGAGGGTGTTTGCCTAGCAAGTATGAGACTCTGGAGTTCAATCCCCAGTACCACAGGAAAAAAAAAAGAAAGGAAAAAGTTAAAATGTGACGTAAATTTTTTATATTACTATTACAAAAAATTCCTAATTTACAGATTGCCCATGTTTTCATTTTGCATCTATTTATAGACTGCTTTATTTTGGCCTTTCTTAGAGTGTTGCAGAACTGGAACAGAAGTGGCAAAGTGAGGTTGATGATGCCATGCAGGGAAAACTGGAAAACAACATGCCTTTCTTTTATGATTACCACTTCAATGAGGTGAGCGCAGCGTGATTCACCACTGGGACATTACTGTTTCTAGAGTGAAGGTGTATGCTGTGTGTACGTGTGTGTGCGTGTGTGTGCGTGTGTGTGTGTGTGTGTGTGTGTGTGTGTGGAGATAAAGTAGCGTCACTTTCTGAAATGGTGCATGTTTTTAAAGGGGTTAAATGAAAATTGATTACATCAACATATTAATATACAAATAATTATTTTAATTAATAGTTTTATAAAAATCAAAGAATTTATCATTATTTAAAGGCTTAAGAAGAAAATCAAGCAGAATTATAACCCCCAAAGAAATCCCCAGAAAGTAGGTCAGTTTTTAATCATTAAAATATCAAATAGCTGGCAGAATGGTTCAAGTGGTAGAGTGCCTACTGAGCAAGCATGAGGTCCTGAGTTCAAACCCCAGTACTGTCAAAAGAGAAAAACCAAATAATGGTTTGTGATTTCACTACACGAGAGGCAGAAGCAGGAAGATGGTGAGTTTGAGTCCAGGTATGCTATATAGCACATTAGGCCAACCTGAGCTACATAGTCAGATGCACACACGCCCTTTTTTTTTTTTTTCCCCAAAAAATAGGGGATGGGACCCCAGTACTGCCAAAAAAAAAAAAAAGAAAAGAAATTAAAAAACATAGGGGATGGGAATGTAGCTCTGGAGTTCCATCTCCAGCACTGCAAAAAGAAAAAGAAGAGAAGTGAAACCATAGCTTCCAAACGTGCTTTAAGCACACAAATATGGCCGAAGGTGGTGGCTCTCCCGACACTTTCTGTCCCTTTTAACAGATGTACAGCAAGACTTGGATTTTGCAAATTCTGCATACCATCTTTTCTTGATGTTTCCTTCTTTAGAACAAAATGAAAGAACTAGAACTTTTGTGTTCAATGAAGGAGGTCTCCTTTGATGGAAATGATCTTGAAAACATGGTCCTATCACTGAGGTTAGTGACGTTAATAACTCTTAAGGCTATTTTATCACTTTGATGCTCAAAACAAATCATGAAGGTCTAGTCTCTGGATAGATTTTTTTTTTTTAATGTGCAGTCACTAAATATTTGAGTCAGAATTCATTTGGTAAACTGGATGTTTTGATTTAAATCTTAAAGATAGCGTAGGCATTTGAAATAGAAAAGGAACTAAAGTGGCCAGGGTTTATGACCCTGCTTCCTGGATGGGAATGGGCAGGTAAGCAAAGGTTATTAGGTTGCTCTTGCTTGGTTTCCCTCTGCCTTTGCCTGTCCTTTGTCACTTAAAAAAAAATGCTTTTGGTAAGTTTGAGACCAACTAAATATACATCAGTCTTTCTCTATAGGGAGAAGTTCCTACAGGAAGTGAACTCTCTTATTCAGAAACCCTCACACCCACTGGCTAAGACGAAGACACTGGTGAAGAGTCTCATGAACCGGGCCGAGCTGCTGCTGCATGTCACCATTGCAGCCCAGTCTGGCCTCACCAGGAGCATCTCGGGGACCCCTGCAGAGACGCCGGGTACTGCACCACAAGGCCTACCAGGCTAGGGCCCATAAAATAGATGCCAGCTACTTTTCAAAGAACTCACCCCATGTACTCCTAGAAAGAGCCAAAACAAGGAAATTTGACCATTTTTCTTTTTGCTTTTGATTTTTTCTAATCAGGAAGTATCTTGGGGCCAGGAGAGTGGCTCCAGTGGTAGAATGCTTACACGAGGCCCCGAGTCCAAACCCTTGGGACCACAGGGAGAAAGAAGCACTGTAACCCCTGTGGTGGCTTGTGAGCCACCTAAGCCTCAGTGATACCTCTTTCCCTGCCTCAGGGAGGTTCTCTCCCAGGCATCTAAGCCCAATGGCATTGATTCTACAATGGTTTTCACAGTAACAAACATAATTCTACTTTAGAGTAACATAAGTAATTACATTCTCTACATTTGAGTCTCATAATGCATTATCCTTTCCTCTTTACTTGAAGCTGACTTTGCAGTTCATCTTTAGAATTATGTGGAACCTTCTGGCATGACTCCCTGTGAATTGACTATTTCTAGGTCACATTTTGATTGTTAGCCTGAAAATATGTCTCTCAGGGAAATCAATGAGTCTTTGAGTTAAGACAGGATCCATAGTACTGGTCATAGCCTACAAGTGTTTATATTTAACCTGAAGAGAAAGCTGAATAAAGGTGTGGACAGTGTAAGGCAGGCAAGTTTGTTTCCATCCCACCTAGCACTCAGGGCTCTTCTCACTTGGGAGAAGTCTAGGAGGAATCCCAGGTGGCCTCTTTAATCATCTAAAAATTAGCATATATTGTTAGTTTTCAAAACCTTTCGGACAGATACAGAATGACTTTTCCGCTTTATCCATGCTTTTTTTCTTAGCTGGTCTTTGCCTGTGTAGTGCTGTAGTCTTCTGTTTCAGTATTATTTTGTAAAATAACTATTTCCCTTGATACGGTTAAGGGGAAGGGCCAGTCACATTCTAGCTCAAGTGTGATAGTTACTCCACCAGGATAATCACAGTGGAGCTGTCACCAAGTGGCCACAAGGCAGCCAGTATGTCTAGGATTAAAGGGAGACAAAAGTTGTTCCTGGGAAAAAAAACACTCTGGATGTATTTTGGGTTAAGAAACTTGTGCTTCCAGAAATTATTTTCTGTGTCTTCTCTTGCTTTTTAGAATGCATATGTTGAAGTGAACACAGAATTAGATAAATGAAATTAGATAAATTTTCCAGCTTTCCATTGGAAAACCAAATTAATAAAATGATTGAGAATTTTTAAGCTAAAACAATTTTAACCTAATATTAATGTTTAAAAATTTGGCCTAAAACTTGTCAGTACTCTGTGCTAGATGGATTTGGGGCTGAGCCCTGATCTAAAGCAAAGATCCACTCTTCTTGGCAGCTCCATGATACACACTGAGCTGTTGCTGCAACTTCCTGCAAGTCTGCAGGCAGAGGGCTGGGGTGGAGCTCAGTGGAAGAACACTTGCCCGGCAGCCCTGGGTTAGATCCCTAGCACCACAAAAAACAAACAGCAACCCACCCCCAAAAAAGTTGAATAGCAGAGAGTTACTCTTTTCTCATTTCTCTTCCAGCTTGTAAATCTGCGTCTGAAACAAAGGTGATATCTCATGCTGTCCGCCAGCCAGTTTTTCTTCGCAGCATGTCAGCTCCTTCTGACCTAGAAATGATTGGTAATGAAGATTTGGAATTTACAAGAGCGAATCAGAGGTAAATGGCTGATGGCCAGGACTGGATCACCACATGCAGCAGAATACATTCATTGAAGCAAACTCCCTGAGTGGGGTTCTCCTTTGGCCAATCTGTTGCCATTTTGTTTTCCATGTAGGCGGCGTCATGTGACCAGCCACCGCAGCAGCTCCTTTACCCTCCTGCAGTCACTGGCCATTGAGGACAGCAGGGACAAGCCCACCTACAGTGTCCTGCTGGGACAGCTGTTTGCTTTTATTGGCACCAACCCTGACCAAGCTGTAGGTCGCATTTTGCAGACCTCAGGTGGATGGTACCTGGTGGTCTTGTAACAGTCAGCAGGAGTCACTTGCCTCCTTCTTGTGTGTTTCAGGTGTCCAGCAGCAGCTTTCTTTTGGCTGCACAGACAAGGTGGCGGCGGGGAAACACACGCAAACAGGCCCTGTGCACATGCGGGAGCTGCTGACAGCCGCTGTGCGCGTTGGAGGAGTGACGCATCTGGTGGGTCCGGTGACCATGGTCCTTCAGGGAGGACCCAGGTTAGTTGTTTCTTTTGGTTCACACCACCCATCTTACAGTGGGCGACAAACATTCCAAGATTATTCTCAGGGCCTGAACGTAGGTGTTGTTATTTGCTAATGTTTTTCCCTAAGATATTTTATTTTTATGAAAGTGATCATTGATTTTTACCAAAAATCTCAGTGTATATACAATGTAAAAGTCTCTATGCACTTTTCCCTCCTAAGTTCCACTCTGTCCATTGCCGGACTGACCACATGTCCACACAACCACAGGGTGTCATAAAGGAAATATTCAGAGGGTAGCACTAATGATTACCATACCTTCCAAAATAATTTTTTTTTTTGCCATTTTCAGGAACATTTTTATTTTACATGCTAAGGTAGTTCCACAGTAGAAATGATCTTGCAGCAACCACCTTCCTACCAGTAACTGTACTTTTTATATTTTTTAATTAAAAGCACACATTGATGGTACGAGGCAGTTTCACTGTGGTAATTCTATCCACGCATGCAGTGTACTTTGAATAACTTTCTGTCCTCCATTACATTCCCTTCACACACACACACACACACTCCGCCTCCTCCATGTTTCAAACAGTGTTTAGAGGGTTTCATTATGGTGTCGTCTTGCGAGCATGCAGCAAATTTCCATCCTCTTCACCTCTCAGTACCCTTTCCCTGCCTCCGCTCCTCAAACAGTCCTTGTTTTACACTCAGGTCCTATTATTATTCCCTAACACTGGTGACGTTTTCATTTTCCCTCTTAAGTTTTAATGTCATTTGTCAAAAAAAATGGAAAAAAATACAGATAATTTTTAAAAAATTTTTTATTGTTGTACTGGGGTTACCTTGTAACATTTACAACAGTTCTTACAATATTTCATAGTTGAATTCACCCCTCCACAGATAAAAGAATAAAAGTCACCTATAAACCCCACATCCAATGATAACATCTATTAGTATTTTAGTGTATGTGTTCTTCATTGTAATCATAGATATCCACTATAGTGTGTAGCACTGCATCATACTTTTTAACCAGTTTCCTATTTGTCAACCTTTTATTAGTTTTAATTCTGCTATTACAAATAATAATATGTTGCAGACCTTTGTAGATACATCCTGACAATTTCCATTCTTATATTAATTGGTACAGAATCAGCCCCATGTTGTATTTTTATGTAAGGAAAGCCTTACTTTACATCAACTGGGCTCTAATACTTCATTAATATTTGGAGCCTGAACTTAAAAAATCCACTTAGCTGATCTGTTCGGGCCTTGTTTTTCTCGTTAGTACAACTGCATGCAGTATTCTGTACCATGTGAGATATTGTAGATGTATCCCAAAGGAATGCTTTGGGAAATGTTATATACCATTCCTCTGTTCTTGGAAACACTGTACACTAGCTTTATTAAAGACTGAAAAGTTCTGCAGTTAGAGAACCTTCTTTAGCTTTCCCTAAGCCAGGATTTCCTGGAGTTTCTCGAGTGTGTACCATTGAGTTTAAACGCACTTAGAAATCCTGTCCAGTCGTCTTCTGTGGTCCTGTAGTTTATGAAACTGAGTTTGGTGACTTCCAAGATATCTTTGGCTTGGGGGTTCATCTAGACACTCTGGGCTATTGTCACTAATGACAATATTGTCAACATATTCAGGAAGTCTGCACTTTGATTTCCATTTCATAGAATCGAAGAGCTCACCTGTGGTGGGATGGTCGAGCAGGTCCAAGAAGCTTTCGGGGAGACCATGACTTCTGTGGTGTCTCTGTGTGCTCGGTACCCTATCGCGTGTGCAAACAGCATTGGACTCTTATGCACCATACCCTATACCAGGTATACAGGAAATGCCCTGTACTCTATGTAGGTCATACCCCTCTGTGCCTGAGTCAGCAGTAGTGTCTTCTGATGTACAAGACTGGAGTTTTTGGAGTTTTTGATTATTCAGTACTCACTAAACAAGTTCCTGTATACATTCCTTATTTGGTACCTTGTGGACCAAATGCTGCTATTACAACTGCATTACCGCCCAAAGGTCAAGTTCAAAGGAACCTCCTTGGGTGATTACTTCAATTGATGGAAATCTTTTAATAATCATATTTATTTTCTCTCTGGGCTCACTTAGTTAATAGTTTGAAGATGTCAAGAGCTCATGGAATCATTCTTTGAATACCCTTATGATGAAATACATTATTTTTTCTATGATATCAACTTTAAGTTGATTAATATTTTTACTTTGTTGTCCTATGTGAACAAACCAGAATTTGAAGTTCCTTATTTATGAAGGGAGATGTAAGAAAATAGTTTCTGATTAATTGTACATGGCAGGATCATCAGTTGTGACAACAAACTAAACTGATGTCTTTCACATCCCTTTAATAATCTGAACCTTCCTGAGAGTTTCCCCAGGGCTGATCAGTTGTGTCCTTTCAACCATCCTGTGTCACTTTTCAGGAGCGAAGAGAAATGCCTGGTCCGCAGTGGCCTTGTGCAGCTCATGGACCGACTGTGCAGCCTGAGCAGTCAGACTGAGTCCAGCTCCAGTGAGAAGCAGACCAAGAAGCAGAAGGTGGCCACCATGGCCTGGGCTGCCTTCCAGGTGCTGGCCAACCGCTGTGTGGAGTGGGAGAAAGAGGAAGGTGAGGAGTGAGTGTTCTGTCCACTCCCTGATACTTTTGTTGGCATGATGGGGCAGCACGGGTTTGTGTTCCACTGCTCAGGGGCAAGGCTCTGCTATTTCATAATGTCACACAATACCAGTGGACCATTTCATAAGGGCTTGGTCATCAGTGTGGTTCTATGAGAACTTACAGCTGCCTGTGGCACTAAATGATATCCTAGCCTGGAGGGGGATGAAGGCCCTGGAATATTGACAGGGGAGTTTCAGTATCTTCTGGTCAACATTGCTGACAGTCTCCACTAAATATTTTTAGGAAATGGTTGTACAATTGTCTTCCACTTCCTCTTCCCCTTCCCTTTTTCTTTCCTTCCTTTGCTCCCTCCTTTCTTTCTTCTTATACTGGGGTGCCTGCTAAGCAAGTACTCTACTACGTAAGCCATGGCCCCAACCCTTATTTTTATTTTGTTTTTGAGACACGGTCTCACTAAATTTGCTCAAGTGGACTTAAACTAGAGATCCTCCTGCTTCTGCCTCCAGAGTAGCTGGGATTTTGGTGCGTACTACCATGCATTTTAATGTCTTGAGAGCCTTCTATTCCAGGCAGAAGATTAATAAAACATTATTACTCCCCTTAAGAATTCTGTTCTGGAGCCAGGCATGGAGGCATGGCCTATAAACCCAGCACTCTGAAGACTGAGGCAGGAGGATCTCAAATTCTAGGCCAACCTGGGTGTATAGAGTAAGACCCCATCACAAACAAACACAACTATAGTCTGTCACAGGAAAAAAAGCAATTAACAAATAATTGCGGTGTAACCAATTCCATAATCCTGAACCAGGGACCAGCACCAGGCAAAGCTTCCCAGAGGAGGTGGCATGTGAGCTGTTCAGGAAGGATGAAGAAGACTTGTAAACAGAACATACAGTGTGTAGGCTCAGGGACCCAGAAAATAAGAGAGAATCTTTTGTGGCTTTTATAAAGGATGTTTAGGAGGCTTTGAAACCACATCTAACATGGAAAAACCCCGAAAGGTATTTCATTATATTTGAGAAAAAAAAATCGAGATTTTTTTCATGACCAGTAAAATTACGATTCTTCCCTGTCAGTCATGTATGCTCCTCTATTATGTATGGATTACTTGTGTTTAGTTTTCATTAAGAATACGGTCTCCCCTAACACTGAGGTGTTTTTGCAGTATTAGGTTTTTTTGTGTTTTTTGGAGGCAGTGGGATTTGAATTCACGAATTCATAGGTGCTCTACCAACTGAGTCACAGCTCCAGTCCATTTTTGGTCTAGTTATTTTGGAGATGTGGTCTCCTGAGCTATTTGCCTTGGCTGGCCTAGAACTTTGATCCTCTCAGTCTCAGCCTCCCAGTTATCTTGGATTCTTGGCGTGAATCATCCAATACTGGATGGAGTATTAGTTTTTTTGTGTGTAGATATTAGCTGATGAATAAATGCTGATTGGATGATTAGTTAAACATCAGGCATGATAAGATAAAATGAGTTTCGGGGAGGCTTGCTGTGATCACTGTGCTCTTTCTTTTCTTCCTTTAACTCTGAAGGTGGCTCCACAGAGGCTGTGCACTCAGGGCTGGCCCGTCAGGTGTCCAGCCTCCTCACCAACCATCTTGCCCGAGCAACTGAGTGCTGTGGCAACCAAGCTGCTGGGAACGACGCTCTGCAGGATGTCCTGAGTCTTCTCAATGACCTCTCGAGGTGTGCAGCCTGTGCAGAGTGGGGAACGGCTGGCTTTCTCCTCCAATGGCTGGGGTGCCTCTTGCTGGCAGTTGTCTTTTTGAAACATCCAGACTGTAGGCCCTTTTGACACACTCCTGCTTCAAGAAAAAACTGTGAGAATAGTCATTGAAACTTAATGCTTAGTTCCAAAATGCAGGGACTCTCTAAGGGAATAATGTGTTACTGCTTGCTTTGCTACCTTGCTGGCCACAGCCACTAGCCATGCGTGTCGATGCACCTGCATTCCCTGACCAAAACTCTCACCCCCATCAGAACAGTGTTAGAGCATCATGTGTCAGGCCTGCAAAACTCACTTTTTCATGCTGGGTCTTTAAGCACATTGATTCTGTGCTGGTCTAATACCCATGTACTAGCACAAGCCCCACATTTGTCTGCCTATGCTTGTTGGCTTGTTCTTTGTTTGGCTGCTGCTGGGCTGAATTCATTTTTTTCGTGAAATGTAACAGGTTCATCCATGACAGGTCCTGAGGCTATGTGACAGTAATGAGTATCTGCAAAGCCCCTAGCATGGGTTTCTAGTCTTGGTGCTCTATGAAACATTGAACCTAGGATGCAGGCCAGAGACATCACAGATCAGAAAATAGAAGTCTTTCTTTTAAAGTACTATTGGCCAATTATGAGTGCTCATCAGATGTTAAAAAAATCCTTTGTTGTCCTTGATAAAAACATAGCACCTGGCCTGTGTCTTCTTCCCAAGGTCTGATCCCATGGAACTGTCCTCTCACTGGGGAGCACTTGCTTCTGCACCTCAGTGCTGCCTCCAGCATTGCAGCCTCTCCTTCCTCCTTTTGCAGGAGCCACATAGGGAAAGCCATCCTGAGTCAGCCAGCGTGTGTGTCCAAACTCCTGTCTCTGCTGCTGGACCAGCGCCCATCCCCAAAGCTGGTCCTGATCATTCTTCAGTTGTGCCGGGCAGCGCTGCCACTGATGAGCGTGGAGGACTGTGGGAATGTGGAGCTTCCACCCTGGAGCTACTCTGTCCCCTCCCTGAATAGTGAGCAGGAGGATCCCAGTGACCCAGCTTCCAAGATCGCCTCCCTGCTGTTGGCCAAGCTGGCAGATTATGTGGTTCCAGGTGAGGAGCTCCTGACAAGAGGGTGGCGCTGAGTACTTGTGTCCCACACACAGTCAGGCCTACGATGTACCCATGTGTCCTGTGACGAAGGAGAGTGGGGGGAGAAGGAGAGGAAGAGAGATTCACTAACCATGGATTTTCATATTTCGAGGAACTATGCAAACAACACTGCAGTTTTTCTGAATGGGCTGTCATTTTTGGTTTAAGGATGTCAGACAGTTCTTTCTCCTACTGCTTCTGAACCTGACACCACATTGACAAAAAGCAGTCCCAAGAATTCCTTAAAAGGAGATAAAGATCCCGGAGAAGAGAGTGAAGCAGTGGATGGCAAGCTCTCCATATTTATCCACAAGCGGGAAGACCAGTCCTCCCATGAAGTCCTCCAGCCATTACTCAGGTGACTATACTGGCTGCAATAGCTGTGTGTCAGTTGGCACCACCCATGTCATGGGTTCTTTACATACAGCAACTGCCATCACCCTTTGGGGACACATGAAGAAAGTGAGGCAGAACTAAAATGGACCTCAGCCTCTCTGACGGTAGAACCCAAGCTGGGCCCTCACTGGGTGTTTGACTGAACCCACCAGCGAGCTCAAGCTCTGCTGGGAGTGCCTTGCTGCCTGTGTCTGGGGTGGAGTCTGTGGCCTGCCTTGGGCAGTGAGAGAGAATAAGTGCTCTTGAGGCATCAGCAAACTTAGGGTGAGGCAGAGAAATTGGAGAAGCTTTTTAAAGCTTTAATTCATTGACATGTGAGTGATATGAAGTAAAAATATTATTGGTGCCCAAATATTACAAACCTATAGGAACAGATATTACAAACTTGGGCCAAAGGAAGGTCTGCTGCCCAGCCCAGGGAATTTAGAACAGGTGTTTGTCTCAGATGGAAGAGTCCTCTCTTCACCTAAGCGATGTTGACCCTGTCATCATCCTCATAATTGGATCCTTTGTTGGCTGGGATGGCAGCCAGAAGACTAGGGTACAGTGGCCTCATCTGAACAGGGTCACTGCAGGTCAGAGTTTAGTGAAGAAATCTCCAGGAAACGTTCTTAGTGTTACGGAACATCACAGTTCAGACTCACTGATAGATTTTTTAGGAGGGAGGGGCAGCTGAGTTATTAGAAAGGGTGAATCAGGTCAGGCGTGGTGGCTCATGTCTGTAATACCAGCTACAAGGGAGGCAGAAGTGGAAAGGGTTACAGTTCAAGTCCAGCCCAGGCAAAAAGTTAGACCCCATATCGGCTGTGCAGGAGACAGGTAGGAAGATCAAGGTCCAGGCTGGACTGGGCAAAAACATGAGACTCTATCTGAAAAATAGCTAAAGCAAAAAAGGATGGGGTTGTGGTTCAAGTGGTAGAGTGTCTGCCTAGCAAGTGTGAGGCCCTGAGTTCAAACCCCAGTGCCACACACACAAAAAAAAGGAAGAATCAGTCCTTTGCTACAAGCTGCCACATTCATGCTGCATTGAAGCCCTGAACCCCTGCTGTGAGGGTAAGATGACTTTCTGAGTACCTTGGTGCTCAGCACTCCTACAGCTGGCTTGAAACAGTGTTTTTCTTCATCTCTTTTGTTTGTGCATCATTTTCATATTGGTTTTCAGATTATCTAAAACTAGTTGTTTGAGACTCTAAAAGTGCTATAGTTAATTGTGTAATAATAAATTCATGAAAAAATGGAACCTCTTACTGTGAATTATTTATCTTTTTTTTTTGGCAGTGTTGGTGTTGAACTCAGGGCCTTTTGTACTTACCACTTGAGCCCCACCCCAGTCTACTATGGATTTTTAAAGTTAGTTTTAGCATCTCATAATGGCCTGACCACACATGGGTTGCCTGCCATCCCATGCCCCCAACTAGCAGTGCCTTCATAGTCACTCCCTGCATTACCTCTTGCAGTAGCTCAGAAGGGCGGCCCTTCCGGCTTGGTACTGGTGCCAACATGGAGAAGGTTGTGAAGATGGACCGAGACATGACAAAGGTAAGGGGACCTGGTCTGACAAAGCCCATGATTAAAAGGGCCTCACTCTGCTGTAAGCTTTCAGGAGAAATCTTTTTAAAAAAATAAGTGCAGCCAAGTGTGTTGTCAGGTTCCTGGCTACTCAGGATGCTGAGGATCTCGATTTTAAGGTCGAACTGGTCAACATAATGAAACCTTGTTGAAACAAACAAAAAAAGTAACAGAAAACTCTTAGTTTTGACCTACAATTTTTTCTTAGCTTTTTTAACGTTTTATAGCCTACAATAGTTTTGAAGTGGAAAAGAGATAAAATGTTACTAAGAGAATAACAGATATTATGTATAAATAATTCATAGATATAAAAATATGTCCAGGCTCACAAATAATTAAAGGAAAGAAAGAAAAACAACAGTAATATATCTTTTCTACCTGTCACAGGTCATGTTAAGACAAATTGATAATGTCTACTATTGTAAAGGTGAGGACAAATAAACTTCTCAGGTGTCCAGAGATAAACACATACCATGTTCATCACAGTTTTATTTGAAAAACAAACAAAATAGAATCCGTGTAACCATAGGTAGGAGATTGGTTAAAGGAATTCACATATGTTTATACTGAAATACTACACAATTATAATGCACAATAAAATGTGATAAAAGCAAATTATAAAGCTGTGTATAGTAGGACCCCATAATTATGGAAATCAGAATTTGCATGGACTTACAATTATCTCAGACTAGGTTTATGGAAATTTAACATTCTACATGATATTTTCTGTTTGAATTTTTAAAAAAATGAGCTGGGCATTGGGGATGAACATCTGCAATCTAAACTACTTGGGAGACTGGGATCGGGAGGATCGAGGTGCAAAGCCAGCCCGGGTAAATAGTTTGGAAGACCCCATCTCCAAAACAACCAGAGTAAAATGGACTGGAGGTGTGGCTCAAGCAGTAGAGCACCTGCTTTGCGAGTGCAAAGCTCTGAGTTCAAATCCCAGTCCCAGCAATAATAGTAATAGTAACCATAATAAGCCTGGATTGCTTTGGTAACAGAGAAGAGATTTAAATGAGCACAGTGCTGGGAAAAAGGAAATGAGTAATTAAATATCTTCCACCTGACCCCAGGGAGGCTGTTGTGAAGTGATTACAGAAGAGGCCTCAGCTGCCCTGCGGAAAGCAACCAAGTGGGCACAGTCAGGTCTCATCGTCAGCATTGGGCCACCAGTGGAATCCATCAACCCCGAGACAGTGAGTGGACTGTCCACAGGCGACAAAAAGAAAACCGCCCAAACCTCCATCTGCCGAGAGCGGAACTCTGAACTTGCCAGGTAAACCTTCCACAAGGCCGAACTCCCTGGGCACACTCTCCTCAAGTTGACTGCATAATGGCTTCATTTTTAGGGTTTTCATTTTCGACCATCCTCTTGGCCTGCTGAAAATGAGGAAGGGTACTAGAAATACTCATCTGCTATAGAGTTTTCTCTGAACCACCTGGGACTACACCAGGAAGTAAGGTTATCCAGGTAAATACGAGGTTGTCATGGAAGCACAGGAAGTGCTCGTGGCTCCTTTGCAGCCAGAGGATTCTTGTGAGTGTTAGTAAACCCCTGTACTGTGACCTTATTTCTTTAAACAGTACTTCCCTATTGACCCAACTAAACACAGATTCCTTCTAGGAATAGAAGGATGGTAAGGATGGTGAGCATGGCCGTAGAGAAGTTTGTGTGTGGTCTTTTGCTCCCATAAGTGAGGAGTACCTTCAGCAACATTGTCTTTATTCAGTTCTCATGGCTTATGTAATAAAAATATTGAGGCCCATCATTTCAGAATGTATTAGCTAGCTTTGCATTTCTATAACAAAATACTTGAAACAGCTAACTTAATAAGAAAAGAGTTCACAGTTCTAGAGGTTCAAGGTCACAGTGCTGGCATTGGCCCAATTCTGTCAAATCATGATGGATAGTAGTGGTGGGAGGGGTACAGGAGAAGAGAGAGAGGGGGCTGAGCCAAACTCAGGCTTTTACAACAACACTGTGGAGAACCTACCAAGGGCACATCCCAAGTGACCTAAAAACCTCCCACTAGATCCTACCTCCCAAAAGTGCTGCTGTCTCCCATTAGCACCACCCTAGGGCCACACTTTCAATCACAGTGGACACAAACTATATTCAAATCACAGTGCAGAGGATTCTTCATAACACAAAGAATATGAGAAAAGGGATTTCTTCCTAATGTTGATTTAGCTTGTCATTTTCTAAGTCAACAAAATCCATTTTGTATTGTATGAGTAGAAGATAGTTCTCTCAGATGGGAACCCTGAAACCCACCTCTCTGGACTTCTAATTCTTCCCAGGCATTCACAGTTTTCTTTGTTGACACTCGCAGGACTGATCCCGTCCGGCCCTTCATCAGCGGGCACGTGGCCAACAGCATGGCTGCAGAAGTGATCGCCCTGCTGCACAGCTTGCTGATGGCACCCGAGTCAAACGCTGCTCAGATATGGACCACAACGGCAGAGAAGGTCAGTGCATTGCTGCTTAGCTGAGGAGGCAAAGAGAGGAGCTGGCTCTCTGTGCCTGCGTTAGAATTATGAGCGGCGAGGGAGAGGTTTCCCACCTGAGCCAGGTACATCTGTTGGCCACTCTCCCTGGATTTTACAGAGTTTTAACTCTGTTTATCTATGTCTCTTGTCACTGCTGCTTCTGATTTTACAGAAGTCAGGACATCTTCTCAGGGATAGAATGGTGGTCGTTTCTTCTTGCTTATGTTAGACACTACAGGGTCACATAGTCTTGGTTTATTGGCTGTGTTCAGTGTGCTTACGAAGTCCTAGGGCAGGCTCTGTGTGATTGCTTCCACTGACCGAGTGCCCTACCAGTGACCAAATCATCATTCCACTCCCCCTTTCCACAGTTTCTCTTCACGAAAATGCCTCGCGACAATCCTGAAGGTAGTTGAACGTTGAGATGTAGGCAGTGTGCTGGGAAGGGATGGTTTCCTTCAGAGAGATGATCACTTTCTTTTGGCACTTTCAGTAACAGGATGTTCTATTCTTCCATATTTTGAGGTCTTGCATTTCTGGTTTTGTCTGATCACATAAGGTACATAGGAGCAAAATGTCACTAGACACACCTGATAGATTTGTCCCCCCAAATCTAGAGCGCCTTCAATTCATGGGGCCAGGCGCTGTTGCAGACTGTCAACATCCTTGCTATCAATGAGCACTCTGCCTCTTACTTATAGGTTCTGTCTCGTGCGCTGATGTACATTCCGCAGCTGGGGAAATACGCAGAAAGCATTCTGGAAAATGGCAGCAGCAGTGGCAGAAAACTCGCTAGACTTCAGAGAATCGCACGCCAGGCTGTTGCTGCACTGTGTGCGCTTGGGGGCTTCAAAGAGACAATCAAGATAGGATCTGAGGTTCAGGTAACCAGCTACAGTTTCCCCCATATAAAAGTATCCATGGTTATTGAGTCATCTTAAGACGAGTATCAACCACCTGTTGGGCAAGCCCTTGTTCCTTCAAGGTAATGAATCTAAGAATCTCGTGAATTTTAATCCACCTGTGCTGTATGTTATTTAATTGCTGATACAATTTGTCATAATGTTAACCGTAGTACTTGTGTTCACAGTGTCATTAATGTTGATATTTTAGAATTGGAAGTTTGACATAGTAGCATGCTGTGATCACCTTGCCCATTAGGTCATGGACCTGTTATTTTAAAATAAATGATTATTGTAGCACAGATAACTATAGCAGTAAATGGATTCTTCGTACTTGTCACTTTAGATGGCTGCGTTTAAGTCAGAGCGGTATGTGGTGCTCATATGCCTCTGTCTCCAGGTTCTAGGTAGAGGAATTTCAGGAAGCATCGGAGTTGTGGCTTCCATCAATGAGCAGGAAGGGATAGCTACAGTCAGATTCCCTCCCATAGACTGTCGAAAGACCTCGCAAGCATCAGACACATTGACGATTCCCCTGTCTAGACTTTGCGTTCCAAGGTCAGAGGTAAGGTGATTTTAAGTGCTTTGTAAAATGCCACTGCAAATGCTGGCACAGTTGAGCACAGACCTGAATATCTTCAGTTTTACTTGGGATGCATGTTTACATATTGATTGTAACTATTTAACCAGAACATTTGTGGAAAATTCTCATTCAGATGACAAAATTCGTTTCTTTGGCTAGCAATATTCCATAGTGTGTTATTATTTTTTTATTTTATTTATTTATTTATTTTGCAATACTGGGGTTTTAACTCAGGGCTTCACACTTGCTAGGTATGTGCTCTACCACTTGAGTCACTCCACCAGCCCCTGTATTTTTAATTGACTTGGTGTGGTTTATAATTTTCTGTGATGACTTTATTTCACTGAAAATTCGAGAATGAACTCTAGATAATGATAACAGCTTCATTTCCTATAAACTAATGACTTGACTTTCACTTCTGCCACCAGGCACTGCCTCTCCACAAGCTGTCCATCACAGAGAAGGTGGTGCAGGCAGTGCAGTCCATGCTGCTCCCTCAAGAGGGAAGTCTCTCTATTCACACGTCACTTCCTGCAACAGGAGATGGGGCAGCACCAGTGATGGCAGTCGTGCGGCTCCTGGCTGAAATCAGAACAAGGTGAGCATCCTCCCAGATCACCTGGCATGCTGAAGTGGGCAGGTGACAGAGGCAGAGGTTCTGGGTGGGCCACTCACCCAACCTAGCGCGCCCAAAGCTTGAAGCACTGCCAGCACGTAGCAGTAGCACCGTCTTGCACTGTGTGCCAGTTTGTTGTGTCCCCAGTCTGCGGTTTTTGTTGTGTCACCAGTTTATGCGCTTCATAACAAGTCGAGCCATCCACCCAAGGAAATAAACCTTTGAAATGGGATGTGTGGGAAACATACATGATGCTGCTCTGGTTTGCTCTGGTGAAAGAACTTTTGTATCACAGGAACAACTGCTTTGTGTTTGGGGGTGGGGGGTGGGGGGTGGGGTACAGGTTCAAACTCAGGGCCTTGTGTTTGATAGGCACGTGGCCTAACATTTGAACCTGCCCCCAGCCCTTTTTGCTTTTACTTATTTTTCACATAGGGTCAAACTTTTTGCCCAGGATAACTTCAGACCATTATCTTCCTATCACTGCATCCCAAGCTGGGATTCCAGGTGTATCCCACCATCCCCAGCTTATCTGCCACTTTCTTATGTGATACAGGCTGCATTATGTGTCTAGTCCCTCACTTTCCAAATTCATGACTGGGAGCTGGAGGTGTGGCTCAAGTGGTAAAGGGCCTGCTTTGCAAGTGTGAAACCCTGAGCTCAAACCCCAGTCTCACACACACAAAAAAGTCCAAATCAATGACTGGGCAACCAGGGAATGCTCACAGTATTGGGAAAGGAGAACAGGCTCTTCCTGCAAATGCATTTATTTACCATTGATCAGGGGTAGCAAGTTTATCTTTTGATAGTGGAACTTTACAGAAACTTCTAAGTGAAGAGAAGTCAGCATATGATTTCCTAGTTTGGGGACCCTTTTGCCTCTGGAGCTTATATTTGCACAGACAGCTCAGTGTGAGGAAGGCTGGTCAGAATCATCCCCCGGCACCTTGGTGTCTTCATTTAGTGCAGATTTTCATGCAGTTCAGCAGTACTGTGAGAGAAGTTACTTATCCAGTCCTCCCTTGGTGTCTGTAGGGGACGAGAGACCAAAATCTGCAGATGCTAAATCCTTTATGTCAAATGACATAGTGTTTGACACTTTCAGTCAGCCCTAGATGGCTTAATGATACCTAACACGATCTAAATGTTACATATGTGGTTGTTGCACTGTGTTGTTTAGGAAACAATGACAAAAATGTCTGCATGTTCAGTACAGATGTAATTTTTTTCCCAAATATTTTTGATCTCAGGTTGGTTGCATTCACGTGCAGAGCCCGTGTGGATATGGAGGGCAACTGTACATCACCAATTTGGTCCAGCTTAGAAAAATAGAGAGTGTAAATTGGGGGACAGAATAGATGGAAATGTTTTTCACAGTTGACTTTTTAGAGAATGAACATGGATGAATTTGAAATATTGTAAATCTTTCAACATTAAGAGCCTGCCTGGTCATGGCCCAACTTTTAGAAGACAGCTTGTTCTGTGAAGAATTCATACAGCAGTGTCCAGCAGCCGTGGAAGTCCTTAACCTCGTGGCCCAGGAATGCAGTGCTGGTGAGTGTTGTTCCCTTCCTTCCTCCCTTGTGGGCACCTGTGTGTGAGAGGGATGCTAACTGTTCTCATGCACATGAGGCAGCTGGGCTCTGCAGACTCTGCTCCTCACCACTCCGTTCAGCTCCCAGCCCCTGCACAACTGAGGTGAGGAGCCCTCAGCCCTTGCCAGCTAGGAAAGCAGTCCAGCAGCAGGCCAACTTAGAGCCTTTTCTTTCTTCCATTCCTAGTAATCTGTTGCCTTTATTGGCCTATTGGAACTATAGGGAGGGTGTGTACATTCTGACAGTTGCCTTTTTTTTTTTTCGGTACTGGGGCTTGAACTCAGGGACTTAAATTGCTAAGTAGGCTCTCTACCACTTGAACCATTCTGCTGGCCCTGTTGCCTGTTTTTTAATTGTATTATATGTCTTTTTATTTTTGAGTTACAGGATTCTTTATTCTAGATAAACTAGTCTCAGATCCAAGTTTCAAATGTTTGCTTCCTTCTCTGAGTTGTTTTCTTACTTACTTGATAACATTCTTTGAAAAAGAGATGACTTTTATGTTGATAAAGCCTAGTTTACCTAGCTTTCTTTTGTTAACTTGTGCTTTTGGAGTCATAGCAAAGACACCCTTAGTAGTTTTTAATCCAAATGGTGTGTAATTTAAGGTCTTTGCATCTATATTTTCTTCCAGGGTTTTTATAGTTTTAGCTATAGGTTATTTTTAGGTCTTTGATCCACTGTGAGTTAATTTCTGTGTGTTGTGTAAAGTATCTCTAATACCTCTCACACCTGACCATTCTAGACCTTTCCTCAGTGTCTATCATGCAGAATCCCCTCCTTCAGATTTCCTCCTTTGAAATTTGGTCTTTTCTGAGATCTGAGGTCGTGCTGTGTGCATTGAGCCTCTGAGATCTGAGATCATGCTGTGTGCATTGAGCCTTTGGATTCTGGGATTTAGTCACCGCCCCTCATCTGTGCCTGGGTTTGTGCTTTATATCACATGCTCACGTTCTTGCAGCCTTATGTTTCTGTGTGTGTGTGTGTGTGTGTGTGTGTGTGCACAAGTGTGTGCGCGTGCACACTCATCTTATCTCCTCTGCCGTATCTTTGTATTCTCCAGCATCTGGCAGTGTGCCTGACTTACAGGAGATATTCAATAGGCATTAATTTTTTTTAAATCAATTTAGATATGAAGAATAATGGCCTTCATTTGTTAGCATGTTTGCTCTGTGTCAGGAGTTTGAGTTATTTCATCTCATTTTCATGAAACCCTGTGGGGCATAGCTACTGTTACCTTCATGTTGGAGGCAAAATGGAAAATTCTGAGTAACAGAGCCCTCTCTGGCTCCAAGCAGCCCACTCCCAGAGCTGTACCTTGCCCACACTGCCTGCCGCTGAGCTACATTCCATAGACAAAGCCAACCCAGGAGTTAAGTGATCTCAGTAAGTGAAGCTTGTTGTTGGTGATGCTCCAAGAGTCCGTGCCCTTCCAGGACTGCAGGAGTTGTCTCTCAGATTCCATGTGTCCCTTTATAGGAGAGCGACTTGCAGTTGTGGAGGTGCAGTGTGAGCGCCTGAGGATGCTGTACCGGGACTGTGCTCGGCCCCCACCACCTCCCCTGCAGGCTGACCGGAGACAGGTGAGCCCTCCACACAGACCTTATAACATTTACAATGATGGTTTGCAGGCCGGTATGTACCTCAAGTGAGCAAAATATGATATATTCAAACAACAAAATGTTATCTACTGATACCTGCTACAGTGTAGATGAACCCATGCAAAATGAAACAGTCCAATCACATAAAGACCACATATTTTACACTTCCGTTGTGTAAAAACGTCTACTGCAGCAAGTCCATAGATAAAGCAGACAGATTAGTGGTTGCCAGGGGCTGGAGGAAGCAGAGTATTGAGGGACGGGGATGGGAATGACTTCTAATGGAATTCCTTTTAGCAGGAAAATGAGTGTTCTAAAGTTGAATCACGGTGATGGTTGCACAAATGCACGAACACCCAAAACCGCAGACTTACGCACTTTAAATGGGTGATTGTGTATTTTGTGGGTTATATGAAATAAGTTGGTACATCTAGGTAAGAGCACACGTGGCTTGTCATGTACTTGTAGTTTTCCTGTGCTCTTGAAATTGTTCCAAAGTTTAGAATAAATAAAAAAGTAAAAGTCACCTTAAATCTCAACATCCCCAGTTGCCATTGTCAACGCGTCAGTGTGTAACTTTCTAAACAAAAGTAGGTTTCTGTTGTCCATACTCTTTGTATGCAGCTTTACCTCCTCATGCCAACCTCCAGCAACCACCCTATCCCCGTGCCTCAGTTTATTCCCTCTGACTTCTATTGTCAGACACCCAAGCTGACTTGAGCGCTTTCTATTGCAATCTTACAAGCATCCTTGCTGCTGAATCTTTACGTGCGTGTTTCGGTTCTCTCTGAAGATGCATGCTGTTGAAGGTAGAGACTCCTGAAACTTCAGTGATCACATTGATTAAATATTGTGAAAGTCAAAGAGGGACAACTAATCCCAAAACATTGTCTCTATAGGACCCTTGCTTAACCCTGAGCTGAACGTTAAATCATAGGAACATGCTCTGATTACAGACTGAACCAAGTCTGTCTTCCAACTATGTGATACCATGTGAGGATGAGTTTGCAAGTGTGGACAGATGGGTAGATCTGTCAAAATTCAAACCACAGTTCTCATAATGGAAGAAATGCGATGCTCAGAGGGAAAGTAGAAATAGCGTTGTAAACACAAGAAAGAGAATTAACAGTCACAGAGCTAAAAGTGATTATTTTCAGGGAACAGGACTGCACATAGGGAAGGAGATTGCCTCTTACTAAAAAATAAAGTTCCCTTTGGGAGGGGGGAAATAGATACACTTTTTTTTTTTTTAATAAAAAGCCAGCTTTATTGAACAATGGAATAGGTAGACTTTCAAATTAATTATTTTTGCTTCATAGCTTTTGTAATCATCTGATCCATGCTAGAACCTACTAGTGTTGCTACTGTACAGAGGTGCTTGTCAAGTTTGCATTTCGTTTCAGCTCTGTATCATACACAGATACCTAAATGTGGGTCGGATCTTGTTGACTGCATTATTAGCGTGTGTTAGTGCATGCATGTGCACTGCCTAGGCTGGCAGTGAAGGACCCCTGCTCCATAACAGCTTTCAACACATGCACAAATGTGAGCTTTATGCAAAAACTTTGGTTTGGCTTTAATTATTCTTACATTAGTAGGAGCCTACAGACACTACCTCCTAAACAGAAATGACACTTAGCATTTTTGGTAGGTAAAACTTGTTTTTTTCATGTTTCAATGAGAATGCCATATAAACCTTTTTTGAACAAAATGGTCAGGGTACTAAAAAAAACTACAAGATGTACTTTTTAATATGTATATGTAGGGTTGTAGCTCAGTAGTAGAATGCTTGCCCAGCATGTCTGAGGCCCAGGTTCAATTCTCAGCACTGCACCCCCACCCAAAAAAAAATGTATGTATGCATGTATGTATATCTCTCTATATACGCACATACTCTATGTATTCTACACACATAGAGATAGAGGCACATATATACGTGTGTGTGTATGCATGTATCACCATATATAAGGCGATATTTTAATAGCATTAGATAAGAATTATTGTTTTTTCTTCTCTGAGGGATAATGTAATTTATATCTGCAGTTCTGTTGGTATGAATAGGTTTATTTATTTATTTTTTGTGGTACCGGGCTTTGAACTCAGGGCCTCACAAGTGCTAGGCAGGCACTCTACCTTCAGCCCCTGCACAGCCCCTGCAGTTCTGTTGACTAAGGCTTTCTCTCCATGTAGCCTAAGGAGATCACTTGGAGCCCCTCAAGAGTGTTCCCTCCAGTGCGTGCCTGCATGTTCTCGTCGCACCTGACCTCTGTCACCTTTCTGGCCGACCCCAGTGCTGGGGGAGGTCTGCCCCGGGGCACTTTTATCTATGCTACCTCGCCTCTGCCAGTTCAGGTGAGAGAGCCACGGCACCATGTTTTACTGGTTTCTGGTTTCCTTCAACCACAAAGGAGCAGGTAGTAGGGCCCTGGCAGAGCCCTCTGACTGTCGCCCTCTGCTGGTGTCTCTTCAGGCCCCATCTTTTTACTGGGAAATTGAAATTGTTTCCTATGGAGATACTGATGACGATACCGGACCAATAGTTTCCTTTGGCTTTGCTACAGAAGCAGAGAAACGAGATGGGGCATGGACCAATCCAGTGGGTACTTGCCTTTTCCACAAGTAAGTGGCCTCTAGCACTGTCAGTCAAAAAGAAATAAATGGGTCCAGAGAACAGGAGCTTCCCCAAGTTGTTCATGGTGCTCAGGAAGTCCTTTGGACCTTTACAGTACACATTGGCACAGTCCCTTCCTAGCTGTCCTGCCATGAGAAACTGTTACCTTCATTTCCCAGATGCATTTGAGGCTGTTGCCTTTATCTGTGAAGACAGTTTGGGAGATGCTACTGTGGGTTGTCATACAAAAGGAATATCACAACCACCTCTGTCCCCCTCATGAACATTAATGCCAGTTGAAAATGTAGTCATGTGTTGAGAAAGAGACTCGCTCTTAGTATTCCTGGTGACTGTCACAGTGCTGAGGCACTCCTCTGTCCCCCTGCCTGCCTCCGTGTGGCCAGTCTCATCTTTGACCTTCCCCTGTTTTCCTCCCAGCAATGGCCGAGCTGTGCACTACAATGGCTCCAGTCTGCTGCAGTGGAAGAGTGTTCGCCTAGATGTTGCTCTTTCTCCTGGTGAGTGAGCAGGGCCTTCTTACCCTGCCTGCTCCTGGGCTCCCAGGCTTGGTCTAGATGGGGTGCAGTCAAATACATTTAGCAACAGGAAATGGGCCATTAGTCTTCTAGTAAAACCAAGTACTTGTCACTGCTGTCCCTAGTTGACACCAAAACTCTCACTTCTGAGGTCCTTACCCAAGAGCCTCCCTGTGGTAATTGAGGAGCATGTCAACTGTTGTCCTGCTGTCACACCTGTTGCAAATAAGAAGTCTCCTTAGTAGTTGATAAAAGAGCAAAATGTTCTCTGCCCTAGGTGATGTGGCAGGAATCGGCTGGGAGAGGACTGAAGGGACTCCGCCCCCGCCAGGTCAGCCGGCCAAAGGCCGAGTGTACTTTACATACTGCGGGCAGCGTCTTTCACCATACCTCGAAGACGTCTCTGGTGGGATGTGGCCTGTGGTTCACATTCAGAAAAAGGCAAGTTACTTTCCTGAGAAAGGAGAACAGATGCTTTTTGATAATTTGATCGTTTCTGGAAGGGAAAATGGAAGGTACCAAATGTATGCTGTTGGACACACCATGTTGTGCACAGTGACACAAGGAAAGGCAAAACAGGGCTAGGGCATGACTCAAGTGGTAGAGTCCTTGCCTGGCAAGTGCTGGGCCCTAAGTTCAAACGCCAGTACTGCCAAAAAAAAGGGGCAGGAAAAAAAAAAAAAAAGAGCACAGGAGTAGGCTCCTTCCTGCGCTGACCCCTCAGTTTTGGATTGGGTGACACTCTGTCAAGAATTTGGTGCTTCACAGCTCTATCCACCTTTCAGCCATCACTCTAAGCATTGCAGACCGTGCTCGTGTTCTCTCCAATGCTGCGAAGTGCTAAGTTGGGGTAGTGTCCTTTGGGTTACTTCGAGTCTCAGAAGCTTGGAGGAAGACCAGAGGCATGGTTTAAGTTGTCAAGCACCTGCTTTGCAAGCACAAAGCCCTGCCCAGTCCCACCAAAATAATTTTAAAAACAAAAAATGTTCTGGGCACTTGTGACTCCTATCTGTAATTCTAGCTACCTGGGAGGCCGAGATCGGAAGGATCACAGTTCAAGACTAGCCCAGGCAAATATTTCCTGGGACCCCCATCTCCAAAATAACCAGAGCAAAATGAACTGGAGGTGTGGCTCAAGTGGTGGAGCCCCTTCCTTGCAAGTGCAAAGCCCTGAGTTCAAACCCCAGTCCCACGTTAAAAAAGAAAAAAAAAAAAAAAAGAGATTCAGAAGTCCAATGTCCCTGTGCCCAGCTTCACACGCATTTCATCTGAGCTTCTGTTGTTGTGGATGGAGCACCTAGTAACTTCTAATGCTCTGAGACACGCAAATTCGTATCTCCACCCAGATCACATTCAGACCCCTCCTCATGGCCAGCAGCCAAGGCAACACCGGGAAGAGATGTCATAGTCACATGCCAGAGTTGATGTGGCCAAAACTGAGTGAGCTCTGCCCTGAACCTGGAGCTATCTTCCCTTGTCTCCAGAAATGGCAATTCCTGCTTCCAGGTGCTCAGGCCCAAACTTGAGGGTCCTCCTTGAGTCCTCTTTTTTTCTCTTGCTCCATATCCAATCTGTCAGCAAATCTTGTTGGCTGTGCCTTCAAAATGTCCCCAGCACCTGACCACTTATCTCACCCTTCCACTGCCCACCTGCCTAGCCACCATCAGTCCTTTGGCTAGCTGATCCCCATTATTCCTGGCTCCTTTCCCACCCCTGCCTTTGCCTCTTTACCTGTTGTTCAACATAGTAGTTCCAGTGATACTTTACACGTGTAACAGACTAGGATGTGTTCAGCAGCAGAGCAAGTATGGCCGAGCATGTGTGAGACCTTGGGTTCCATCCCCACTGCCACATTCACACAACAAAAACATTGGAATGTCACTCCTCTACTCCATACCAGTCCATGTCACACACTGTAAAAGCCTTTGTAATGACCTACCAGATCCTGTAGGGCTTGATACCATGTCTGATTCTATCTTTTATCTCTTTACTTGTTGAGTGAATCAGAGATGCCAATAATTTAAGACAGCATTTCTCAGACTGTTCCATTCATTCTTTCAACAAATATTTTTGAGCATCCACTATGTATGTGTCAAGCTCTAGATTTGAACAGTGAACAAAACAGATGTGGCATCTGTCTTCATGGGACAGATTCCTCAGCTGGAGGAATTGAACATTAGTCAAATAATCAAAGAAATGTATACATTGGTTTATAATCACAAACTAACAAATACTATGAATGAAAATATTCTTGGAGGGTGAATATGGTGCAAATACTGTGTACACATGTGTAAATGGAAAAATGAGACCTGCTAAAACTGTTCCAGAAATGGGGGGAGAGGAGGATAAAGGAGAATAGTAGAGGGGGTGAATTCAAGTACGATATATTTGCTATATTGTAAGAACTTTTGTAAATGCCACAATGTCACCCCACCCAGCACAAGAATAAAGCCTTGGCAGAATCTAGAAATAAGTTACATACAAAAGTAAGGAAGGGGAATAAGATGGTGACTCAATCTACTTGGTGTGCTGATGACAAGTATGCTTTTACATTTACTTAAAGAATGTGAAATTAAAATTTAACCCTGAATGACACAGTTGTATTGCTCTTGATGTCGTACTAAAAGCCTCTTCCGGCTTAAAGGAGAGAGAAAGAAAGAAAAAGAAAATGTTAGTCTTTACTGAAGCAATTTCTAAGCCTGTCTGCTCACAATCCTGGTTCTCTGATGATCTGGAATATTAACTGGTCCTAAGAGGCAAAGATGGAGAAACAATGTTCAGGTGGAGAGAGCAGCAATGGTGTTGGGTAGAAAGGAACACACCTGCAATACCAGCACTTGGGAGGTGGAGGCAGGAGGATCATGAGTTCAAGACCAGCCTACACTATATAGCCTTATCTCCAAGAAAGAAAGAATGGAAGAGGAAGAGAGAGGGGGAGGGAGTGGGAGAAAGAAACAGTGTTGGAAACCAGAATGGTCACTGTGTGTGAGTAGCAAAGAGTCTGAGAGTGAAGGGGGCAGTGCGGTAAGCACAGGGCATGCCTGCTTCTCCTGCGAGCCCACTGCTAGGCTGTTCTTCTGATTGGATGTTTAGTGTAGTACACCTTGGGTGTTAAAAAATGAATAGGAAAAACCTAACTCCTTTCAAATCCTTCATTTGATCTCCTTTCCAGAACACCAAAACTCGAGCCAACTTTGGCTCCCGCCCGTTTGCCTATGCTGAAGGGCAGGCCCACCGCAATGCCGCTGACCTGTGCACCGACCTGGCGGAGGAGATCAGTGCTAACTTCGAGGCCCTGCCCTTTGCTATGGCATCTGACAGTGACAATGACGCTGGCACCAGTATTGCATCAGACCCAGGCACTCACGGGCCACCATGTCGGATTGCTGCCGTGGCTACCGCACAGCAACGTAAGCCACTCTTTCTGCTGTCAGGGAGCACAGGTGCTGTGAAAGTCCACAAATCCACTTAGCTTGGGCATCCCCATTACAGTCAGGGGCTGTGGACTCAGTGCCACCAGAATGAAGAAGTAGCAGGCCACAGAGAAGAACTGGGCACAGGAGGCATGACCCACTGGAAACCGGTCACCGTGTTGCTCCAGCAGAAACCCCACGAGTTCATACATGAAATCTGTTTTACAGCGTTACTCATTTTAAAACTTTTAGGGCTGGGTAAGGTTCAAGTGATAGAGCAGAAGAGTACTTAAATGCTAGGCCCTGAGTTCAATCCCCAGTGCCGAAAAGGGGGAAAAAAATGTTTCAAAAATGGGCTTGTGGAGTGGCTCTTGGTAAAGCACCTGCCCAGCCAGTGCAAGGCCCTGAGTTCAACCCTTGTGCTGCCAAAACAACAACAACAAAAAAACCCTGAGGTCATGAAATAATAATAAAAGACAGCTATAGAATTTGTGTAGTGCGTTACATAGGTATTCACTAAAAGCTTTCCCGATTATTTGAAAAATTTCGTAGTAAAATAGAGTAAAACCGGGCTTGCAGGACTAAAGTAATCTACAGGCCATATTTGGCCAGTGTGATACTGGTTTGCAAGCTGTTCTGACAGCCTATTACTTTCTCATGGTGAAGAACTTTCCAGATCTTCTCTGAATTGAATTAATCATATGAAAACAATGATTTTAGGATTCAGGGTAATCACAGATACTTGACTCTGTGCTTTATAATTCTTCAATGTACTAGAAATCTTTCCAGTACAAATTCATAGAATTCAGTTTGTCCCAGAGTGAGAAGTTAATGATTTTCCCTACCTGCTCTTGTTTAGAATTCACAGTTGTCATGCTTTGTTACAGAATATGATAGTGACACCTCCTGTCACTATAAAGTCGAGCTCAGTTATGAGAATTTTATCACCTCTGGCCCAGACCCTCACCCACCTCCCATTGCCGATGATGAAAGTGATGATGACGACGACGATGACATCCCACAGGTGAGAGACCCACGGACCTGGGCCAGGACTTAGCAATCGCTTAACTACCTGGTGACCAGGACAAGCCTCAGGGAATGATACCAGTGTGAGGTTCGAGGCCAGCATTGTTAACTGTCAACTGCATCCTTGAGTTTGGGTGTTCATCTTTCTAAGCCACCTGTCAGCAGCCATGTCTGCTGGGCTCTGCTGCCCAGTAGGGGTGCAGGTGTTAAAAAATGAAGGACTTTCTCAGCAGTCAGTCCAGAACACTGTGGGTGCTTCTGCAGCCTTCTGCAGTCTTTTGTTTACCAGGGAGAGTTTGCTCCAGCCACATTGTACTCCTGGCATCCCAGGAGTGCTTTTAGACCAGGGTTTCCAGTGCTGGCATCGCATGGGGTGAGGGCTGCACAAGGAAGGGATTGCTGCCTGCACCAGACTCCTCCTTGGCTCACAAGTCTCCTCCCTCTTCCAGGAGGACCATTATGCCCTGCTGGTGAAAGCGTGGGAGACCAAGGTATTCCCCACCATCCGAAGACGCTTCCGCAATGAAGCAGAGCGGAAATCAGGCCTGGACCAGATCAAGGGTGCTCTACAACTAGGTCTGGGCTCTTTGTTCTCCTGAGGAGTCAAAGGCCAGGAGGGACAGGGTAGATGTAAGTCAGGAGAGGCTCCTTGGATGGGGCACCTGGCTTGATGATGTCTTCTCCCCATATGCCAGTGAGCTGGGGTCTCCTGCCTTCAGTGCTAGACCTTTACTTGCTTGCTTGTTGGTGGGCTGCCGAGTGCAACAGGAAACCATTTGGCTGGCTGGTGAACAGTCACATCTGAAGTCACAGAGGGCCAGCTGTCCACTATGGGAGCTCATGTTCAAGTGGAATCCATAGTGGTGCCCACTGAGTTTGCATGTGGGAAATCAAGGAGGTGACACAGACAGAGTGCCCAAGAGCAGGGCTGGCCATCGTAAGCATCAGCCAGTACAGTTCTCAGTGTCACAGCAGGGCTGATGACTGTGCATTTCCCTTAAAGAAAGCAATGGCAGAGGCTGACAGGAGCAGAGGAGGTGGCCCAGAGGACCTCCTTTGTATGAGTGGATCAACCTCCTGTCATCTGGTCCTCCTCATGGGAGGAAGGAGGTTAATGAAGCCACCATGTGCTCTGCAAGGTTAAGGTGGCATTCTTCCTGTGTTTGTGACTCCTATTTATGAGACAGTAGAATATTTTTTTTCCTCCATTATTCCTTTTGAAAATGTTGCAAGCATTCTTGTTGCATAATCTTCCAATGGCAGGCCACAGTCTTTTGTTTACTCTGGTCTTTCTCTAAGTACCCTTTGGAACTACAACTCCCTTTTAAATTGCTCAGAAAATGGCCACGACTTTTTCTTACAGTAGGTCAGCAACAAAAGAATGGTAGGTGATAGACCTGTTTAACCCCTGTTCTTCTATTCCTCTCTCCCCTTCCCTTCCTCCTCCTCTACTGGGGTTTGAACTCAGGGTTTTCCCCTTACTAGGCAATTGTTCTACACTTGAGCCACTCCTCCAGCCCTTTTTGCTTTAGGTATTTTTCAGTCAGGGTCTCTGTGTTCATACAGAGAGGCCAGCCTGGACTGCAGTCGTCCTATTTACGCTTCCTGTTTTGCTAGGATGTCAGATGCCTACCACCATGCCCAACTTTTAATTGGTTGAGATGGGGGTCTCATGAACTTTTTTTACCTGGGCCGGCCTCATTCTTCTTTCATGCTGATCCTACCTCCCAAGTAGCTAGGAGTACAGGCATGAACCACCACACCTGCCATTAACCCCTGTTCTTCTGCCCACAACTTCCTAAGCCCTATGGGGTCAGAGGCAGCAATAGCAAATGGAGAAGTTGGGCTCCATCTTGCTGTACTCCCACAGTGCTTTCTTTTCTTTCTGGGTATTTGGACATTTATTTACTTGGTTTGTTAGTTAATAATGGCTGTTTTTGCTGTCAGAATTTAATGATATCTTCTTCTCTGGGAAGGAAGAACAGCAGCCAAGCATGGTGTCACACACATGTAACCCCAGAGCTCAGGAGGCTGAGGCAGAAGGATCAAGCATTTGAGGCCAGCCTGAGTTCCACAGGAAAATCCTGTCTCAGGAAAAAAACAAAAAAAGTAAATCTCAGGACTGGATAGAAGCTGATACAGCTTAACTCTCTGCCTCTTAATAGGCAATGTATGTTTATTATACTGAAAATCCTATAGCAAAAAACCTGTAAAGTAAGAAGTAAATGTTACCTTCACTTTCTTCCTCCTCTCTGTTGTTTGTTCTTTTGAGTTAACCAAAATGAAATGACTATGTAATAATTAATGTACTGTCATTTTTTAAGCATCCTGTACTGATGGAGTCTGGTTATTTCCATCTTTTTGTTGTTGAGTGGCAGTGTTGCAGTGCGTGTTCTTGTGTCTGTGTACACTTGTGCTTGTGTTCCTGCAGGAGAGGTATGAGAGAGTCCTAGAAATAATGCATTAGTATTTTCAATGCAGAGGTAACTGCACGAGTACCTTCCCCAAAAGGTTGCATCCTCCACAAAGAGTGTCTGGATGATTCTCCATGATTGCATTGCAGATGTGGGTTGGCATCAATCTGAAGCTTGTGCTCCCTGGAGAGAGTTACTCAGTGTGTTGTGTTTTCAGGCATGGTGGATATCGCCCGGCAGACCGTGGAATTTCTCTATGAGGAGAACGGTGGCATCCCAAGAGACCTTTATCTTCCCACCATTGAGGACATTAAAGATGAAGCCAGCAAGTTCACAATTGACAAAGTTCGAAAAGGTTGTGATTTGTCTCCTCCCTCCTTCACCTATGAAATTCCATAGAAATAAGCAGGTGCATTTTCCCAGGAGTGAGCCAAGTAGCAGGTGGCTCTCCTGGGTGGCTTCTTCCAGGACCTACCAGGTGGGGCCATCAAATGCCCATGTAGGGCACAAGAAGGTGTTGGCTTTTCTTGGTTGTTCCCATGTGCCCACAGTTTACTGGCACAAGCAGCTGAGGCAGAGCCAGGAGTACAAGGAGGGAACAGAGCCTGTGCTGAGGTTCCTGGCTCAGTCCTGGCTCCTTTGCCATTAAGCCACCCACTCATGGTTCACCAGGCTTTTTTAGTATCTAAAATAGAATTTATTCTTTTGCTTAAAAAAATCTATTGCAATCTTTTAAGGAAACGATACAAAAACACAAAAAAGAGAATTTTAAACCATTCATTACTTTTAGAATTGCCAGATGACCTCTACAAAAATACCAGAGCATTATGGGCAAGTGCAGGAATATGTATTTATTTTCTTTCACTCACTGTCTAACTTGCTTTCTTTTTTCTTTTGAGGGGAGGTGTAATTCACTTACCATAAAATTCACCCTTTTGGGAACTTGTGGGTGTGGCTCAGTGGTAGAGTGCATGCTTAGCATGCCCATGGCCCTGGGTTCAATCCCCAGCCCCACGACCAACAAAAAATTCACCTTTTGAAAGTATACACCTCAGCAGTTTTAGTGTACTTGCAAAGTTGCGCAATTATCAAACCATTGCCTCTAATTCCTTAGCATTTTCATTCCCTTAAAGAAATTCTGGGGCTGAGGGCATGCATGGCTCAAGCAGTAGAGCACCTGGCTCACAGGCACTAATCCCTGAGTTCAAATCCCAATACCACAAAAAAAAAAAAAAATGAAAGAAATCTTGTACTTTGTTACACCCCATGCTTCTCTTCCCCCCAGCATTAGGGAACTGCTGTTCTGCTATCTCTGTGGACTTACCTGTTCTGGACACTTCCTGTAAATAGAATCATTTAACAGGTTGCCTTTTTTGTCTGACTTCTTTTTTCCAGGTTCTTCCATGTTGTAGCATATACATTAATAATACTCCATTCTTTTTTTTTTTTTTTTTTGGTGATACTGGGGTTTGAACTCAGTATCGTACTTGCTAGGCAGGCGCTCTGTCACTTGAGCCATTCCACCAGCCCAATAATACTCCCATTATTGAGGCTAGGAGATGTGGTTCAAAGGTAGAGCACCTGCCTAGCAAGTGTGAAGCCTTGAGTTCAATCCACAGTAGTGCCCCCCCAAAAAAAAAAAATTAAATACCCCATTCTTTTTTGTGGCCAAATAATATTTCACTGTGTGACTCTGCTGCATTTTGTTTGTCCTTGCACGCACTGATTGACATTCGAGTTGATTCCACCTTTTGTCTGTTACTCACAATACCCAAGCATTAATTGCAAGTCTTTGTGTGGGCATGTTTTCATTTCTTCTGAGCATCTACATAGGAGCAGAATTTCTGTGTCAAGCTATTTTGCAAAGCAGTGGCACCATGTAACATTCCATCATCAGTGACTGAGGCTTCCAGTTGCTCCATGTCCTTCTCAGCACTTGTCATTGTCTTTGATTCAGCCATCCCAGTGGGTGTGAAGTGCCTCACGGTGGCTCTGACATACATTTCCCTCATGATTAATGACTAGTGTTCAACATCTTTTCATTTCTCTTAGGAAATTTTTACTCAAATCCTTTGCCCCTTTTTTTTCTAGTACTGTGGTTTGAACTCAGGGCTTTGTGCTTGCAAGGCAGATACTCTACTGCTTGAGCCACTCCACCAGCCCCTTTGTCCATCTTTAAGTGTATATTTGTCTTTTTTTGTTTTTTTTTTTTAGTACTGGGTTTGAACTCTGGGCTTTGGGCTTACCATGCAGGTGCTCTACCCCTTGAGCCACACCCCTAGCCCTTATATTTCATGAATTGTAAGTTTCTACACAACATTTTGTTGTATTACCTTCCAGGCTGAGCTGTGTTCCTTTCTGGTTATCAAAAATCTGAGTATATTGTCAAATGCCGCAGAGCTATTTTAGACCCTATAATACAGGGTCCCAAGGTGATACCCTACTTCCTCCTGAAGAACCTTGTTCTTCCTCAGGTCTCACTGTAGTGACACGCTCTCCAGACACCAATAACGTAGCTGGCAGTACTGTTGGAACTGCTCTGCCAAAATTTGCCATCCGAGGGATGCTGAAAACCTTCGGCCTTCATGGAGTCGTCCTAGATGTAGATTCGGTAAGTGAACAGCTATTCAGACTGAGGAGTCTTGTGCTCACTGAAACTCAGACTCCTAGGACCTTAAAGATGATGTGGCTGGGGAGGAGCTCAGAAGTAGAGTGTGCATTTAGCGTGCTCCAGGCCCTAGGTTCAACCCCTAGCTCCAGAGGAAATGAGTAATTACTCACTTGGGTTTCTTTTCAAACTAGGGACAAAGAAACCAAGCAAAAGTGGCTTTGCGTCACATGGCTTGCCTGAGATTTTTTCGCGAGACATCGTAAGCTCTCAACTCTCAGCTCCTTCTGACCACACCACCTCTGCTGTGTGTCCTGTCAGCCATGTCCAGGCTGTCCCTACCTGACATCTCCCCACATTCTGAGGGAGAATTCTCTATTGTCCTTGGCGAATGATCTGTCATTGTCAGGGTTGTTATACAGACATGAATCAAAGAAAGAACTTGGACTGGGGCTGTCACTTAGAAGTAGAACACTTGCCTGTCATTCATAAGGTCCTGGGTTTGATCCAGGTACTATCAAAAAAGAAAAAAAGAGCTTTGTTATTTTGATCACGTATCTCATTGATTCTCTCAACCTTAGTTTCTCCCTCTGTCCACTAAGTGTATTAAACTTCATCAGTAGTCATCTCCACTCTATAAAGCTGTTTCCTGGGGCTCATAAGGATTTGGAGGAGGAGGAGCAGAGGGGTGAGACAGGCAACGCCAAAACTTGTTCTTGGAAATAGGCTGCTGTGGCTGGGGGGGGGGGTGGCTCACAGCTATAATCTCAGCTTCTCAGGAGGCAGAGGCAGGAGGATCAAGATTTCAAGGCCAGCTCAGGCAAAAGACCAACAAAATACAGAGCTGGGGGTGTGGCTCAAGTGTAGAGTACCGGTTTAGAAAGCACAGGGTCCTGAGTTTAATCCCTAGCAGTGCAAGAGAGTGAAAAGGGGAACAGGCTGCTGTCTAAAAGCCAGGACTACTTGATTCTAAAGCTGCAGGAGCAGTCCTGGATGTGAGCTGTTTTCCATGCTAGAGAAACTGACGAAATCATGCCCCAGTCCAGCTTCCATTCTCAGACAAGGAAGCAGCATTGTCCAGGGGTGCAGATCTTAGGTGCAATTAGTTCTTGGTTTTTGTTTTGTTTTGTGTGTGTGTGTGTGTGTGTGTGTGTGTGTGTGTGTGTGTGTGTGTGTGTGTGTGTGTGTGTGTATGAGAGAGAGAGAACTATTAATCTTTTGAGATTAACCTTTTGGAGATTTACATCTTCAGCTGGTTCCCTTGTTCCAGAACTTAATTTAAATCATTACATTTTTAGAGAAGCTATTGACCGGTGGTTTGCTGAAGTGAACTTTCAAATGGAAAATTCCATCCCTGGCTCTGGTACTAATTTCTAAGCTTCTAATTTCAATTCTCAGAAAATAATTACTTAAAAGTAAATAATAAAAGAAAAAAAGAATTACTGACCGTATTTTCAGCAATGTAAACTCTGAAAGTAAAATTGAAACAGAAGTTTTGCTAATCATTTTGTTATTTCTCAATTTTTTTTTTCTCTTTTCTTGTGGCAGCACTGGGTTTGAACTCAGGGCCTCATGATTGCTAGGCAGGTGCTCTTCTGCTTGAGCCACTCCTCCAGCCCTTTTTATTATTTCTCAATTTGACTCTCTTTGTTTTAATAATTACTAAGTAAAAATTATACTCGTGTGAATCTAGAATGCTTGGCTTTTATTTTTGTGGCAATAAAATAAAGCTTTTGGACAACTTCCCTGCTTTTAAAAAGTTATTAATATAGGGGAGGCCAGAGGGAAGATTAAGGAAATGTAACAGAAGAGGTGAAGACGTGTTCAAAGCACACTGTTCCTGTTTATGGAATTATCACAGTGAAACCCCTCACTATTAATGTATGCTAATAAGAAAGAAAGAAAGATCATTAACATATAAACAATGAACATAAATTTTACCTGGCAACCGTATGTGTTGAAATATCACTGAAAGATAGCACTATTCTGTTTAAATTGCTAACTTATCATTACATTAAAAGTCTTATTTATTTTGCAATTAAATTTTTCCACCTGGTATGGAAAACTAACACTCAGTCTACATCAGATGTCTTTGAACTTTTAGACTTAATTGGTGGCATGAAACTAGCATTTATTGCTATAGTCTGACTCTGGAAATACATACATATGTGTGTGTGTGTGTTCATATATGTATGCATATAGATATATACGCACATACATATACACATATATATACAGAGATACACATCTACATTTTGATTGGTTTGAGTTTTATTCTGTTTTGATTGAATTTTTTGTTTGCTTGATTTTTATCAATTTGAGGCCCAGGGTGGCCTCCAAGCTCTCTGTCTTCCCACCTCCACCTCCCGGGAGCTAGGATTACATGCCTGCACTACCGTGGCCAGCCGAATTTCTGTAACTGGCTTTTAGCTTCCTATCATGTGTTCATTTATAATTAATGATTCATTAAATGGGAAGGGGGATAGCTCAGTGGTACAGTGCCTTCCTAGCATGTAAAAAGCTGTGGGTTTGATTTCCAGCACCACACACACCCAATTTATTTCAAATTTTTGTTTATATATGTGTGCTTTATATGCTTATATACGTATAATATTTTGACAGTACTAGGGTTTGAACTTGAACTTGGGGCCTCATGTTTGCTACACAGGCACTCAACCACTTGAGCCATGCCCAAAGCCCAGCTACAGTTTATTTTGGTTTTGTTTTACCATGATTTATTTTTATTTATTTGTAGTACTAGGGATTGAACCCAGGATGTCACACACGCTAGACTGTTCTGCCACTGAGCTGTACATCCCCGGCTCTTGGTTTTATGAGACAGGGTCTCTGTGTAGCCCAGACTGGCCTCAGGCTTGCAATCCTCCTGCCTCAGCCTCCTAAGGTTAGGAAAACATGCATGTGCCACCACACCCAGCAAACATACAGTATAATGTTGTAATGTGTATTTAAAAAATTTTTTTTTTCTGTGGTACTGGGGTTTGAACTCAGGGCCTACACCTTGAGCCACTCACCAGCCCTTTGTTGTGATGGGTTTTTTTAGCTAGGGTCTTGAAAACTACTTTCCCAGTCTGGCCTAAAACTGTAATCCTCCTGATCTCTGCCTCTTGAGTAGCTAGGATTACAGATTTGAGCTACCTGTGCCAGCACAATGAGTATTTTTAAAATAGAGCTGGGATGTTTCTCAGTGGCAGAGCACATGTCTAGCATGTGTGTGAGGCCTAGGTTTTATCCTTAGGATCAAAAAAAAAAAACAAAAAAAAAACCTAATAGCAAGTGGATGCAAATTATAAGCACAACGTCTAAAAGCCAGGTGTGTCTGTGTGTGTGTGTGTGTGTAAGTGTGTAAACTTGGAAAGCAAAGTTGGTGCTCAGAAAAACAAGTAGACATTTTCTTTTCCCCAGGTGAATGAACTGGTACAGGTAGAAACGTACCTCCGGAGTGAAGGTGTCCTGGTGCGATACTGGTACCCTATTGATATGTTGGAAAGGCCTCCAGCAGGCTACCGAAGGACTGCCACCAATGGCCTGGTCACACTAGATAATACCAACCTTCAAATTCACAGGTAAAACTGAGCCCTTCTTTCTAGTGGGTCACAGAAACCTGCTGTGACAAGAAGGTTTTGACAAGAAGGTTTTTCCTTCAAAGCTGAGACTCAGAGGAAGAGAAGGCAGCTGGGCATGATTGCAGGAGTTGAGGAGAAAAGGCCTGTGCCACATGTGCTCTGCTGCAGTGGGAGTGGGCAACTAGAGGAGTGTGGAAGCAGTTATGAAGACAGACAAAGATGAGACAGCCAGTCAGGAGGATGTCCTGGCACCTGGAGCAGCCAAGCCATTTCTCTCTAGCTAACCAGGGGCTCCCTGAGCTTTCTGTGTGCTTGGCACTGTGCAGGGTTCTGGAAGGGGTAGATGTGCTGGGGCATAGGCCTTCCCTGTATGGACTAAAACCTGAAGATGAGTGAAGTTCCCTGCCATGCACTGTTACCCATTCCCCTGTGAACTATCCTTTTGATATTAAAAATTCTTAAAATAATTCAGAGGGAAGTATAATAATAAATGGAGTTCCCTAATAAAAGCTTGTATAACTGTCATTCATGCTATCCATTCATAAGTCATCACAACGTCTCATTAGGAAAATAGCATGGTGGCACTCGCCTGTCATCCCAGCACTTGGGAGGCTGAGGCTGGAGGATTACTTAAGCCTATGAGTTCAAGGCTGACCTGAGCAATATAGTAAGACCCCATCTCAGAAACAAACAACAATAAATAAACATTTCCTCATTAGGGTGTCAATTTGGAACCAAATTGAGTATGTCTACAGCTTTGATCTCTCCCTGCAACTCCAGGTATGACTGTCCAGTGACTTCCTTGCCACCTGCACTTGGGTAGTCATTGCCCATGAGGTGGTCTTAAGTTCGTCTGTAGTCAAATCCACAGTATTGGTGACACCTAAGCAAGACACAGGGCAGAAAGCCTGGTGTGCCACACAGCAGTATGTCAGGTGTTTCCTCAGCAGGAGTCCTCACTATTGTCCGCACAGGTGGTCAGGGGCCAAGCAGCAGTTCAGGTGTGAAGAATGGACTTCACCGAGGGGTTCATTTTGTGACTGCATAGCACCATGTCTTATCAGAGCCTGCATGTTTGGGGATAGCTCCCCAGGCACTGCCTACAGGACTCTGCAGGAGGCATGCCATGCTCCAGACACCTGGCAGCTGTGGCTTTCCTCGGGAATATTTCTCCTTCCACTCCTCCCAGGCAGGGTTGTTCTCAGATAGGCGACATCTGGTAGCATGCTGACAGAACCGAGCTCAGAGGTCAACCCAAATTTGTGCAGCCCAGGGAAGGTCTCACAGGCACCTGAGTGCAGCACGTGCAGTAGAGTCAGGATTTCCCGTGAGGCTCTGCCTCTCCCCACCCCTCCTCCTCTAAGTTTGAGTACCTGGAAAGGGCAGCATGAGCCATCCTTTTTCCTTGCCCTCAGCAAGCTGGTCCCCACTTTTCGAGCCTCACCACACCAGCTTAGGCCTCAGCCCTCTCTTCTCTCAACAGCCAATCCATAATGCCCACCTGCAAAGAGGATCTCACTCCTCTGAGCCAAACTTTCCCATGGCTTCCTGCTTCCTTTGGATCAGATGTCACCCTTAATGTGGCTCATGAGCCCCCTCAAGCCTCCGAGCTGTCTGGCCCTCCTGAGCCACGCTGGCATTCCTGGTCTCACACACCAGGCTCATTCCCGCCCAGGGCTCTCCTCCTGCAGAACTCCCTAAGCAGTCCCCCGACACACCTTCCAGAAGGTCCTGCCAACCCCTCACTGGTGCTTCATCCCTTTCTCTTGCTCAGTGACATTCCATGTGTGAGCATACCACCAAGTTAACACTGCTGTAGATGCGTACGAGTTTTTGTGTGGACAGAGATTAGTATTTCTTTTTTTCATAGTGTATTTTGAGTTGGGAAAAATCAAGCTTAACTAATGTGGCTTTGTTTAAAATGCAAGTGGTTCACTTGGAACCCAGAGGGTGGAGTCAGATGAGAAGCCTGAGGTGGGGTCCTTCCGCCTAGAGATGCGGGGGCCAACATCTCCCTGCTTCTTCCCTTGCAGAGAGCTGCTGCGGTGCGAGGCCTCGCTGGCCCGGCTGTACTGCCGCATGGCTCTGCTCAGCATCTTCGCCCCCAAACTGCCTCACCTGTTCACCCGCCTCTTCCACATCCCCGCCATCCGGGACATCACGCTGGAGCACCTGCAGCTCCTGTCCAATCAACTCCTTGCTCCTCCCCTTCCAGGTGAGCCCTGAGACTGAGCCAAATCACATGGGACATGTCCACTGTGCCCACTGTTGTGGAATGGTCTAAGGGGCAGTCACCAGTGAAGAACTGAGTCTGTCTTGGCTCTGCTTTTGCTCTTTGAAAAATGGAAGTGGAGCCAAGCACCAGTGACTGACGTCTGTAATCCTGGCTTCTCAGGAGCTGAGATTAAGAGCATCTTGGTTCAAGGCCAGGCCAGGATAATAGTTCATGAGACCCCATGTCCAAAATAACCAGAGCAAAGTGGACTGCAGGTGTGGTTCAAAGTAGAGCTCCTACTTTGCAAAAAGCTCTGAGTTCAAACCCAGTCCCAATCCACCCCCCTAAAAAAAATAAAATGGAAGTATACAAAACAAAAACAGAAAAATGAAAGTGCCCTGCTCACTTTAGTCATATAGTGGTCTGTCAAATATTCAGTGAGCTTCCCAAAGTAACTGGGGTTCAGGAATAGTACTTAGGAGACATAGTCACTGTACCCCTGCCACAGACATTCTGCCGAGCTCTGGAAAGCCACACCCATGTTCTGGATCAGAGCCTGCAAAGCACACCTGCTGGATTGCCCAGGACTTGAGGTGGAGCTTCTCTAGTGGCCAGCTCGGGTGTCTACAAGGAGCAAAGGCTCTCTGTGCCCCTGGGGAATGCTAGTGAGGAGACTGCCCTCAGTCCATCCAAGACTGAGGAGTCCCTCTGTCTTTCTCTGACACCTCAGCTTCCAACCAGTTCCCCTTGGCCTCGTGGCAGCTAAGGTAGGAGCAGTAGCTAAGGGAGGAGCACCTTCCCAAGCCAGCTGCAGACAGTACTCGGCCCAGTGGCAACCCGGGCAGCTGCCTTCTGGCTCCCCACAGGAGATCCCAGGCAGTGCCATGTGGCCACTTCTACCTTCCCAGTGACCCATTGGAGCCCCAGCATCCAGCAGCCACCCCAGGAACTGGGAGGCTCCCAAATACCTGTGATAACTGAGTACCTTGCTTCATAAACCCACTCTGAAGCCAGCTGAATAGCTCAGACTCTGGAGTTTTGATCTGTGTAAGAGACTTGCTTCTAGGCAACAGTTTTGCTACTAAAAAGAAAGAAGTTTCCAGACCACCAACCTCCTGAATCCTACCCCCCACTGCCTGAGGATCTCACTGGTGATGTCTCTGACCCAGGACACAATACCCACACCTGCCTGTCCGGCCCAGCCTAGCTGGAAAGTTACTGGTTGGCTCTTACTGGGCTCTCACAGGTACCAACTGCTTCAGCTCCCATAAATGTCCATTTTCTTTCCTGTCCACAGATGGCACCATCAGTTCCAGCTCTATCCTCCTGGCACAGTCTCTGCAGCATTGCATCCACTCACAGAACTGCTCCGCCACTGACCTCTTCTACCAGGGCAGCTCCCAGACAGTGAGAGAGTGGCTCAACGTGGCCATCACCCGCACCCTGCACCAGGGCGAGGAGAGCCTGCTGGAGCTGACAAAGCAGATCTGCTCCTTCCTGCAGGTGGAGATCCAAAGTTCTCGCTATTTGTAATTGGAAGTCTTACTGGCTTCCTGAAAAGCGCTCTCTTTTCTCCCCCAAGCCACCATCCCCTTTGATTGTCTTTTCTTAGAAGCTCTTCTGCTTTGTCATTTCATCTTCCCAGAGGGCTTTTTGTCCTTTTTACTCTGTTATATGCTGTGGCTGACTCCTGTTGCCTTCCCACTTGGGTTTAGCCCACGGCTTTCCTTATTAAACGTCTCTTTGCAGACAGCACCAGAGCAGTTCCCCTCCGAAGAGTTCCCCATTTCGGAGTCCAAAGTCAACGTGGCTGTTAACTTCCCCGGAGCAGCTTTCGTTGTGGTGTCTTGCAAAGAGAGTCAGTCTGGATTCCGCAAAGAGTAAGTTGCCCTTCCTCAAGGAGGTGGTGCTGGGTAGAGAAAAGCTAAACCAATTGGTGCCCGCGACACTGGCAGAAAATCATCTCTCAAGTGGTCTTTATTCTTGAATGCGTACTATTGTTAAAGATAATTTACAGCTCTTCCCATAGTTCCACGTTAGGGAGCTAGCCTTTATAAAGCATGACATTGTTCATAAAGACGTCTTACATCTAGTTCTCTTTTTGGGGTGCTTCGCTGGAGTCTGTCTTATGACCTCCTCCCTCTCAGCTCCTCTCTGTACAAGGCGCCATGGGCACGTGTGCTCGTGTATGGGCTCGGCCACAAAGTGAAGAGAACCGGCCAGCTTAACCTCATCGAGGCCGCCTGTTACCCACGGGACGCATCCCCAGCCAACACTGGGCTCGCACCTCCACCCACCGCCGACCAGTACCCTTCTGTGGTCCTCTCCACAGACAGGGTCCACATCAAACTGGGTGAGTCTGCCTTGGGCTTATACATCGCACAAAAATGAGGGAAGTTGCACTTGCTATGTCCGGATTGGTCTTGGTGAGAAGGCCGGCACTGCTTGCAGCTGTGTACTTGTGAGCCAGTAAACTACAGGCTGGCAGAGCTGCAGTGGGGACTTCTCCTCCCTCCCAAGCTTGTGATGGGATGTGTACTGTTTAGAGCCATCTGAACAGAGCGTTGTTACCCTTAACAGCCACTACAGGTTATAGTGCTCCCCCTGTTCCTCCTCTAGTTCTCATTTAGACTGTGTTCCTGAGCACTGGCCACAGGGAACCCTGCTCCCCATACCCCAGATGGCAGCCTGATTGCTCTCATCTCCTGGGCATCCTTGGTGAAGCCTCCAGGGCTTGGGATTTCCACAAGGTCTCCACCTCTCTATCCCCAAGGCTGTCGATGCCTGTCCTCTTTGTGGACTGGGGCTGGCAGAAAGGAATGAAAGCCTTGTCCCAGGTTTCCACTGCTCTTCTTTGACATGGTTTTTTGGGGGAAGGGCAGTATTAAGGTTTCACCCTTGCTAGGCAGGTGCACTACAGCTTGAGCCATGTCCCTACCCTTTCTTCTCTGGTCGTTTTGGAGATGGAGTCTGGCTTTTTGTCCAGGCCAACCCGGACCTCGATCCTCCTGCTCGATGCTGCTGTGCCATGGCTGGACTAACAGGCCCCCAACGCCATGCCCAGCTTTTTCCATTGAGATGGGTTCTCACAAACCATTTTTTTTTTTTTTTTTTTGGCCTGAGCTGGCCTGGAACAGCAATTCTCCCCATCTCAGCCTCCCAAGTAGCTAGGGTAACAGGCATGAACCACAGGCGCCCAGCTTCTTGGCATGTTTGACAAGAAATGTGCAATAAGCATTTTCCTGAGGCAGTTATAAACTGCATTTGAACTCTTAGCCAGAAAGGTGGGCCTTAGCTTCTCACGGCCCTAGTCTTTGGGCTGTGCATCTTTCGGGACTGGGGTACAGGACATTTCCTGTGACTGGGTATTGCTAAACAACTTCACCAGCTCTTCTCATTTGAGTCTCCTTCATAGTCTGCACCTACACTAGCTGTTCCTTAAGTTTACATTAAAAACAGGATCTGGTCCAGAAGTAAAGCCTTAAAAAAAAAAAAAAAAAAAAGAATCTGGCTGGGCGCCGGTGGCTCACTTCTATAATTCTAGCTACTCAAAAGGATCTCAGTTTGAAGCCAGCCCAGGCAAACACTTCATGAGATCCTATCTCAAAACAATCCAACTTGAAAAAGGGCTGGTGCCCTGAGTGCAAGCCTCAGTACCACCAAAAAAAAAACCCAGGATCAGGCTGGTATAGCTCAGTGGTAGAGTATGTGCACAGCATGTGCCAGGTCCTGAGTTCCATCCCTAGCACCAAAAAATAAAAGCAGATCTTAGCCTTAACTGCCCTCACAGCCACCACTGCATAGTGGTGCTCTCCCCAAGAGCAGGCAACGTGGCTCCCCAGCTTCTCCAGAGCTCCTGATACTCCGGCTTATGTCTGACCAGTGCTGGTGAGGTGCAGTGCAGAATGTGAGGGGGTAGATCTCCAGACTATTTTCTTCTCGCTGTAGGCAGCAACAGAAGGTAATGAGGGAATCAAAACTCAAGGTCAGGGTGTAGATGAGTGGTAGAGCCCTAGGTTCAATCCCCAGCACTACAAAACAAAACAAAATAAGAGAGTGAGAGTGTGAGACTCCAAGGTCCTGACAGTGCCTGAATCTTACATGCTACTACCTGCTGGTGCACTGTGTGGGTTTAATGGGATTTCAGCCGAATAAAATGACTAATTATTTCTTTAGCAATGACTTAATGTCCATTCTGGGTCATAAGACCAGTTAGTATCTTCTTTCATTTATTTTGTATGTAGCCTAGGCTAGCCTCAAACTTGCAATCTCCTGCCTCAGCTTCCCAGTGCTAGGATTATAGGCATACAGTATGACACTGATCCCACCACTTGGTGTCTCACTGAGGGATGTTTATCCACCTTGGCGCTCCCATTGCTGCCCTATGTCCTGTTGCCACACCAGAGATGCACTCAGGGGCTGGCTTCCATCCCCTCCTGCATCCATAGGCCACTCTGTCTAGACTGTCAGTACTCACATTTCCTCCCACCTCCAGCAGATTAGGCCCTGATTCTCCACACACACCTGGTGGGTCCTTTACGAAGGCTTATTTGATTCACACACTTTCCTACTGGGCCCTTGTAGGAGTGTCTCCACCTCCGGGAGCCGTGTTGGTGTTACATTCTCTGCCTCTGGAGTTCCCGCTGGCTATGGCCTTCGCAGAGCAACTGCTGTCCTGGAAATCGGAGGATGGCGAGGGGAAGTCGGAAGATGAGCCTGACGCCATCCCCACGTCAGTCCTCTTGCACGTGGTGGAGCTGCTAGGTGAGGCACACCTTCCTGTGGAAGCATGCGCGGGCCTGGCCCTGGGGACAGGACAGCCTTGGCCTCTGTGAAGGCACATTTCCAGACCGAATTCTCAAACGACCTTGCGCCTAGGCAAGCAGGAGCTCAGGCCCCTCACTGGTATGTGCTGGACCTAATCAGAGGCCTGCGCATCACCCCAGTTGCTGGCCCTGGAGGACCCTGCATAGAGATCTTTACCCAAGATTCAAGTGGATGGGCTCAACAGTACAGGCATACACCTGAGACCCCATCTCCAAAATCACTAGTGCAAAGTGGACTGGAGGTGTGGCTCAAGTGGTAAAGCAAAGCCCTGAGTTTAAAACCCAGTCTCCCTCCTCCCCCAAAAGATAATAAATATACCAACCCAAAGTAAGCCTTTTAATTTGTTTTTTGCAGTGCTGGGGCTGGAACCTAGGGCAACCCGCATACCAGTCAAACAAGTGCTCTGCCACTGAGTAAGCCTAGCCTAAGGACGGCCTTCGTGTACACAGTGTCAGGACTCACAGCGCAGTTTACAGCCAGGCACCAATGCCCTCTGGCCATCCTGCTGCACAGAGTCTGTTTCTTCCTCTGTAAGATGGATGAGGACCTGCTCACGGGGCTGTTACAAGCTTGCATCACTAAAGCACTGAGAAACAGCCTAGCAGATAATCAGCACTGCGTAACTAATTGCTGCTGTTATTTTCTGTCTGTCTCAGGAAACTTCTTGTGGACCACAGACATGGCTGCCTGCGTGAAGGAGCTGGTCTTCCACCTCCTGGCCGAGCTCCTGCGCACAGTACACGCCCTGGAACAGCAGAAGCACCCGGCCGGCCTGTCCTCCTCCATCGCCCTCCAGCTGAACCCCTGCCTGGCCATGCTGATGGCCTTGCAATCAGAGCTGCACAAGCTGTATGATGAGGAGACACAGGGCTGGGTCTCTGGCAGCACCTGTGGGGGCTCTGGGGCTGTGGCTTCCGGTGAGCACGGCAGGTTCTCCACGTATTTCCACGCACTCATGGAAGGGTGCTTGGCAGTTGCCGAAGTGACCCTACCCACTAACATGAGTGTCACTGCCAGTGGGGTGACCTCAACCACCACCCCAAACCTCAGTGACTCGTCCTCCTCCTCCTCGTCCTCCCCAGGACAGACCCCGCAGAGCCCTAGCCTCCTATCCAAGAGGAAGAAGGTGAAGATGAAGCGGGAGAAGTCCTCCTCTGGGAAGCGCCAGTCTTCCCGCACCGGGGACTCTGACACTGCTGTGCTCAGTATTGGGGGTGGCAAGCCTGAGGACATGCTGTGGTTCCACCGTGCCCTCACCCTGCTCATCATCCTCCGCCACCTCACCAGGAAGGACCCGCAGGGCCTGGGCGTGACAAGTGACGCCATTGCTGATGCCTGCCAGGCCCTAGTGGGCCCCACTGCCCACAGCCGCCTGCTGGTCATCTCCGGCATCCCCACCCACCTGGACGAGGCCATTGTCAGAGGTGCTATCCGAAAGGCCTGCAATGCCCATGGAGGGGTCTTCAAAGACGAAATCTACATTCCACTGCAGGAAGAAGACCCCAAGAAGCCAAAAGACAAGGCCGAGGGTGGCGACAGCAAAGTGGAGCCAGAGAAGTCGCTCGGCTTCCCCAGTGCAGACAGCTTGGAAGGGAGCACATCCAGTAGCCTGGCCCCCGCCATGAGCATCAGCGCCTCCGCCTCCACTAGCCAGGCCTCAGTCTGCAGTTCTCAAGGAGTCTCACAGACCGTCAGTGACCTCTCAGTGGACCCACTGCCTCTAGGCCTCGAGCTGCCTGTCCCTCCTGGCGTACTGGAGCCTCAAGTGGTGTCCAGTCAGGAGAGCCTGGACATTTCCCTATGCAGCACTGGCAGCCTGGGCAGCCTGGGCAGCCTGGGGGAGCCCCTGGACAACGCAGAGACAGCCTCGGTGTCGGATGTGGGTGCCATGTACACAGTCACCTCCCTGGATACCCAGCCCCTCGTGGTGCGCCCCATCAAAGGCTTTGCGGTCGTGGAGGTAATGGTTATTTCTGCAGGGTTAGTCACTAGAGAATGTGGGAGCCCCAAGGGGCTCCAGGCTGCTCTCCAAGCACTGATTTTCCTGAGTCACATCTGTAAGAGCGACACCCATCTGGTGTCATGAGGCAAATGCAATTCATTGCTGAGAGTGGGGCTGACAGAGGGGCTCAGGGAGCTGCTTGGCCACAGTGGGCCCTGGCTATGTTTTTTTTGAGAGGCCCTGGGGCATTTTCAGCACTGTCATTAGAAGGAGTGGTCTGTACTGAGCGATGTAGATAGACATACTCTGCTCCTGGCCACATGGGGTTGCAGATAATGTATGCACCAAGCCATACTCCACTTCAAGACGCCACACGTTTCTTGTGCCACCTTGTCTAGAAATCCTGCACTGAATGACTTCCTGCACCCCTGCAGAGCAGGAGTTAGACTCATAGTAAACACCAGGGCCTGGTGGAGCTCTGAGGTGGAGCCTGTGCTCAGCCCAGCACCTAACACAAGGAAGAGCCATCTTCCCCGTGTGGGCTACAGCAAGCACCAGTCAAGAACTTGCAGTCGTCCCTCTCTCCCAAAAGGGCCTCCTTCCTGGGGCCTTCCCAGGCCCCTCTGGGCTTTAACTCCCTGGGCATCGTAGTGAAGCCAGGGGTTAACAATGGAGGGTCCCCTAAAAGTCACCACTGTAGCATGTGGGAGAATCTCCCAGGAAGGCCAGCTCACCTGAGTCCACAGGAAAGAAGAGGCCTCCAGGGAAACGTGGCAGGGAGGAGGTCATGCTCTTTGAGTGCTGATCACTCCACCCGATCTTGACCTTTTTTTTTTGTTCACACAGATAAGATCCCGAGCCAAAATTGAGAAAATTCGGGCAAGCTTGTTTAATAATAATGATTTGATTGGCTTATCAAGTTTGGATGGCGAGGACGAGCTGATGGAGATGTCCACAGAGGAGATTTTGACTGTCTCCGTGGTGAATCAGAGTCTGTTCGACACGCAAGGGAGCCCCGGGCTGGAGGACTACTTTAATGACAAGTCCATTAAAGGTGTGCTGTGGGCTTTTCATTTGTAGACCCTTACTGGGAGCAGTTTAGGGTTTCCCCCGTTGTGAACACCTTGCATCGAAGAGGGCTTGGAAGCCACCCCTGGGAGATGAGCTTGGGAGTGACTCAGGTAGGGAGTGGGACAGGAGTTCAGTGCTGGCTAATGGTGGCCAATGTGGAGCAAGTACCTCCCCCCACCGGCAGGGTGCTGGGCCCAGGTTCCAGCTAAAGAGCCTGCCTGCTCCAGTCCCAGTGGGCTTTTCTTCAGCTGTCTGGCTTTTTGTTTGGTCTGCTTCCCTGATTCAGGCTCCAAGACTGCTGGTAAGAGTTTGGCCACAAGCTTGAGGACAACTCACTCACTTCTCAGCCTTCAAAATTGCTTCTCACAAAGAAGACCCACTGCCCATGTGAACCCTGGGTCCTGAGGAGCCCTTTGTGGGTGGGCGCTGTCTGGCTTGTCCACTTCTTTTGTATGATACAAGAGTGCATTACAGCACCCATGTCACTGCTTACCCAGTGCTTGTGGCTAGCAGGCTCTGGTGTCATCATCTTGTTTTGCTTGTCCTTCTCTAAATCCCTTTCTCTAAATTTTTAATATTCTTGAAATTTCATAATAGGGTTGTTTTAGATTTTTCTTGTGAAAAATGAAATATTGAGTAAAGGTTTTGTTGTTTCAAATTGTCATCCTCAGTCATAAAATTTAAAAATACTTCCTCACAGAACGATGGGGGAGGTAAGTGAGATCATGGGTGCAAAATGTAATGGGCTCCGAAAAGTCCCGTCACTCAGGTGAACAATGCTTTGGCAGGCTGGATGTGTCTCTCAGTGGTAGATCATGTGCCCTGGGTTTAGTCTCTAATATCACAAATAATTAATCTATTTAATCACAAATATATATATTTATATATATACAGAGAGAGATATTTATAGATATATTTTTTTTAAGTGCAATATTTTGAAAAGTCAAAATGAATGCAGCCAGGCACAATGGTGCACATCTGTAGTCCCAGATACTCAAAAGACTGAGGTGGAAGCTTCACTTGAACCCAGGAGTTTGCAGCCTAGGCAACATAGAAAGATGCCATCTCAAAAAAAAAAAAAAATACATGCTGACTATAAGATCAGAATCAATATTACTGATTTATTCCTTCCATGTTAGGCTCCAGTGCCCGAACAGCACCATTAATACTTTGTATGTTTTTTTTTTGTTGTTTCCTTAAACTCTGCACCCAAGAGTTTGCCTTGCTTGCCCCCTCCAGCCCTATCTCCTTGCGGGCATGTATTTCGTCCCTCTGCTCTCAGAGGCCCATTTGGCAGATGAGCAGTGTACGGTTTATTTACAGAAAGGCCAAGGCTGCTTCTGACATAATCACCACCTCCCCAGCCTTAGCACTTGTGAGTCTGAGCATTCTCTTAGTTCCCATCTGGTTAGGCTGGAGCCTACACATGAGGTGTCAGGGTGGGGGTGAGGGCAGGAGGAGACAGCAGCAGCTGCAACAGCAGGAGTGCACAAGCAGCAGCTATAACAGCAGGAGTGCACAAGCAGCAAATATCTCTGTTGCCCAGGGAAGCCCAAGTGCCTTCTAGAGGCACTTCTCTGGGGGCCAAAAAAGTGCATGTGGAGTTTTCTGGTATCTTAGAAGCCTTTTTTCTCTACCCGTCATCTGGCCAGCTTGAACCATGCTTTCCAGCAATGCAGCATCGGTGTACGCGCACTGCCTGTGGACTCCTTGCTTGTTTGGGTTTTCCCTCCCATTTGTGCTATTTAAGCTAAGACAGGCTAAACTGCTGTAGTAAGCAGACCCCAGCCTACCTGAGACCTGCCCTGGCCAAGCAGGCAGCAGAGGGGACAGGCCCAGAGAACAGCAACTGCCCTCTCATGCTCGACCTACAGGGCTGCTCCTTACTGCAAGGCAATGGATGTGTCAGTAAGGGCCAAGGAAGAGGAAGCAAAGTCTGATGTTTGACTCTTCACCTCCATTAAATGTCCATCATCCACTTGCAAAAAGGAATGGTTTCTGGAAAATAACTAAAATGCTTGCAGGGCGTATCCTGACAGTTCATGGCAGAACTGTTTTACTTTCCCCATTCTGTAACAGGTGAGAAGCTGGTACCTGGAGCCAGAGAGGTCCTGACGGAAATATTCAAGAGCTGTGCCCATTCAGAGCAGACCCTGAGCCTGACACCAGCAAAGCCCATCAGGGTCTCTGACATATATCTCAGCAAAGAGCAGATCAACTCCCAGACCCCAGGCAACCTCCTCCACCTCTTCTTCACCAATGTCCGGCCTCCCAAGAAGGTGCTGGAGGACCAACTCACACAGGTAGCCATCCCACCCATTGTGCCTGTGCTGGGCCTTGGGTGCCCTTCGAGGTGCTCCTGAGAACCTCCTCCCCGATTCTGTGCTCTGCAGATCCTGAGGAAATATGGTGTGCCAAAGCCCAAGTTTGACAAGAGCAAGTACAGCAAAACTGGGAAGGAGCAACACCCCATGAAGGTGGTGAGCACCAAGCGGCCCATCACCAAACCACCTGCTAAGGACAAAGCCGTGCTCAACAGTGTCAGGTGCGCACCCCAAGGGCGGGACAATGGGGCCAGCTAGCAGGCACGTGCAGGGTGGCCTCTGGGCAGGAGCCTGAGAGACTGCGACACCACTGCGACACCCCCGGGGCAGCCAGGCATCCTGGCTTTCTCTTCTGTGCTGCCACAGTCCCTTCAGTCACCTGCCTGTGCAACTAACTGCAAGTCAGTCAGCATTGCATGTCACCCACAAGTGTGGCGAAGCCTGGACCCGGTGGGCTAGAGAGCAGACCAACCCATGTTAAGAAAAGATCCCAAATGTGTGGAATTGCTTTTTAAAACATACTTCTTTCAGCTGTACACATGGTGCATCCTTACCACAGAAAGGCTGGAAAACGTGTACGTGCATGTAGGGAAAATTAATTTGGCTGAGGGTGTAAACTAGCAACAGACCTTACACTCAGCATGTGAGCACCCTGGGTTCCATCCCCAGCACACAAGAAAACTAAATTATCCCACACATTGCAGCTACTTTCAATGCTTAAGTATATACCCTTTATTTATACATGTGTATTCTTTCCTTAGAGACAGAAAATTCAGCACATGAGTGGAAAAGCCACTCCTCTTCCCCTCCATCCTTACCTTGAAATTCCGCTCCCCAGTTTGGGAAGCTTCCAGCACTGGCTGAATACACAGCACATCTGTACCTCTGTACATGTGTCTGCACCTGCTCTTCTTATGGAACACTGACCTTGAAGATCATTCCAGATCATGGTTGGGGTGCAGCTCAGTCGCAGAGCACTGCTTACCTAGCATGGCAAGGCCCTGGTCCCATCCCCATCCCCAGCACCACAAAAAAAAAAAAAAAAGCCTGGCACCCTCCTCCCCTTTTTTTTCGACAGCCCTGGGGTTAGAACTCAGGGCCTCACACTTGACAGACAGACACCCCATCTTTTTCTTATTGGCACCTATTTAATATTCCGTGTGCAAATTTTCTTCAGATACAGGTTTATGACTCTCAAGTCCCCACAGTTGGAACTATAATAGCGAAATATTGCTCTGCAGGAGTGACAGGAGGAGCTATGTAAAAGGCCAGAGCACTACAGTGTCTTTTCATTAACTCACTGTAGAAATGGCACTTTTAAGCTTCACCATCCAGCAAAACTTCCTGTGGTGACGGCCCTCTGTGCCGATTTTATGCTGTGTGGGACTGCCACCCTACCACAGTCTCTGACGCACTTGAAACATGGCCATGTGGCCTGAACTGGTGATTTTTGTCCATTTTAACTAACTTAGCCATTAAGTAACTACAGCTGCCTAGTGGCTAGTTTACTGGACTCTACAATACGTAGAAAAAGTGTTTTAAGTGTCTCCAAGTGGGTATGTGATCCCAGCTACTTGGGACATGGAGATCAGGAGGATTATAGTTTGAGATCAACGCCAGGCAAAAAATTAGCAAGACCCCATCTTAACCAACAAGCTGGGCGTGGTGGGGCACATTTGTGATCCCAGTTATGCAGGGGGCTTTAGGTACAAGGATCATGGTCCTTGGCTTAACTGCACAAAAACTTGAGATCCTATCTTAAAAATAAATAAAGCAAAAGAGGGCCGGGGCCTGCCCAGCAAGTGGAAGGCCTGAGTTCAAACTTCAGAACTACAAAAAAAAAAAGTCTTCAAGATTTTTCATATCTTTTGTTTGTTGTTTGGAGTTTTATTTTGCTATAACAGAGGCTGGCCTTAACTCGAGATTCTCCTGCCACAGTGCTGGAATTACAGGCCTGCACCACCAGGCCTGGCGATTTTCCCATCTCAAAACATTCATTTGCCTTTGCAGTTTGTTCAGTGTACTTTCCTGGATTCAATGCAGTCGATCTCACATCCAGGCCTATGTAACCCATGAGCTCAAGCTGGGTGGGTGAGAACTATGTAAGGTTCTGTGTTTCCTGTTGGGAAGAGGTATGGGCCTGCAGAATTCTGATCACAGTGCTTGGATCCACAGCAGGACTGCCTTAAGTGAGAAGAAGCCAACTGTGAAGGTCAAATCCCCTGAAAAGAGCAAACCAGATGAAAAGGACCCAGAAAAGTCACCTACCAAAAAGCAAGAAGGTAACCAAGCAGCTTTGGTATGGCACAGGCCATGCCTGCTTCTGTCTGGGAGGCGGAGCCCACGCTGGTACAGCCTCTTGGCAGTGGCCAGACTGACTGGTCTCCCCTGGGGCGGCCCCACTCTCCATGCCCCAGTTCACTTGGCTCTTAGTTTGGGCAGGGCAGCATTTCCAGACTGGGACATATCACTGGCCAATACCAGGAATGCCAGGCTGCCATCTTCAGTGGCCATCAACCTGAGGAGGTCAAAATCATGAAGAGTAGATGGTAGTGACCAAGAAGCAGGGTGGAGCTGGGCCTGGGGCTTGGGAGCAGGGCTGTCATGAGAATTGCTTTGTCAGCTGAGTGCTGCCGACACTTACAGAAAAAAGGGTGTTGGGAAACAGCACTGTGACCCTGGAGGCACAGGAGATTACGGGGAGGAGGGAGAAGCCAGCTGAACTCCTGATGCCATGCACTCTTCCTTCATCAGTTCCCGAGGAGAAGTACCTGACTTTGGAAGGGTTCCACAAATTCGTCATTGACCGAGCCAAGCAAGACATCCGGAGCGTCTGGAGGGCGATTTTATCCTGTGGCTATGACCTTCACTTTGAGAGGTAAGAGGCTGTCCCTCAGCCCAGGTGACATCCAGTTCTCAGGAACTGGATGATCTCCAAGCAAATGCATCCAGGGGAGCTGGGCTGTCCCCTGCTTGGCTTATAATGAATGCTGCCAGCCCAGGCAAAGAGTTCAGGAGACGCTATCTCAAAAACACCCATCACAAAAAAAAGAAAAAAAAAAACAAAACAAGGCCGGTCAAGCAACTTAAGGTGTAGGCCCTGAGTTCAAACCCCAGTACCGGAAAAAAAAAAAAGGAATCTTCCTCCAGCTCCTAACTTTACTCCCAGTCTCCATAGCTCACTCTCTAGCTAGGGCCTGGGCCCAGCCAGGCCCTGCTCACCAGGTCTCCAGGGCCAGACAAATCTGACCTCTCTTTCCTGTCTCCATGTGACTACAAGCAGGCAACATGCTTGCAGTCCAGAGGAGGCCCCTGTCCTCTGGCCCTCTCTTACAAAGCCACTTAGTCTGTGCCCAGCAAGACATTCCAAAGAAGGAGGACCTGCTCCGACTTAGGCATTCATAAACACAGGTTTTCAGAATTGAGGAATTGCATCAACATTGAAGGCTCAGAGTCAATCCCCAGGTGGGTCTTTGCATCATGGACTTTTTTAGAACTCAGCAAGAGTGCTGACTTTGGGGATTTTGTGGGAAGATAAAATTACCTGTTTTAGATTAGAAATTGCCAGTGGGAAAGAACAAAGCGGTCTGCAAACGGCTCTGAAGTGAATGAACGCTCCTCATTCCTCATAGAAGGGCTGGCCCAGCGTAGCTGTAGCTCTGCACTGGCAGAGTCTTCCCTGCTCACCACCAGCTATCTGAGGAGAGCTGGGGCAGCTGCCGTGTCAGCCCACCCCCAAACCGATTTTTTAGGCAGTGTTCTAAACAAAGTCCATAAACCCAGAAACTGTAATCCACAACCAGTGCAGTGTCACTGAGCCAGCTCTCATTTTGCAGGTTCCGGTGCCTGTTGGCAGAAAGGCACCTGGGCAGGGACTTTCCAAGAGAAGGCCTCCTCTCTCTCTGAGGCCCTGTGGGTGGGACTGAGGTGGCTGGTAGTGACACTGCCCCTCCTGTCGCCTGAGACAGCCCCTCCTACAGCAGTGTGGCCAGTATGCCGAGTGCCTACTGGAGGAGCCAGGGGCTCTGGGACTTGTAACTCCTCCAGGCACCTGCCCCTGCTAATAGGCCAGCCTGCCTTCCTTGGTTACTAGTGTGATGTGTGTGGAAGAAGGACATGCACATGTGCAGGCATGGACACAGTGTCCCATGGGCCTGTGGGCAGAGATCATGGCTGGACGATGCTCACAGTAAAACATCTTTGCTGACGTTTTTCTGGAGTAGATATCTTCAGCCCACTGGAGCAGGGTCGGACCAGACACCCTGCTCTGAGCACAGCTTTTTCATTTTCCACATCATCAGTGTTCTGATGGCTTTCCTTCACCACAGCTGCTCCACGTGGTGAACTTGTTCAGTAACTCCCCCAGTGACAGACGTCCGGGTTGCAGCTGACGGGGCTGTGATAACTCAGCCCCAGCAGGTGGTGCACTGTGCCTGCCTGACCGCCAGCCCTGCGGTGACTGCTGGACTGGGGCTGCTGGGCAGGGGTGGCCTTGTCCTAGCCACCAGCAGCCGTGCACTTCTGCTACTGTAAACACACCAAGGCTCAGAAAGGGGGTGTGGCCTCGATTTCACCTGATGACCCCACAGCCCTCCTTCCCCTAACACCAGGGCAGCGCATGGGTGTTGCTAGACTTTCCAGAAGGCCGCTTCGTGCACACCCCCCACGCACCAAGGCCATCTGGCCAGCATGCTCCAGGGCTGGGCCTCTTCACGGGGGTCCAGCAGCACTCTGAGTGAGAGTGTCCCACCTGGTCCCCCTTCCCTGCCCAGGTGCGCCTGCATTGATGTCCGACATGCACAGAAGGCCTCCAGGAAGTGGACCCTGGAGATGGATGTGGCACTTGTGCAGTACATCAACCGGCTGTGCCGCCACCTGGCCATCACACCAGCGCGGCTCCATCCCCACGAGGTGTACCTGGATGCTGCAGACGCCACTGACCCCCGGGTGGCCTGTCTCTCGAGTATGTGGCCCCTGGAGCTCCCCCTCCCCACTACCCAGTGAGGGCGTGCCCCTGACCAGGGCATTTCATGGGCTCTGTGCCATTTAGCCTCCATTGCAGAAATCTTGTGAACCCTTACTACATACCCATTGCGTAGAGACAAGGAACCGAGGCTGCAACTTCACTAATCTCGGGCCTTTTTTCTGCTTATTACAACACAAACAAGCCTCGGGTACAGAAACACAGGGCTAGACAGTGATGACCACCACCCTGCCAGGCCCTGTCCAGAGCTGTCCACAGAGGCCAGGCTGCTGTGGGCAGTGAGAGGGTCAGACACCTGCCACCCTGCAGCTGTCGCATTGTGCTGGGGCAGCACGATTTTATGAAAGTTGGGAATGCACGCCAATAATAAAACCCTACATCCACCGAGTCAGCTGGGCAGAGCCCACTGCAAGTGACTACGTGCAGTGTGCCACCAGCTGTTGCCTCGCCTGGCTCCAGTTTTGGGGCCCCTGCCTCATCAACACCCAGGAAGAAAGATGGACAAGGAGTTGTCCCTGATACCAGTCTTTCCCGGTGGGCAAGGTCACCATGGCTGTGACGATGAATAGTTGAAAGGCAGTGTACTGGTGGTACAACTTCTGGCTTTGATAGATGTCATCCCTGGGTGACAAGTTCCCAGGACTTCCCACTATTCTTGCAACGTCCCATAGTCTATAATTACTTCAGAAAGAAAAGTTAAAAAATAATACAGGGCTGGGAGTGGAGTTCATTGGTAGAGCATTTGCTTAGCATGTACAAAGCCCTGGGTTCCATCCCCAGCACCACAAAAAGTAACAATAATAACACTGCACAATAGGTGCCCTCATCTGGCCCAAGGGAAGGCCAGGGCCTTGGATTCCCAGGGTCGTGGCCTTCACCTGCTTGTCGTCAGCTCGGCACAGCGTCTTGGGCGTCCCAGGACTAGTATCCACTGCTGGGAGCCCCTGGTCCCACTCTAACTAGCCCCCCAGGGTGGGGCCTCTAACTTGCCTCAGCTGCCACCCCACCTGACCACCCTGTCCTGCAGGCGTGCCTATCGAGAGTCTGCGCCTGCGTTTTGCCCTTCTGCAGTCACTTAACACCACACTGGAGACTTTCTTCCTGCCCCTGGTGGAGCTGCGGCAGACGCCCGTGTACACCCACAGCATCGCTGCCTTGCTGAAGGAGGCCAAAGGTCAGTGCTGGGCCACAACCCACAGCAGAGTGACCAGGCCTGGTGGGGGCTTCAGCCACCCACCCTTAGACTAGCAGGACCCCCAGGGCAACTACTTAATTACAAAAGTAGTGTACTTTGAAAAAAGGAAACAGTGTTTTCAAAGTATGTAGAAATGTACAGAGTTAAAGCTTGGTGCCGTATCAACAGATGAGTGCCTGTCCTTCCGGTCTCTTCTGCTGACACTCATCAGATGCACCCACCTTTTGTCTTTTTTGTTCAGTCAAAAATGAGTGTTGTTTTTATTTACACCTTTCACTCACCGTGTTTCCTCTGTGAGTGGGAGTTGACGCCCACTTAGCGTCTGGACAGGTGTAGCACAGTGCCCTGCACAAAGCCAGGCCCACCTGGCACCAGACTTCAGAAGACTCCAAGGGGGTGGCAAGGGCTCCACCGTGCCCAGGGTGACTTGGAAGGAGTGGAAGCCGCCCACCCCTGCCTCTCTCCCACACTCCTCTCTTCAGGGCTGATCTTTTATGACACGAAGGTGACGGTGATGAATCGGGTTCTGAATGTCACTGTGCAGAGGACAGCTGACCACGCAGCACCTGAGATCACCTTGGACCCGCTGGAGATTGTGGGAGGTAGGGTTGCCTGCGAGCCGGCGCAGACGAAGCTTCCAGAAGGGATCCTTCCAGCCTTATACATCCTGCGGCCTCCTGCTGCCTCCGTCCTTGTGCCCTGGGGTCTCCGTGTGTGGCTTCCAGCTCTGGAGTGGTCTCAGGCCCTGTAGGCAGCGGGAGGAAGGGGACAGCAGAGGGGCCGTGCCCTCCCTGGAGGCCCGCCTGTCTGTTCCCTCACCGACACCTGGCCTGGAGAGGCATAGGCAACCATGCTGACCAGACACATGTCCACCAAGCTTCTGGTTCTGGGGTCAAGGACAAGGAAGGTGGCTGCTGGGGAGCCCGGAGTTGGGATGCAGCCTGTGGAGACAGAGATGCAGGACTCGAGGGAGGAGCCAGGAAGGAAGGCCAGAGAGGACCTTGAGGAGGCAATCAGAAGCAGCTCCAGGCAGTTCTACCACTTGTGCTCTGGCTGACAGGGATTTTTTTGTTTTGTTTTATGGAGGTTTGTTTTGTTTTGGTGGCACTGGGTTTGAATTCAGGGTCTCATGCTTGCTAGGCAGGTGCTCTTACCACTTGAGCCACTCCACCAGCCCTTTTTTGGTGATGGGTTTTTTTCGAAATAGGGTCTCAAGAACTATTTGCCCAGGCTGGCCTTGAACCACAATCCTCCTGATCTCTGCCTCCTTAGTAGCTGGGATTACAGGTGGGAGCTACCAGCACCCAACTGGCTGAGAAGTTTTAAGCTGTTCTGAGAGGAGAGGGAAAGCAGAGAAGTGGGCTAAGCCTCCCAGGTGGGTCTGTCCTGGGTGGAAGGACAGAATGGCCACCAGAGATTGCAATCTGTCCCTTTTCTCTCCCCAGGAGAAATCCGAACCTCTGAGAACTCCTACTTCTGCCAGGCTGCCAGGCAGCTGGCCTCTGTGCCGTCTTCTCAGCTCTGTGTCAAGCTGGCCAGCGGCGGTGACCCCACCTATGCCTTTAACATCCGCTTCACCGGGGAGGAGGTCCACGGCACCAGTAAGTGGCCCCTCCAGGGGATGCTGTCACCAGCCACTGCCTTGGGTGGGGCAGGTTTTAAAGTGATTCATTAGCAATCTGCCCTCATCACTGTACACTGCAGAAGCCAGGGCTGCCCACAGTGGCCAGCCTCCACCCACTTGCCCCTGGCCCCACAGAGGACATGGGAACTGAAGCCAGCAACGCTCTACTTGTTGGTGGCCCATTGCGAAGGTTAGCAGCCTTCTTTCCCAGCCAGAGCCCAGGCTAAAGAGCTGGTTGAGCCAAAAGCTTCTGTGCCCCACGGGACAGGATGCAGGGCACACAGTCACAATGGGGTGAGGAAAGGCAGCTTAGCAGGTGGCCCTTCTGACCCTTCCAGCTGTGTTTGGCCCTTGACCCTCAGACGCTCAGGACCTGACTCCTGGTATGAGTGGGAGAACCCCGCTCCATCCTCACTTCCTTCTGTTCGGCTCCAGAGACACTGTTGCTACAGCAGCCTCACGGGCAGGGAGCGTGGCACCCTGTGGGCAGACCCCTCTTCAGTGAGCACTGGGTCACTGAGCAAGCTCTCAGAACGTGCCAGGCGTGGGTGCCACACCTCAAACCCTTGGGTGCCAAGGCCAGCATCGCCCCATCGCACTGATAGGGAGTGGGGAAACCAAAGGCTCCGAGGTTTTTCCAGGGTCAGCAGGGTTTAGAGCCAGGCCTGGCTTTGAGGGCTTTGGGGCTTGGGAGCCACCTGCCTTTCCAGAAAGCCAGGCACCTGCACAGTGTGCTCAGAGCTTCCTGACTAGCGCTCCAGCCAGGTAACTCAGCATCCAGAGGAGACACGGTGACAGGAGCAGCTTTGCCAGAAAGCCGAGGTCAAAAAGTGGCCAGGGGTGGGGGTTGCTGGTGTCCTCTCCCTGCCCTGGTGCATCTGCCAGGTTCACTGAGAAAATGCAGGCTCTGGAAGATGGCGGAGGCAGTGCTGAGCCAAGCACAGATGACCCTGCTCTCAGCATAGCCCGGGGATATGGGTGTGGCTCAGACAAGCCCAAGATGAGGACAGGCTTGCAGCTGGGAGACGGGCCCACTGTGGCACTGGCCTCATTTGGCCCTTGACACAGCCTGCACACTACCATCCCTCCTTTGCTAGATGGCTCTGAGATCCCGAGTGGCATGCTGTCCCTGGTAAGCAGTGCAGCTAGGCTCACCCTCAGTTTTCCTTCCACCCAAGGTCAAGTTGGCAAATGAGTTGACCTTAGGGGTCACAGGCGAGGTGGGGCCTCACCTGGGGACAGGCCTGGTGCTGACGGTCTCGCCCACCCTGCAGGTGGCTCTTTCCGCCACTTCCTGTGGCAGGTGTGTAAAGAGCTTCAGAGCTCCTCCCTGTCGCTGCTCCTGCTGTGCCCCAGCTCGGCTGTCAACAAGAACAAGGTGAGGCCCAGGCAGCACGTTCAGGCTTGGGGACAGAGGCTTGATCTCACAGCGCATGTCCTCAGGGCTCTACGCCCTCCCCCACAACCTTGGTCTGGGTGGGCCGGACCCTTGCCACACTGGCTGGGTAGACTCAGGGACAGGGTTGTGTCCTGGCAGCGCTTCTTTCTCACCCGCCATGGGGTGCAGTCGCCTGGGATGTGTGCTCAGGGTGGCTTCAGATGCCCCCCCTTGCAGGGTAAGTACATCCTGACGCCGAGCCCCATCACCTATGGAGAGGAGCAACTGCTGCACTTCCTGGGCCAGCTGCTGGGGATCGCCATGCGAGCCGACGTGCCTCTTCCGCTGGACCTCCTGCCGTCCTTCTGGAAGACACTGGTGGGCGAGCCCCTCGACCCCGACCAGGACCTGCAGGAAGCAGACATCCTCACCTACAACTACGTCAAGAAGTTTGAGAGTGTAAGTGAAGGCGCTTTTGCCCTGGGGCCTTCTGTGTCACCTCTACTCAAGGACCTGAGCTGTCCCCAGGACTGATTGGGGTCACCATAGAGTGTTAGCAGTGTCCAGACAGGCTTTTCTCAGGGGCAGAGCCTCTGGCTTCCCTCCCTGCTAACAGAAGCATACTGGGTGACGTGACCAGCCCTGCTGGGTCCATTCACAACAGCCATCCCGACAGACACGGGTAGAAGGAAACATTGATGGGGGCAGCTACCAGGTCTGGTCTATTTTTAAGACCTATTTGGGGGCCTCAGAAAGGGCACGAGAAGTGTGTCGTGGGTGTCCTGCGAGACTGGCCAGGAAGGCATTGGAGATGACGCTCTTCCTCCCTCTCCTTGCGCTCATTTGGGACACACAGGGACGTTGAGGCCGCGGCGGCGTCTGACCATGGCCTCCTGGAGGAGGAGGTGGCCAGGGCTCAGGCTGTTGACTGGGCCTATGGAGGCGCTCAGGACCCCGCGTTGGCTCGGCAAGCTTCTCAGCCCTGCATGAGCCCAGCTCTGGCTCACATCCTGTCCTTGGGGAGCTCCAGACTGTCCTCTGTAAGGCCAAGGCTGAGGCCTTTCTGTTCTCACAACCACCACAAGGGGAAAGTAAGGCTCAGCTCAGAGAGGTGACATGACTGGCCCAGGTCCTCTCCACTTGTCAGGAACACAGCTACCAAGGAACCCAGGTCTGTCCAGCTCCAAAGCCTGAGCTCTCGGCACCACACATTTCTCCTCACTGGGCAGAGGGCAAGTGTGGCCTCAGAGCCAGCCTCCCCTCGGGCCTCCTTCCTTTGCTCACAGAGGCGACACTGGATATGTTCCAGGAAGAAGTGCTCTGGGCTTGTCACCACCAGGTTCACTGCTGAGGACAGAGGATAGGCCCTGACCCTGAGCCCCACCTGTCACTGTCCTAAGCAGCAGGCTTGCTCTCTTGTGGGTCAGGCCCTGTCACCTCCCATAACTCAGCATGTACATCCCAGTGTCTCTTGGACCCTAATTTCAGTGTGCCAGTTGGTGGGAGCGGCCTGTACATCCTACTCAGGGCTCTCTGGTAGCAAGAAACCCCAACTACAACAACTTAGGGTCATTAAAAATATGTTGGTTTTTTTTGGTGGCACTGGGGTTAGAACTCAGGCCCTTGAACTTGCTAGGCAGGCGCTCTACTACTTGAGCCACAACCCTTTCTCACTGTAGTCATTTTTTAACAGGGTCTTACATTTTTATTTTGTCCAGGGCTGACCTCAGACCACAATCCTCCTAACCAATGGTCTCCCATACAGCTGGAACAGCAGACGCACACCACTACACTCAGTTTGTTGACTGAGATGAGGTCTCACTAACGTTTTGCTCAGGCTAGCCTCAAACTGTGTACCTCCTGATCTCTGCTTCCTGAGTAGCTGGGATTATAGATGTGAGCCACTGTGCCCAGCTATATACTCTCAAAGGTTGTTGGAATGGGGAGTGGCTCAAGTGTAGTAGAATGCCTGCCTAGCAAGCATGAGGGCCTAAGTTCAAACCCCAGTACTAAAAAGTAGAAAAAACCTTATTCACTCTTAGGAAGCACAGGTAGGGGTGGAGTGGGATGGGAGAAGCATGGATTGATTATAGGTTTGGCCTCAGGCAGGGCTAAACCCAGGTGCTCAAATAAGGTCAGCAAGAATCAGTCTCAGTGCTGGGAATGGTAGAGCACTGCCGAGCATGTGCTGTGAGGCCCTGTGTTCCACACCTGGCATCACACACACGTCAGTCTCAGAAGCCAGGCCCAGTGGCACACCTGGCGTCCCAGCACTAGGGAGGTGAGGTAAGATGCTGGGGGTCAGGGTCAGCCTGGGCTGCGTCGTGAGGCCGTCTCAAGCCAGTGAATCTGTCTCAGGTGGTCTCGCAGCATGCTAGCAAGGATGGCCTCAGCAGTCCCAGGTGCGCCATGGTGTCACTGGATGCATACCAGTGACAGGGCTGCTGCGTGCAGACAGTAAGAGAAGCCCTGAGACACGGCAGGTCCGTCATGGGCCCATCCGTACGGCCAAGAGTGGAACTGCCTGAACTTGGCATTTGCCCAGATGAGGGTCAGACTTGCAGCAGGGCTGTGGTCAGCCTCGCTCTGCCCCTGCCCCGCAGATCAGCGACGAGACTGAGCTGGAGGCCCTGTGTGCCGAGATCGCCTCCCAGCACCTGGCCACCGAGAGCCCCGACGGTCCCAACAAGCCCTGCTGCAGGTTCACCTACTTGACCATGACGGGCGAGGAGGTGGAGCTGTGCAGCCACGGCCGGCACATCCCCGTGGCGTGAGTGCGCACACGATTGTGGGAGGGCACTGGACTTGGGTGATGCAGACGAACCTAGGTCAGGTGACAGGTGGATGTCACCAGGGGAGGGGTATCAGGCAGGATATTGGGTGACAGAAAAGGCAGTTTTCAGCTAAAGACCTTAAGGAAACAGCACACCTGAGAGAGGGGACAGCCAGAGACGCAAAAGGAATGAGCCCCAGGACAGGGATGACCTGGCACCTGGGCCAGAGGCCACCCCAGAGGATTAGGGCCTCTGGCTGAGTGGTGTGGCCCCCAGCACAAGAGCAGCCCGTCAGCCTCTTGGGTTCTCCATCAGCAGCACTCCTTGCCCTGGCAGGTGGGAGAACAAGGACATGTACGCAGCAGCCATCCGGAGCCTGCGGCTGCGTGAGCTGCAGAACGCAGAGTGCGTGACAGCCGTGCGGGCCGGCCTGGGCTCCATCATCCCCCTGCAGCTGCTTACCACCCTCAGCCCACTGGAGATGGAGCTGCGGACCTGTGGCCTCCCCTACATCAACCTCGAGTTCCTGAAGGTGGGTGGTCAGGCCATGGCACCAGACCTCAACCCCCATCTCCTTTGGCCCTGATGGCAGTGTCCTGTCTCAGCTCTGTCACCACCACAGACTCTGTCACTGTCATTGTCATAACTGCCCCGTGCTGTAGCCCCCACTCAACCCTGCTGCACCCTACCCAGGACGGGGCCCAGCCTGCAGACCCCAGGGCTCACACCTGGGCCTGTTCCCTAGGCCCACACCATGTACCAGGTGGGGCTGATGGAGACGGACCAGCACATCGAGTTCTTCTGGGGAGCTCTGGAGACATTCACACAGGAGGAGCTCTGCAAGTTCATCAAGTTCGCCTGCAACCAGGAGCGGATCCCATTCACCTGCCCCTGCAAGGACGGCGGCCCCGACACAGCCCACGTGCCCCCGTACCCGATGAAGATCGCCCCTCCGGACGGCACGGCAGGTCTGCCCTCGCCAGCTGCTGCCCCAAGGGGGACCCTCAGGCGAACAGCCCCCCCCCCCCCCACACACACACACACACTGAAACCTACAAATACAGAAGAGGAAAAGGGACATGGCAGTCAATGCTTTGAGAGGCTGGAAATCCAGAGCTTTTAAAATCTCCTGACTTCAATTTACAGTGCCAGGGATCAAACCCAGGGCCTCTGGCATGCTAGGGAAGCACCCTACCGCTGAGCCACACCCACACCCAGCCCCTGGTTTTTATTTATTTATTTATTTTGCAGTGCTGGGATTTGAACTGAGGGCCTACACCTTGAGCTACTCCACCAGCCCTTTTGGTGTTAGGCATTTTTAAGATAGTGTCTCATGAACTGTTTGCCTGGGCTGGCTTCCAACCACGATCCTACTGATCTCTGCCTCCTCCGTAGCTAGGATTACAGGCCTGAGCCACCAGCGCCTGGCTCCTAGTCTCATTTTAAATGCAGGGGGGATAAAAGCACTTTGCTGGCAGAGCAAACCTGTGCAGCCAAATTCCTAGGCCCTTAGCCCCCTCATTCTGGGCCCTGGGGTGGGCTTGCAGCTGCCCAAGGGGCCAGCCTGAAGGAAGAGGCCAGGCAGGCCCACTGTCTAACGCAGGCGTGCTGTGACTCCTGCAGGTTCCCCAGACTCTCGCTATATCCGCGTGGAGACGTGCATGTTCATGGTCAAGCTCCCCCAGTACTCCTCTCTGGAAATCATGCTGGAAAAACTGCGCTGTGCCATTCACTACCGCGAAGATCCCCTCAGTGGCTGATGGGAAAGAGCCTCCAGAATTAGGCTGTCACCAAGGCACCGTGATGCCAGCTGGGGAAGCCTGCCACTGCAGGCACGTCCCTCCAGAGCCCTGTGTGAGGAGTTGGTGACCTTTTGCTTTTCCGAACTTTCGTCCACATTCCAGGGCCTCCTGGAAGACTTAGCCTTTTGTATTTGTCCGTTTCGTGATGGGTGGGTTCTTTTGCTGCTGTTTGTGGTGTATCTGTATGATAGTTTAGTTCCCAGTTTGTGTCTAATTTGATCTTCCTGGACGTTGTCCCTCATGGCTACCACATTCTGATGCCATAAGGCCCCAGCTGATTCCTCATCACAGAACCACCCAGCAGGAAGCTGGAGTTGAGATGACCTGTCACTCAAAGCGTCCTGTTCTTTCTGCAAATCGTCTCCACAAACACACTCATGGCCAGTCCTGTCCTCTGCCTCGCACTGGCGTCTCCCAGAGGCAGCTCCTGCAGGCCTCCTTCCATCCTGAGACAGCAGGGCCAGTGCCCAAACCCACAACAGACACACAGGGAGCTTTGTTAGTCTGTTTTAGAATTTGTTCCCAGCCTTGGTTTTTCTGAGGAAAAGCCCACAGTGGTTCCCCTCCCACAGCCATACCTGCCACCTGTTTCTTCTGGGCCCCCGGGGTGACAATTTCCCCAGGACTCCTGGGAGCAGAGACCTGAACTAAGGCTCCAGGCCTTAAGTTCATATGCAGGCTCGGTGCATCCGACTGCAGGCGCTGAGAGGACACCCGGAGCTGCAAGGACAGTGCAGGTGGGGCCTTTTCCAAAACTGTTTAACAGGAAAGCACATGATTCAAGCCTACCCCACTTCCGTGCTCAGAAATGGCCCTTCCTCATGCCACGGCAATGAGGAAAAGAGGAAAGGGCTACATGCCTGTTTTTTAAAGACTGTCCGAGGTGCTCTGCCTAATCCAGGGTCTGCTTCAGTGACTCAGACCTTCAAGTTCAGATGGAGACTCCAAGGGGTCCCTCTGTTCCCCAGCTGGCCTACCCAGCACCCCTCACACCCCAGTAAGTGTGTGTGCCAGGGCTGAGCTGCCTGCAGTTTCACCCACTGCCCCAGCACGTCTGTGCCCCAAATACGTCTTTGTCCACTGGTACTTTGTTCAGGAGCAGCACGTGCCACCTTGTTGGACGCTGTCATTTTGGGCCTTGCCTGTTCTCAGAGTGGCAGTGCTGTAGTTACTGTATGATATTGCGCACACAAGGTCCTGAGTGAGTGCTGTCTGGAAGTCTGAGGAAGAGGGTGCCACCATTCCTCCGTTCTGCAGTGGCCTCGGTTGTTGGAAGGCATGTGAGCTTTTTTAGCACTGTCAGCATCCATCTCCTCCCTGTTCTGCTTAGGCAAAGCATTAAGAACCATTACAGAAAAGAGCCCCAACCCGAGGACGAGGTAAACTTAGGTTCGCTGGTGACGGCTGCATCAGTCGCATGGGATGTGCCTGCATCCCATGGAGGTGAGTGCCTGCAGGTCCCCTCCTCTGAAAAAAGATGGCTGCCACAGCCCCTGTGATGGGGGCAGAGGTCACATGAGGAATGTGCTCCTGATGAGGAGCCTCTTATTTCGTTTCTGCATAATGAAAGAGCCTTTGAATTTACTACAAGTGGTTTTTCCTCCATCTTCCAATTGTTTGGTTCCCCCCAGTCATCTCGAGTGGACTTGGTTTCTGCCAGCAACCGCCCCAAGAGGGGTTCCGGAAGCTTCTTTGGCCATCACTTGATTAGGCAACAGCTGTGAGTGAGATCGCTGCTGCTAACTCAGCTGCGTCTCCCAGAGAGCACACTGAGGTCCAGACAGACCCAAACCTTGGCCCTAAACATTGTGTGCTGTACAGTTACTTGATGTATATTTATTATAATTATTTATGGTTGCATTTAATCCGATGCTGTTTACACTAGGCTGTGTAAAGGAAGCTCACTACAGGAAAAAACGTCACACCAATAAATAACCTCCATCTAGTTCTGACCTTCCCTAAGAGTTTGATCATCTACACTTGCTAAGCAAGGTCGAGCCGGCGCTGCCTGGATGGCGCTGATACTTGAGTGCCTCCAGGTGACTAGGAATTAAAGCGTTTCTAATTATTATGGTCTCTTTGCACTGGACGTGATTCTTACTCCACTATACTCACAAACTGCCCAATCTCTTAAGTCTGTACTTAAGGTACGACTGAAGAGGTGGGGAGCCGGGTCAAAGCTAAACCTAACCCTGCATGTCCTGCCCGCCAGTTACTCTTGTGCCTAGGGTGGGGGTTTTCCATGGAGAATGCTACCACAGTCCTCCAAGAACAGACCAAACGTCTAGCTCTGCCCTGGTTGTGCAGAAGGGCAGTGCAGGGAAGAGGTGAACCTTTTTCTTGCACACCCACCCCCTGCCTCCATTTCAGTACTAGAACCCAGCTCAGTTCTACTTGCTTGTCCCCTCTTACTGCTCCATGGTAGTCCTCACCCAGACCATTCCATGCTTCATTTACGCACTCCACCCTCCTTGTACTTAATAAACACTACTTTTAGTGGGAGCATCCCAAATGCATCTTTACTGTAAGAAAAGCAGACTCTTAAATGTGGAGCAAGCAGCTTTTCTCCCTGATCCTCACTGCTGCCTCACAGTGCTGGAAACAGGGACTGGAAGCAGCCACTCACAGCAAACAGAAGGCCTCTGTTTCAACTTGAGACTCTCGGAAATGAAGGCCTAAGCTCTCTGCCCAGCTAAGCACAGCAAGGATTCCCCTGTTCTCCAGCGCTCAGGCTGTCTCCTGGGATGCTTCTTGAAAAATAAGTATATTTGAAAAATCTACCACCCAATAACGGAAGACAGCTAGCATCAGATTAAAATCACCCTGAGGTTTCAGATAAACATGTGACCCATCAGAATCCCCAGGTCTTTGGGCAGTGTAGCTGGCAACTATTTTTGGCGCCATCTACTCCATTGTTCTCCACCCATCAACTCTGCTGGGTGTAAAACCAGCAGAAACGCATACACACACTTAGCAGCACCCAAAGTCACAGCCAAACCGTGCACCAGGTGAAGGCCATCTACAGTGGAGTAGGAAATCACACTGCACAAAGCAACAAGCAACTGCTACAAGCAACATGGCTGAGTCAGACGCATAACGAGCAGCAAAAGCCAGTGCTAGCCAGGCGCTGGTGTCTCATGCCTGTAGTCCTCGATACTTGGGAAGCTAAAATCAGAAGGATCACAGTTCAAGGCCAGCCTGGGTAAACAGTTCCCAAGACCCTATCTCCAAAATAGCCAGAGCAGAACAGAGTGGAGGTGTCACTCCAGTGGTAGAGTGCCTGCTTTGGAAGCACAAAGCCCCGAGTTCAAACCCCAGTCCCAGCAAAAAAAAAAAAAAAAAAAAAAACAGCAGCTAGTGTTATGGCAAGACGGTGGTGCCTCGGCCTGGGGAGTTACTGAGAGGGTAGAAAGGTGTTAAGGCATCTCAGTAACGTTCTGTTTCTTGACAAGTTTGTGTTCACACTGAGCTGCACTTCTAGGTGTTTTTCTGTAGGGATGTTATACAGGACAGGTTTCTTAGCAGTACACCAGGACAAGGAAACCAAGAAAGAAGCACACCTTTCATTTTGAAAACATGAGAAATCTGTAATTCACTCATTTATACTTTTAATTTCAATTGCTTTTTGAAAGAGGACAGCTGATGGAGGAGTAACTTAGTAGGAAGTCATAACAGGAAACAAGGTTATTAGCACCACCTTTTAAATTTAATAAACTGCAAGGAGGAGTTGGAGGCCCTATGTGCTAGGGCAAAACAAGGAATGGGTGCTGCAGTGGTTCGCACCTGTAATTCTAGTTACACAGAAGCAGAGCTCAGGGATTGTGGTTCCAGGCCAGCCCAGGCAAAACACTCGTTAAAGACTGCATCTCAGTAAGCTGGGCATGGTGGTGCATGTGGGAGGTGTACATAGGGCCAGAGTGGCTCAGGCAAAAAACGCAAGACCCTATTCAAAAATTAAAGCAGAGCTAGGTGCTAGTGGCTTACGCCTGTAATCCTGCCTATTCAGGGAGGCAGAGATTAGGAGGATCAAGGTTCTACGCTGGTCCCAGGCAAATATTTCATGAGACCCTATCTAGAAAATAATCATTACAAAAAAGAGCTGGTAGAGTGCCTGCCCAGCAAGTATAAGGTTCTGAGTTTAAACCCCAGTACTGTTTAAAAAAAAAGAAAGAAAGAAAGACCTGGGGGGCATGACTCAAGTGTTAGAGCACCTGCCTAGAGTTCAAACTCCAGTACTGAAGAAAAAAAATTAAAAATAGAAGTTATAGCCAGGCACCAGTGGCTCACGCCTGTAATCCTAGCTACTCAGAAGGCAGAGATCAGAGAGCACAAAAGGAACCACAAGACCTAGCTGAACGCCAAGTACAAATTTTATTTTTATTATAAGGAAATTGATAATTATAATAGTAAAATAAAAGAAGGGAAAGGGGCTCTGACATTTGGTTTTCAGAGCAAGCTTGGGGCTGAGGCCTCAGTCCTGATCAGGACAGGAAGCGCTTAGCTTCCCCACTTACAGGGCAGCTGAGGATAAAGGAGCCAAGCTCCCTACCAGGGACAGAAGGCAGTGATGCCACATGCATGCTGAGAGACAGCTTAAAACACAGCCCCTAGTCCACCCCTCCAATTCAACTCTCCAAAGGCCTCATTCCTAACGTGACAACCGGCCTGACTGCTTTACCAGAGACCCCAAGGCTGGAATAGGCAGGGGCAGGGGTAGTACATAGGGGAGGTGACCCAAAAGCCTCAAGTTTAGCCCCCCACATAGAAGAGAATCACTTCACTAGTGGCTACCAGATTTTCAGAACCCACCCCCGCTTCCACCAGGACCTCAAAGCACCAAAAAGCAGTGGTGACAGTATGTAGAAGGATGGATCCCTGGCAGGTCAAGATGCCATACTTTATATTTCATAGTTGCTGAACGGCAGCCACTAAGGCTGAGACTTTTGTCACCAGCCTCGCTGATAGCCCTCCCTCAAACCCGAATTTCCACAGCACAATCTCAAAGACACAAAATGGCCATAACCTAGGAAAAGTTAAAATCTGGAAAGTCTCCCCTGCGTGAAAAGCCCCAGAGACAGGGCCTGCACCATGGCAAGTGCGGGTATGCATAGAAGATAGGAACCCATGGGAGGGGCCTCTGCAGACATCATTACTCCTCCTCTTCCTCCTCTGCATCCCCAGCTCCCTGCTGCTTCGGGGGCTTTGCCTGTGGAGTAACAACAGAAACAAGGAAGTGTGACAAGGCAGAGCTTCTCCCGGGGAGCTCTGAAGCTGTCTGGCTTCCACGGAAGCCAGCCTGTCAAAAGCCCAACAGTCCTTCAGTCCAACCAACCTGGTCCCAGCAAGTTCTCGGACTTGAAAAGCCACACTAGCCCCACCTATGTCCGAGTCCTCCCTGAGCACTACGACCTAGAACCCCGGTTACCTTTGCAGTTCTATTGCGGTAGTTGGCAGTTGCAGGCGTGGCCCGGGAGCTCCTGCCACTTTCACTCCTACCACTGAAAGAAAGGATTTACCAGCTCTTGAGATGGCCCTGAACAAAGGTCCAAAATGTCAAGTGGGAATGAAACAACTGGTGCTAAAGCAAAAGCAGGGCTGCAGGAGCAGTCAAACAAACCAACAGAAGAGCCCAAGGATGGCTAAAGAAGGTTTGGAATCAGGAAACAAGACAGGCGAAATCCAGCTCCTCCTCATGGGTGTAGCTCAATGGTAGTAGATGCTTAAATGGGTGAGGTACTGCGTTTGATCCCCAGCACTATTTAAAATAAAAAGAGGAACTGGGGCTATGGCTCAAGTGTAGAGCACATGCCTAGCAAGCACAAGACCCTGAGTTCAATCACCAGTACCACCAAAATAAGTCCTCCCCCCTTGCCACAGACTCATTCATATCCATGCTGGACCAGAGTGACCAGACTGCCCATGTTCTCTGCAGCTACTCTTGGGCTCCGCTCCCAGGCTACTGATTGTTACCTGGCTCCATATGCCCCCGCAGGCCCTCGGGGTAGAGAGGGCACAAGGCTTTCTGGACAGAGATTTCGAATGGAGTGTATTGCTGCAGCATGCCCGGGGGCCATGGCTCCGGTATAGCCACTCCGATTCCGCCCCCCGATGTCCTGGCTGTCTGTGTTGTTGAGCTTTAGCACTCGAGGAGGGCTGGGCTGGAACCCAGAACTGGGGCCTGATGTTGATTTTAGTAGCCGGTTACAGGTAGTTGTCATATTACTGATGGGTCTGCTGGGAGGCAGAGGGTAGCTGGATCCTTTAGCACTTTCCTGCTTGATATCATCCATGTAACACACAGAAGACAGGTCTCCTGGGAAGAGAAGAGTAACAGCTTTAGGGCAAAGTCTACTGTGCTATTAACACTGGATTCAGGGTAGGAACGAGAAGATTCTGGATTGAAGACAACTAAAGACTGCTGGAACCAACAACCCCAGGAAAGAATGGGAAACACTTTGCCTACCCCACACATTGATCACCTGAGTCCTCAACTACGGCCTCCTAACTATTCCACAGTGTGTAAGAAACCGAAAATAATTTCTGACTGGCTTAGAAGTGGTAAGTTTCAAAAACAGTTTACATACCCCTCAGCATGAGGCTTGTAAATAACACCAATGGTAACAATGAAAAAGTGCACATCAGGAGATCCACAGCTTATTATAAACATTAATTATAATTGTTATGACTGTCCCAAAAGCCATTACCCTAGAAGTCCACACTTAAGACAGCACTGTTTAAATCTGGGACCACACTGGCCTTAGTAGACTTTCCCAGGAGACCCTCATGTGTTTGGGAACTGAAGACGCAGATGAGAAGCAGGAAGCAGGCCCGAGCCTGTGGCCTTTCAGCTCTGGCTGATACCCTGGTGTCTGACACGCCTCCTGAGTAGCTGTGGTGAGGTCTCTTGAGGCTCAGAATCCTGTCTAAGAATCCCTTCCATCCCATGGTTGTTTGCTGTGGCTGGGCGCTGGTCACACTGGTCCTAAACAAGAAAAACCAGAATTAGTCCTCAGAACCGAGAGGGGTGGGAGGAAAGGTAGGAGCAGCAGGTCAAGTGATCATACCCCATCTGGAGGGAGACTTTGACAACCACTAAGAAAGTTCTGGGAACTAAGAGAAGCCCACACCTCAGAGCAGTCATTCCCTGTGAGCACCTAGGGCACGGACAGAAGCACTTTCTACTCTGTGCAGAAATGAAGGATGGGCTGGTCTTAAGGACCAGAAAAGCTTTTCTATACTTTGACCAGTGTTTGTGTGGTGTTTTATTTCATGGTCTCCTCTCCCCTAGGAGATAACCAGCTACTTTTTTCCCCTATCTACATCGTGATCCAAAAGCAGAATTCTTTCCTATAGAGATGAAGCGTATCATTTTCTAATATCAAAATAAATGATACCTACAGTGTTTGCTCCTAAAAGTAAGATCGGACACAAAACGTGTTTTCCACTAGCAGACTGGGATTCTACACTGAAGAAGATGGCAAAGGACTTCAAATGTCTAGTCCAACTTCCTCATTTACAAACATACCCAGTCAGGGACACAAGACCAAGATCACACAAGACAAAGCCAGAACGAGATCCCATGTCTCCTGGAATGCAAGTCTCAAGTGAGACTCCAATGGAAGAATCTGCCTGTTCAAAAGGAGAATGCACCAGACATAATCCCAGCACTTCAGAGGTGAAGGAAGAAGATTGCTAGTTCTAGGCTAGCCTGGGCTACATAGTCAGACCTTGTGTTAAAAAATTTTTTTTAAAAAGGGAGCAAAAGTAAATAAAATGTATCACTGACTCCAGGAAAAGTCTCAACTAAACCCTCTGGCAGTGCTCCCATGCCTGCTCAAAAGCCATCCTGGGGATGGTGGCATGGTTCAAGTGATAGCAAGTATGAGGCACAGAGTTCAAACTCCAGTACAACAACAACAACAAAAAAAATGAAAAGCCATCCTGCCTCTTGGGTTCTCAGCTAGTGATGTGATAGTTTCAGTTACAAGAAAGCTGAGAAAATGTCAAGGCCTAAGTTACTGAACACCTCAGTGAGCTTCCCAAACAGAGCATGTGCTCCTGTCCAGGTGGGAATGTAATCTGAGGACCGCGGAAGCAGCCTCACCGTGGAGGCTTCAAGCTCGCTCACAGGATCAGGGGACGGTCCTCCAAGGACTCTCACCTGGTGATGGAACAGCACCTCCTCTTCCAGTTGAACCCCACAGAATTCACACGGGATGATAATGCTGTCTTCCACAATGGGGGAATTGCTCAGGCCCATCAAAGATTCTAACTGGTTACGTGTAGCCTGCTGTAGAATGTTCTGGAAGATGACATCAGGATCCTCTACCCCTCTAGGGGAAGAGCTGCCAGTATGGAGTGAAGGTAAGGCACGTGAAGGGTTACAGCTTGTCTGTCATTCAAAAAACACAGGTTTAAAAAAATCTGAAGTTAATGAAAAACTACATTCCTAAAATATTCTCTACAAGAAGTTAAAGTATTTTAATACCACTTAATACTCAGGATGACTAAAAAGGCTCAGGAGAATGTAAACAGAATACTTTACTTTTAAACATTGCTAGATTGGCTTTTTGTTACTGTTTTTTATGTTTTATGGTACTGAGGACCAAACCCAGGGCCTCCAGCATGACAGGCAAGCAGTCTAGCATTTGAATCACACCCCTAAGCACCACACCCCCATATATTTTTTGTATTTTAAAACCCAGGCTTACCTCAAACGCTCAATTTTTCTGCCTCCTAATCCCCCTACTGCCTCCTGCATAGCTAGAATTACAGGAAGGAGCCACCATGCCCAGCCAAAAAGATCTTTCTTTTGTTGTTTTGTTTTTGAAGTACTAGGAATTGAATCCAAGGCCTTTATCTTGGTAGGTATTGGGGACAAACCCAAGGCCATCACTTGAGCTCTAGAATACTATATTGTTTTAACTTTTTTTCTACTATATTCATGTACTTATTCTTTTTTAATTAATTCACAAAGATTCAAAGAAACAGCTTCTCAATGCTACAGAGTAAAAGAAAGGTCCTAATATTCTCTATTAGCCTTATTAATGGATTTTCTTCTGCTGCTTCTAACCATTAACTAAATGTATTCAAAGAGTGTATTATTCTATTCAGAGGAGGAAGGAGTGTTTCATCATCCAAAACATTGAGACTACTTGGAAGTCTTAGGAATGCTGGATTTGGCCAAACCAAAACAGAGCCCCAAGGAGTACTGAAGAAAAAAGGGTTCCTCATAAGCCCAGTGGTGGGGTACATGTCTGTAGTTCTAGCTGCTTGGGAGGCTAAAGCAGGAAGATCACGTCAACCCAGGAGTTAAGGCCTACGTCTGTAACATAGCAAGACCACATCTCAAAAAGATCATGTCTCAAAAACAAAAAAAGGTTCCCTCCGCTAGGTAATCCTCAAACACATAAGCCTATTCCCTGATCATTCCTAGCTGGCTCAAGAATTTTCAATCATTCAAAAAATACCTGGCTTCTTTCATATAGCATATATTGAAAGATTTAAAAAGTAGGAAAACCCAGAACCTGCCATCAGGAAACTTAGCCCGTGGTGTAATCCATCAGGGGTTCGAGAAACCATATCACAAGTCTGCACCACATGGAGGATCTGCTGGGATGGGACCACTGGTTCTATTTGAATGAGTACCATGTTTTCTGAGAGACAACAAGGCTGAGTTCCCCACCCACATCAGCTACACCAGGCTCAAAAACATAGTTGCGGCTTCTCTTTCCTTCCATTTCCCCGTTTTACTAAGTCTTCGTTGACAACTTAATCAAAAAAAAAAAAACCCCGTATTTGCCACGGCTATCCCTGGCATTGTATTGAACGTTTGCTCAAGCCTCATGTGCCTTGTCAACACCAAGTTCAGCCTGTTCACATTCCGACTTGAAGCCCCAGGCAGTTGTCAACACACCTGATGGTCAATCAGCAGCTCCTCGGGGTACAGCTCCTCACAGAATTCACAAGGCAGCATGGTCTCCTCAGCTGCACCTACGCATTTAAGCCACAGGGTTAGACCCAGCGTGAACAAAATCAAGCTTCACTACAACATTTTATTCCCCTTGCAGGGTTTTAGATAAAAGCTGGGCTTCAGGCTGGGATATACCTAGAAGTACAGTGCTTTCTTGGCATGTTCAAGGCAAGGCCCCAGCTCGATCTTAGCATCACCCCCCCCAAAAAAAAGCCGGGTGCTGGAGGCTCACACCTATATCCTAGCTACTACTCAAGGAGGCAGAGATCAGGAGGATCACAGTTTGAAGCCGAGACCCTGTCTTGAAAAACTTTATCACAAAAAATTGGGCTGGTAGAGTGGCTCAAGGTGAAGGCCCTGAGTTCAAGCCCCAGTACTGCAGTTTGAGGCCAGCCTGGCAAATAGCTCACAAGACCCCATCTCCAAAATAACCAGAGCAAAAGAGACTGGAGGTGTAGCTCAAGCAGTACAGCACCTGCTTTGCAAGTGGGAAGCCCTGGGTTCAAACCCCAGTCCACTCAACAAGTGGGGAGTAAGGGAACTCACCTAATTAGGTTTTGGCTCTGAGCAGAAAAAGGGAAAGTCTACTAAGCCACAGCACCTTAGAGGCTTCCTGTTCTGTAGGTTTGAGGTCAGAATCCACACGTAACTCTGGGCATTTGTGGCTGTTAAAAGACTAAGCCAAAAACTCAACCTAAAGTTACCTATTAGGGCTAAGGATGCATCTCAGTGGTAAAGTGCATCATATCTGAGGCCCTAGGTTCAATCCCCAGGACTGAGGAAAAGGAGACAGACAGACAGACAGTTGAGCAGGCAGGTCAACATGGAGGATAAAGTGAAGTCTGAAACACGTACATGGAATTCAAGAAGGAAAAGCTACAGAGAATCAAAGACAGCCAATAATCAAAGAAATAACCGAATTTTACAACTAAATTAAAAATACTAAATTTCTGAGTCAGGAAGGCTAGCAAATTCCAAAAAAATTTAAAACCAGAGAAATCTTCAAGGGACTACGAACCACCAAAGACAAAAATGTCTTAAAATCAGCCAGACAGAAAAGGCAATTACTTACAGAGATGTAACACTAATTGATAAGTTCTCTGTTGCCAACCGAATCCAAAAACCAGAATATCTTCAAAAAATCTAAGAGACTTAATAGACGACCTAGCATTTCTCTAGCATGACCAGAAAAACTAACAAAAATGATGACAAAATGAATTTTCAGACAAACCAAAATAGGCAATATACAACCAAGAGACATTTTCAATAGAATTTCTAAAGAAAAGAAAAAGATAATTACATAGAAGGTAATTCTGCGAGGCAACAAAGAGTAGTTCAGGAGGTTAAAAAGAAAAAATAAGAATTCTAATACATAGTCATAAAAGGACTGATCAGAATTCTAAGGCTATCATATTGATTGAGAGAAATATGGTAAGACTGAATAAATTTAGTCTTTGCTAATAAGCATGATAAAATTTCCAGAAATCGTTAAAACAGATACAGACAATATAACTTTCAAACTAGTAGAGAGGAGACTATCACAGAAAAAGATGCTGTGCAAATGTGAAAAAGGCTATGTCTGGAATTAGGGCATTTTCTTGAGAAAGCAGCAGCAACAATTAGTTATAAACAGAAAGGATTAAAAGAAACAAAAGGCAGACTTTATTAACACCCTATAGAGGGTCATCAAGCTTAAAAATGGAAAACAGCCAGGCATGGTGGTACCAGACAGTAATCCCTGCACTCAGGAGGCTGGGGTACAAGGATGGCAAGTTGGAGCCCAACCTGCACTACACAGCAAGATCCTGTCTCAAAAAGAAAAAAAAAAAAAAAAAAAAGTTAACCGAAATAGCAAAGAACACAAACCCATACATTAACAAGTCCCTATTTTGCTCCTCAAAATGAAGAAGCCTCCCTAATAAAAGCAGCTGTTAAACAACTCCAATGTATCATACTTTCACATCCTGTTATATACAAATAGTATCTCTGGAAGGCTAGCTAAGAAGCAAGTTGTTGAAAGTGATGACATCTGTTACCAGTTTGTCTACCAGGGGTAAGAAGGACACTTACTTTTCCTTTTAAACCCTTTGGATAGTCTTTTAAATTTTTCTTGGGCCATGACAATACTGGGGTTTAAGCTTAGGGCTTCCCATTTGCTAGGCAGGCATGCTACTGCTTGAGCCACACCTCCAGCCCTTTTGCTCTGGTTAGTTTGGAAATAGGTTCTCACTTTTTGTCCAGGCCATCCTGGACCGCAATTCTCCTATTTTACACTTCCTGCCATAGCTGGGATACAAACAGGTACCACCATGCCCAGCTTTTTCTGCTGAGATGGGGGTCTCACAATTTTTTTTCTTTAACGGCCTTACTGAGATATAACTGATACCACACCATTCACTCATTTAAAGTACACACAATCATTTTTATTATATATGTAAATTAACTATTTTTAAAACTCCTCTACAAGCCAGGTATGGTACTTCACACTTGTAATTCCAACATTTGGGAGGCTGAAGCAGGAGGAATGTGACTTAAAGGACAGCCTGGGATACAAAGTAAAAAGGACTCTATCTTGAAAAACCCAATATAAAACAGGACTGGTGGAGTGGCTGGAGTGGTAGAGTGCCTGCCTAGCAAATGTGAGACCCCAAGTTCAAGGCCCAATACCACGCAAAAAAGAAAAAAAAATTCAAGGCTGGCCTGGGCTACATAGGTGAGACCCTGTCTCAAAACAAAACAAAATAAAACACAGAAACAACACCAATGGAGCATTCCTGACAAAATTGTAATCAGAATTTAAACATGAGAACAATTAGGAAAGTATAAATAATTGGCCTGGACTTTTTCAAAAGTGCCAGTGTCATGAAAAACATAAAAAAGAAAAAAAAAAAAACTCTAAAGAACATTCTGTCCAAGATGGACCTTGTGTTCAATTTCTGAGTAAAATTTGTACTGTGTTTACATAGGAGAATGCCCTTGTACTTAAGAGATAGATGCCAAAGTATTTCAGCACGAAATGTTCTGTCTTCCAACTTACTCTCAAATTGTTCAGGGGAGAATAATGAAGCTGAAGGTGGAAAAGTACTAACTTGGTGAATGAAGGGCATAGTATTCAGAATGCTATTCTGATAAAAATAAGCTGGAAAAAACAAAGCAAGCAAGCAAATTCTGTCTCATGAAGTATTATTTCAATTTTATGAGTTGTATAAGGTAAGACCAATAAAAACTGTAGGGAAACTAGTGCAGAATAAAACCTACCTTTGATGTCACTCAGGGAACTGGGACCACCATGAGACTGATCTGCCTCACATACAGTCCTCCAGAAGTCCTGTTCTGCCACCTTGGACACCTGGCCTTCATTTTGCAGACTTAAGGCCAACATGAAATCCAAGTTTGCACTCTCCTCACCACCCTTTGTGGGGAGCTGTCGGCTTCTATTCCTTTCCTGCCTTTCTCGTTCTTCAACTGGAAAAAACAATCAGCGCTCAGCACACTAAAGATACTGCGACTCCTCAACCCAAATCCATGTCTAGCAAATGGTCAAGGTTTACAGACATCCCAACACTCGGGGCTAAGGCCCTGGTTCTCACCCACCACGGAGCATTTCCAGCCATAGATAAGGCTCCATTGCTATTTTAAACGTATTATCAATAAGCTATGTTGAACTGTGGGCATGGCTTAGGTGGTAGACAGGCACAAGGCTGTCTACCACCTAAAAAAAAGCCGTATTACTGAGCCACAACTATGATATTACATAGCACAACTATGTGCTAAACATTTTGCATGTATTTTCTGCATTACAGCAGAATGTCTGTTTAAAGCACAGGGTAAGATTGCCTCAACTCAAATCTCAGCTCTCCTGTTTACCTGCCTTCTTGAAGGCTGTGAGAATTAAGAGTTAATACAAGTAAAGCGTTCTGCAAATGCCTGAGGCACAAGCACCAGCATCACCATTGGCCCTAACATCAATCCAATCCCATTTCAGAGGAAAGTTAGGTATTCTTCCCAATGTCACCTAGCTTGTGTCAGGTTTTTACAATCAAGATCTAGTTGGCCCCAAAATCCTGTTCCCATTTTCCCCAGAATTGTGATACCATTCTAGTTTCCTAATCACAAACACAACTTACATAGATTATTCTGAATTGGAAAATGGGCTGTCACGTTCCTTTGGCTTGCAGTCCTATTGTGGAAAGAGTCTGACTCAAAGGTTCTCAGGGGCCTGCGGGGTAGCCTCATGGGTGGGTCCAGAGCCTCAATTTGTCGGAGGAGTTGGGATGCAATCCAGATTCTGTCTTGACCCCAAGACTCATCATACATATTAGAAGGTATGGCAGCCTCCTTCCTCTTTTCCTCTTCCCCCCTCCCACAAACTTCAGGGTGACTCTTCAGATCTTTTACAAGGACATTGCGCCCACAGTTGCCACACAGCTCTGTCCGGGCACCACAGTAATCTTCGTGTTCCTTCAATTTGAGAACAGAAAGTTCCAAGTCACAGTGCTGGCAGACAGCAAGCCGCAGAGGGCACTCCGTCTCCTGTAACACAGAGCAATGAGGCAGTTAATTTGCACAGCTAGGAAAGGCTGTGTCTTAATACAAGGCAAGGTAAGGAAAAATACCTACTCCACTCTTCTCTTCCAACACTAGCCTTGCCTGCTTTGCTTTCAAAGGATTTATAGTTATAGCTTCTTTTGTTCCTTCTACAAAGTTCTTCAATAGGAAAAAAGAAACCCTTAAAAGAAATCTAAGCTATGCTACCTATCACATCATTTTGTGCACATTTAACAAAGTAATTCAAAATCAGCCAGAGCCCAGAAGCAAATAGCAAGAAGCAAAGCAACTGATATTTTGTCAAAGCTCCACCAATTCCCCTTAGTAGTCCAACTCAGTCTTAGGTAGCCAATAATAAGAAAGAGACTGACCTTTAGGAAGACCCTGATTTTTTTTTATTTTTCTAACATTCAATATTTGTATTCAGCACTGGCTTTTCCCCCTCCTTTGGTTTTTTTGAGACAAAGTTTCACTAGGTAGCTCAGGCTGGTCTTAAACTCATGATCCTCCTAACCTTGGCCCCTGGGTGCTGGGATTACAAGCATGTACCACCACACCCAGCTTAGCACTGGCTTTAAACATATCAAATAAACCAGTTCTATTCCAACTTCTACTCCAAATTTTATTCTGAATTTTTCACCAATAAAGATGACTCCAAGACTACAAATAGTAAATAAAAGATAAAACCTCTTCACTTAATTAGAAATTGCCAAAAAAGCAATAAAAACATTACAACATAAAAGAATATGTTACTATGATATGCACAATCTAAAAATCAGGATTGCCAATGGCTCACACCTGTAATCCTAGCTACTCATGAGGCAAAGATCAGAAGGATCAAGCAAATAGTTCACAAGACGCTATCTTGAAAAAACTCTTCCCAAAAAGGAGCTGGTGGAGTGACTCAAGATGCAGGCTCTGAGTAACCCTAGTAACACTAAGTAAATAAATAAGTAAATAAATAAATAAATAAATAAATAAAAAGGTATGTTAGGGACATCTTGTATTTGTACCATTACAACAATTGGTGTTTCAGCATAAGCTCCCAGAAACAGATGACAGAGAAGGTAGAAGACAGTTTATCAGAGGTTGTTTTACACAGAAAGTAAATGCAAGGGCTGGCAGAGTGGCTCAATTGGTAGAGCACCTGCCTAGCAAGTATGAGGACCTGAGCTCAAACTCCAGTACCAACAAAAAAAAAAACCAAACAAGGTAGATGCTAGAGCCAGAGAAACAGTCATTACTCTGTTGTTAATACAACCTCACTCATACCCCAGAGGCTGGCAAGGCCTAGTAAAACATACAGCAAATGCTTAAAGAAAAATAACAAGCTAGGGATGCAACTTAGTGGGAGAGCACTTGGCTGGCATGTGCGAGGCCCTGCGTAAAATGTCAAGAACCACAAAAAAAAAATTAGGAAATTAAGAGTGTCAAAGTATTTATGAAATGTTTTTCTCTATGACGTGGGTTTACAAGTAGGTCTTATTTCCTTTCTGTACCTTCCTCTATTTCTCAATTTACCTACATGGAATGTGAATTATCTTTTGTACTTGAATTACAAATTAACTTATGGTTTTATTGAAATACATACAATGAAATGCACCAATCCAAAGAGTACACCTTGATGAATTTTTATGTGTACAGATACTACCTAAATAGTTGTTGGGATTTATTTATTTTTGTGGTACTAGGGATTGAACCCAGGGCCTCATGCATGCTGGGCAAGCACTCTACCACTAAGCTACACACCCAGTCCAGTTGTTGGGATTTTTTTATTGATAAATTAATATACTCATTCAATGTTGGCCAGTTTTATCTCAACCAGTGACCACTTGGTACCAATTTCTCACTCACCAAATGCTGAGGAATTTCTTTAGGCATCAACAGCATATTATTCAAATGATCAAAAAGGCAAAACAAAACTACAATATGTAAGGTGGGCTGTGTGCTGAAGAGGTTATTTCAAACTGCCAACCCCAGGCTTAGTTTTGTACTCCCCAGTAAGGCTGCCAATAGCCAAACCCCAGCAAAAATGACAGACTTAGTACCAAAGGAAAAAACTAAGGCTGAGCAGGTTGTACAATAGGCAAGCAGCCAAATGTGGTAGTAGTCAAACAATCAAAACTTCAAATAGGCTAGGAAAGGTAGTATCCGTGTAAGACGGTGCAGAACAGACTCCACCAAATTGACTTCTACTCTGCATGTAGCTCTGTAATCTCAGTAGGACTTGTCCCATGTAACTCCCTCCTTTCACAGTGCAAGAAGACTAACCTCATGCTTCTTTAACTGCCTCTTCTCCAACTTCTCATTACATTTGCACGTCACCTAGAGTAAGAAGTGAGAATCAAAAGGTTTTGTGACAATATGCTCAGTCATTATTGCCCAGTAGCAAGTATAACACACTTATGAACAACAGCCAAAAACAACACGTTTATTAATGTGTGGGTTAATTGGCAGTTCACCTGACAGTGTTCTGTGGCCATGTGACTCTCCATATCAGACTTGGGAAATGGTTCCTTGCAGACAGGACACATACCGATGTTCCTTCTACAGTGGATTTCATGGATGGTAAAGTTACACAAAGGAATTTCTTTTGTGCTGCAGAAATATACAAAAGAAAAAGGCAAGCATTACTACTGATCTATGCCTTTTCTTGCATTGTTGTTATCACATAGAATCTGTCTTGTCCCAATCTTTAGACTCCATTGTCTCTTGTGAGTGAATTGCTTATGTACAAACTCATAAGACTGTCATTAAGAACTAAGTCCTTCTTTCTGTACATGCTGGGCTAAAAAAAAGAAAAAAAACAAAGAGAGAGAGAGAAAATTAAGTCCTAATGGCTGAATCCTCTGTGCAACACGCTAAGGTACCAGTGTTACACATTACCTCTAAAGCTCAGTCCCACTATCTCCAAGTCGGAGCTGATCACAGCATGACATCATGCAACAAGAACTGAGCTAATCTTTTGTAAAACCATCCATGCCCCAAAGCAGAGTGATACACTATTAAGATTATTTAAAAATAAAGAAAAGAAGCTGGGTGACAGTGGCTCATACCTGTAATCCTAGCTACTTGGGAGGCTGAGATCAGGAGGATCACAGTTCAAGGCCAGCCCAGGCAAATAGTTCCTAAGACCCTATCTCCAAAATAACCAGAGTGAAATGGACTGAAGGTGCCACTCAGTGCACTCTGCTCTTTGCAAGTGCAAAGCCCTGAGTTCAAACCCTGGTCCCATCCAAAAATGAAAGGGAGGGAGAGAAGAAGGGAGGAAGGGATAAAAGCAGCCTACCACTTATTTTCATTTCCAGTCATTTTGTTGTTGTTGTTGTTTTTGTATTTCTTCTCCTGGTGCTGGAAAATGAACCCAGGGCCTCATGTATGTTAAGCAAGCACTCTACCCCTAAAGCTCATCACATTCTCAGTCTTAAGTAGTTTATTAGATTTTATTCCATAAAAAGACAGAACATGAGAGGTGTAGTTCAGTAGTAAAACATTTGCAGCTGGCTGGTGTAGTGACTCAAGTTGATAGAATACCTGCCTAGCAAGCATGAGGCTGAGTTCAAACCCCAGTACCACAAAAAGAAAAAAGGTCAAACTAGGGCTGGAAGTATGGCTCAAATGGTAGAGCACTTGCCTAGCAAACACAAGGCCCTGAGCACAAACCCCTATACTACCTTTTTTTTTTGGCAGGGACTGGGGTTTGAACTCAGAGTCTACATCTTGAGCCACTCCATCAGCCCTTTTCTTGTGATGGATTTTTTTGAGATAGGGTCTGGTGAACTATTTCCCCAGGCTGGCTTCAAACTGAGATCCTCTGATCTCCACCTCCTGAGTAGCTAGGATTACAGGCTGAACCACCAGGGCCCAGCTATCAAAATCTTTAAAAAAAAAAAAAAAATTCCCTCCTAAAAGAGTGGATGCCAACTTTGGGACAGCCAAAGGGAAAGAGGAAATTGCCTCCATTATGAATAGGCTAGGTGCCTAGTGAGAAACAAGCTCTCTGCCTAGGTCAATGTAAACCTCACTGCAAGGTACATAAAAATGAGATTCTGATCCTCTTCTTTGGGTCCAGTCTCCTCCCTCACTTTTTTTGCCATTCTCATTTAGTGGTGCAATCAAACATCCTATCTATGTCTCAGAAAAGTTAAGAGAGCAAGGGGCAACCTTAAGTGAAAGAGTAGGTCACCACACCCAGCTGAGAGAACAAATGCTAGGTTTTGTTTATACAATGTTCAGGATAACCTGTTGACACAAGTACCCTATATATACAAGGCCTCTAAAACTTCAGAACTGAAATAAAAAGTACTAAGGACCACATCATCATATGAGGAAGAATCAAAACTGGCTGTCAAGTTAGACCACAAAGCATTTACTAGTCTAGATTTTTACCTTTTGGGAAACCTTAAAAGAAAGTTAGAAGATATTTGCAACAACCATATGAAACAAGTGCCTGCTGGGTTTTTTCTTTTCAGATTTTATTGCCATGATACTCCCATCAAACATTCCAGCCTGCTGAGTGCCAGTGGCTCAAGCCTGTAATCCCAGCTACTCAAGAGGCAGAGACCAGGAGAATCCTGGTTCAAAGCCAGCCCAGGCAAACAGTGCCACGAGACCCTATCTCGAAAAAACCCTTCACAGAAAAGGGGTGGTGGAATGGCTCAAGGTGTAGGCCCTGAGTTCAAGACCCAGTACCACAAAAAAAAAATTCCAACCAGACAAAATACTAATAAACTTGTATCCTACCAACAGATAAAAATGAAGATGTTTTAAGTGAGAGTAAATAAGAACATAATTCCTTTTGGGGGGGATGGGGACAGGGAAAAGGTACTGGGATCTGAACTCAGGTCCTTGTACTTGCTAGGCAGGTAAATAAAGGAAAATGGGTTTGTTCTGCTTATTTTATGTACTGGGATTTTGGGATTTGAACTCAGGGCCTTGCCCTTGCTAGGCAATCGCTCTACCACTTGAGCTACACCTTCAGCCCCATAATTCCTTATAAAAACTACTAAAAGCCCCAAGAAGTGCTAAGCCAAGTTAAAAGGTAAAATTTCATTCAAGATAGAAATTACTTAAAAGGCAAGTGGAAGCTCCCAGAAAAACCCCCAGTAGCCTTTCAAACTAAACACAGAAGTTTCTTCTTAAATATATGCAAAAATAGGGCTGGAGGAGTGGCTCAAGTGGTAGAGCGCCTGCCTAGCAAGCCCAAAGCTCTGAGTTCAAACCCCAGTACTATAAGAAAAAGAAAATTAAATATATGCAAAAATAAAAAGCCTACACATTAAAAAAAAAAAAAAAGCCTATACATTAAACACTGACGCTTCCATGCCCTAACACTCACTCTCCCTTAGACCAGACAATCCAATAAGAAAAGAGGTAACGGCAAAAACATCTTCAATTACAACCAACTGTTTTTTTTAAGTTTGTTGGCTGCCCAGTTGGATCTAATCAATGCTGAGATACTGAAGAGAACCTTAACTTTTCTTAGGAAAACAGGAGTATGGCTCTCAAGACAAACCTTAAAAGCCAGCAATTTAAATAGGGTTACTCAGATGGGAGGCTTGTATCGGCTTAGTCAGATTTCCATACTAATCTATTTTGTTCTTGAAATAAATTACTGTGGCTGTGAGTAACCTTATTTTCATTAGCTTCCTATTAACTCACCCTTTTATAATTCCCTTAGCACAGTTATTTATAGATTGTCCTAGGGTTCCTTCAGAGTAGACTGAAAATAAAAATACCTTAACCAGTATGTGTTTTTTTATAAAATCACAATGCTTTCTTGCTATTATCTCATTGATTACTTTGAGTCACTAACTATACATATAAACTTAAACAATGCAAGAAAAAGAAAAAACAAACAATGTTAAAATAGTTTGTAAAATTGCATAAGGTGATAGTGGCTGGTAGAAAGGAATACTCTATTAAAGCAAGGCGCTCTTAGTGAAATGAAATCTTGATTCCATACAGGGAAAGATTATGACCAGTAATTGCTCTATATATCCCAATTCTGCTAAAAGTTAGGCTGAGCAGAAAGAAAATGCAACAAAATAGTTGTCACCTGGCTCAAACCTTTCACCAATTTCCATCAAACCACTCAAATCTGTCTCCTACTTACAATTTGGTAAGTTAAACATAGCATATCCCAGCACAGCCAAAAAGAAAATAAACAAAAATTACCACCTGCTTTGCCTTTTTTGAAAGTTTTCAGTAAGAGTACTTGTGGACTAGGACGTGATAGCATACACTTATAACCCCAGCACTCAGAGGCTTAGGCAAGAGGATCTTGAGATCAAGGCCAATCTAAGCTACAGTTCAAGGCCAGTGTGGGACTACATAACATCATTTTTTTTTTTTCTTGGCAGTAGTGGTGTTTGAACTCAGGGCTTCCTACTTGCTAGGCAGATGCTCTACCACTTGAGCCACTGCTGCAGCTCATGACTGTCTTTAAAAATCAACTTGTACATCACCACTAAAATATCAAGAGAAGTTTCTTGAGAACTCTACCAGGACCCAGCTGATTGTTAACTAGATGACTACATTTCATTTCAACAGGAATTTCTCTTTCTTCTAGCTTATATAGCTTAAAAACACCAAAACAGAAAGCTTTAAATTCCAGACTATGCCAGTCTTCACTAACAGTTTTGGAGCCATGAAATGACAATGATTAAACTTCGCTGCCTTTAGAGTTTAGTTATTGCCTGGCATGTACAACACCCAGAATTCAATCCAGCACAGCAGTAAAAATCCTGAATTCAATCAGCTCCCATTTTTTAAGCAGCAAAATCCCCAGGTTGAACTGCTCTGTCACTGGATGTAGAGCCAAGCTCACTAAACCTTGCTCCTAATCAACCCCAAGACAGCCAGAGGGGCCACTCAGGAAATCTTTGTATCATACTTTGAAGAATGTCGATCTAGTCCAAATATTTTATTATGTTTTATAACAATATTTTATATATATTATATACTTTATAATGATATATAAGTTATAATGATAACTTCCCTTATACAGTTAAGAAAACTGAGACCCTAGGAGCTGAGACTCTAGGGTATAGCTCAGTGATAGAGTGCTTGCCTAGCATGCACAAGGTCCTGAATTCAATCTCTAGCACAGCCTTTGCCCTCACCCTCACCCCCAAAAAAAGTCTCCAAACAGTCTAGTATCTTGTTAAGTCATTAATTCAGAAACTTACTTCAGAAACATTAAGTAAATTAAATTCAGAAACATGAAGTAAATTCAGAAACACACTTACTAGAAGTGTGGCCCAAGCAATAGAGCACCTGCCTTACAAGCACAAAGTTCTGCGTTCAAACCCCAGTACCAATAACAAAAAACATGCAGCCCTGACTTCATCCCATTCTATTTAAGCCAACCTAAACCAATCGCCTTTCAAGTTACTTTACAATTTATTCAAAACTGATAAAAAAAGCTCTAGTTCCATTGACTTGTACAGTACAGTCACACAGCTCCAATTTTAATCTACTAATAATCTATCCAAATCATTACAGAAACTAGTTTGTCCTCATTTCAAAAACATTAGATTTAATTTCTTACCAGTTGTCACACAGTCGAGTATCCTGGTCATCTAGAAATTCAGCCATCTTTAGCTCTTCCTGAAAACTAAAAAAGGAAGAAGTATGAACTTTCTCTTTCATTTCTGCTTGAAGGATGACATGCAAAAAAACCAACCCAGTAAATCCTTGGGGCTTTCCTTTTTTTATTATGTGTGTGTGTGTGTGTGTGTGTGTGTGTGTGGCACTAAGGACTGAACCAGGGCCTTGCAGATGCCAGGTAAATGCTCTACCACCGAGCTACATCCCCCACCACTGGGTTTTTTGAGACAGTCTCTCAATGTAGCCCAGGCTCACCTCAAAGTTGCCATTCTCCTGCCTCTACCTCCCAAGTGCTGGGATTTCAGGTGGAAATGGTGTGCCTTTTTTTTTTTTTTTTGCGGTAGTGGGGTTTGAACTCAGGACCTCATTATTAAAATTTAAACTAAAAATAATTTGACTTACAAAAAAGTTGCCCTTCAACCAATTTCCCTAAATAAATAACTACTGTAGGGTTGGCAGATAGCTCAATAACTACTGTAGTACCTGCCTAGCAAGCACAAAACCCTGAGTTCAACTGCAGAACAGCCAAAAACAAATCACTAGTAATAATAAAATACTAGCAAATAAATAATAACACTAAAATACTAACAACTGTCCTATAGACCTTATTCAAATTCAATGACCTCCCCAACACCCTTTTTTTATTCAGTATCCATGCTAGGATAACAGAATGCATGTAGTTGTTATTTCTCCCTCATCTTCTATAATCTCCAATATTTCTACAATATTTCTGTTTTTCGGGGTGGGGGGGAGTAGTAGGATTTGAACTGAGAGTTTCAAACTCTGCCACTTGAGAGACACCCCAGCCCATATTTCTACAATGTTTATCTTTCATGACCTTATGCAGCTAATTGCTAGTTTACCTACCTAGTGGTTGATAGGTACTACCAAGTATTAATAGTTACTAGCTACTGCCTACTTATTTTGTAGAAAATCCTTCAGTTTGGGCTTGCCTAATTATTTTTCCAGGATTCAATTCAGGTTATACATTTTTGACAAGAATAGCACAGAAGTGATGTTGTATTCATCTCGGTGCCTTACATCAGAAGGCACATGATGTCAAGTCTTATTCTTACTGGTGATGTTAAATCTAATCACATAGTATGGTCAGATTTCTTCACTTGGAAATCTTCCTCCCTTTTAAACAAGATGCCAATGCAGAAAGCAAAGTGCTGGCAATTTCTCTACCAATATTTGCTTTACATTTTTTCTTTCCACACAAAAATACTCTTAAATACCAACCCCCACCCCCACCACCTCCACCAATAAGGCTCTAATGGTTTGGCATTAACAAACCAGCCTCCATTCTTAGTGCCCTGGCACAAAGTGTATTTACAAATTAAAAAAAAAAAATAGTGTCTGACGTAACAGCAATGTAATGGCCAAGAAAAATAAGCATATGGGACTGGGATATAGCTCAGTGAGATTCTGGGTTCAATCCCCAGCACTGCAAAAAAAGACCAAAAAAAAAGCATATGTAGAGATATGTGAGAGAGAGAGAGAGAAGAGGAAAAGGAAGGAAGGAAGGAGTTAGGGAGTATTTTAAGGAAAAATACAGAGACAAATGGGGATGGGAAGAAAAAACTCTAGATAAGAGTGGTCAGGAAGAACTTTCCAGGGAGGTGACATTTAAACAAAGACCTAAGGCCACAGCAAAGACAAAAAGGACCTGGAGAGGGGAAAGCCTATCTAGTCACTGGGAAGAGAAAAAGGCCTGAGGAAATGAAAGAGGAAGTAAAAGTACAGTGGAAGATAATGAAAAAGAATGATTTGAGAAGGCCTTATAAATATAGGATGAAGAAGCCATTGGATTATATTCCAAGATCCATGGTAAACCACGGCAGGGTTTTAAACCAGGGACTGACAACAGTCAAAGAAGTTTATCCACCCCCTTAGGAAAGCTCCAATAGGAACAGATTTCATCCCTTGAGTGTTTAGGAGGTAAGGGCTCCTAAACACTTTCTCAGACCTGGATTGAATCTAAGTGTGCTCCACTCCAGCCCTCGACGAGGCCAAATCTAAACTAAAGGGAGAGCCTGGGATGCGTGCGAAGGGTCAAGTTCATGGTCGGCCACCTGTGTGATTTAACCTCTCTGGGCCTCAGATTCCCCAGGAAGACGGTGACAGTACTTCCAGGGGTCGCTGCGAAGAGAAAACCAGCGAAAAGCACGGGAAGGCTTTTGGTACCTTAGAGGGAGACCGTTAGGGGTCGGCCAGTTGCCTCAGATCCCCAGAGGGGGGTGGGGAGGCGAGAGCACCGCCTTCGCTTGTAATAGCAATCAACATTGACGGTGCGTTTGCCCACGGCTCAACGCTCACACCATCCATCTTTCCATCCCGACCACCACCATCCTAGCAGGGGAACGTCGGCGACCCCGTTTCAGAGAGGCGGTTACCCGCCGCGCCAGCGGGTCGGGGGAGGCCTCGAACCCGTGTCCCTCGGTCCGGAGGCCACACTCGGCCTCCCCGCGACCTCCCCAACCCGCCCCCCCACACACACCCAACGCCGGCAGCTCGAGGCTCGGGCTCCAAGCCCAGGCCGGCGCCGGGCCCAGCTCCGCCCCGGGCGCGGCGGCCACGACGCCCGCTTCCCCGGAGCCTCGACCCAGGCCTCCAAGGGGGCGCCGCCGCCCGGGGGCTGCCGAGGCTCGGCTTTCCTGAAGAGAAAGCGCCGCCTCCTCCAGCCTCCGGTGAAGACCCCGCGGCCCCGACATTGCCTCTCCGCAGCCACCCGGGCCGAGCACCCTCTCGCCCCTCTCTTAGACGCCGGCCTCCTTAGCCTCCCAGGCGCGGGCCGCGCTACCCCTCACCAGGGACGACGTGAGGAACCGAGCTGCCCCGCTAGCCACAGACACCGAGCCTCCTCCGTCGGCCGCCGCCGCACCGAACAACGGCCCCCGGAGTTGCCTCACTGCTTCCGACCCTCGTGGAGGAGCGCGCCCATTGGTCAGGGGCGCCGCCCGCTGAAGGTCGATTGGATAGCACCGTTGTCGCTCCCAAGGCCCCGCCTTCTGAGCCTGGATTGGTTCATCTGAGATTCAAGGGGGCGTGTTCCTAGAAGTCTCCGCCCCTACACATCTGGAATGAGAGGCGGAGCTGAGCTGTGAGCCTAAATGCTGGGTCTAAGAACAAGCTAATAATATTTGCATGAATAATACTGTGTCAACATTACTAATATGCCTAATATATTAAGATAATTAATGCCACTTGTTCTCTGGTCATGGACCATTAATACTTATTAGTCATTTTTGTTGAACGCCTGAACCGGGCGCTGGTGGCTCACGCCTGTAATCCTAGCTTCTCAGGAGGCAGAGATCAGGAGGATTGCCTTTGGAAGCCAACCCAAATAGTTCCCAAGACCCTATCTCAAAAATACCCAGCACAAAAAGGGCTGGTGGAGTGGATCAAGTGGTAGAACGCCTAACTAGGCGTTCCAATACCACAAAAAAAGTAAAAATTAAAAATAATTTTTTTACAAGACAAGGTGGTGGGCACCTCTAGTACCAGCTACTCAGGAGGAAGCTGAGGCAGAAAGATTGCTTGACACCAGTAATCTGGGGCCAGCCTGGACACCATACTGAGACCCTGTCTCTTTTTAAAATATATATATTATTTTAAAAAAAATTTTAGTCTTGGACAAGCCCCGACTACACTAACCCTCTATCCACACAAATGCACCAGAATCTGAATTTATGTTCTCATGGTCTAAACATCCCTTCTGGGCTCTGGCAGATCAAGCACTGACTGCAGAAGAATTTCGATAGAGACCCAAGGGAGTGTTGCACCGTCCTTCCCTGTTCAGACAAACTCAAGGCCCTGGCCAGGCTGGGGGAGGCGAATTCCTCTATCTAGCCAACGCTGTCACTCTCAAGTCTGAGAAGCCAATATGGACACCCCAGCCCAGGCTCCCAAAAGCCCCTCAATACTTACTACTCACCTGACTGTCCTTGGTTGCCTCCAGCCTCAGTCCTTCTGAAGACTAGGGATTTTCCCTGAAGACAGGCAGCTTTTCCTTATAGTTCTAGCTGCCAACCCCTTCCCTTCCTCCCACTTTTACTTCCTAGCAGCTGTTTAGAGTCACGGATTCCTGGCCTGGCGCCCAGCTCGGACTGGGACACATGGAAGGCACTCCATACTTGGAGGATGACATCAAGGTGTTCATGGGTTGTAACTGCTTTGTTACAGTTGATGATTTTACTTGTGCTGCTTTATAATAAGCATTAAAAGTTACTTTTGTTTTGTTTGTCCAATACCAAATTTGTTTTTGTGGAACTGAATTCCTTTGCATCCTCCAGCATTCCCTCAGCCTTGCTCCGGCTCCCTCTGAATATTTAAGCTCCTCCATGCTTGATGTTCCTGGCACTTCTTTGGGTGCAAGAAAGGGCAATTTTGGCAGTGAGTGAGTCACTGGATCCCTGGTACCCTATCAAACACCCCATCCCAAATACCTCCTCCTTCTCCACACATTTTCTCAAGTATATCTGGGAGGAAGGGACTATTAGTTTTTGTTTTGTTTTAAATTTTATTAGGGTATAATTATATTCAATGAAGTACATAAATCTTTAGTGTATTGGACAACACAAATTTTTAAGTAACAGCTTTATTAAAGTATAATTCAGCTGGGCACTGATGGCTCATGCCTGTAATCCTAGCTACTCAGGAGGCAGAGATGAGGATGATCATGGTTTGAAGCCAGTCCAGGCAAATAGCTTGCAAGACCCTATCTCAAAAATACTCATCACAAAAAGGGCTGGCGAAGTGGCTCAAGGTGAAGGCCCTGAGTTCAAGTCCCAGTATTGCAAAAAAGCAAGTATAATTCACATGCCATATAATGTCACCCATTTTAAAAAGTATACATTATAAAGATTTTTGGATATAGTCTCAGAGTTGTGCAACCATCACAACAATCTAATTCTGCAACATTTTTGTCATCCCCAAAAGAAACTCCATGCTCATTAACAGTCTCTCTCTATTTGCCCTGCCTCCAATTCCACTCCCAGACTATAATCACTGCCTACTTTTTGTCTCCATGGATTTGCCCACAGACTTTTGTGACTGACATCTTTCACTTAGCATGACATTTTTACAGTTCATTTGTGTTATCAGTGTAGCTGGCTCTCAGTTTCCATGGGAGATTGGACCTAGGACTCCTCCCAGGTACCAAAATCCAAGGATGCTCAGGTTGTTTATATAATACCATAGCTGCCAGGCTTGGTTGTCCATGCCTATAATCCCAGCTACTCAGGAGGCAGAGAAAGAAGGATGGAGGTTTGAGGTGGGTCTGGGCAAAAGCACAAGACCTTATTAAAAAACAAATAAAAACAAAAGGCCTGGGGAGCAGGACTCAAGTAGTGGAATGCTTGTGTAACAAGCACCAAGCCCTGATTTCAAACCCTAGTATTGTTAAAAAAAAAAAGAAAAAAGAAAAAAAAAGAGTCTCTGAGCAGCCATTGAAGGGGAAGGAACTTCGGCAAATCACATACTTAGATGGATTTGATCAAGAGGATAATGAAGCACCAGACTCGGAAGAGGAGGATGACGAGGATGGAGGTGAAGATGATGAAGATGAGGAGGAAGATGAAGCTGGTCCACCTGAAGGGTATGAGGAGGAGGAGGAGGAGGAGACAGGCTCAGAATTGGAAGAAGGAGAGTGGCCTCTCCTACTTAATGAAAGAAGAAATTCAGGAGGAAGGAGACGATGATGACTATGTTGAAGAAGGGAGAGAAGAGGAGGAAGAGGAAGAAGAAGGTCTTCGGGGAGAGAAGAGAAAATGAGATGCTGAAGATGATGGAGAGGAAGAAGACGATTAGATCATTCTAAGATCAAATTCCCCACTGGTCCTGGGTGTGCAATAAAGTGATCGCATCTTCTTTGTTTCTTCATGTACGATAACTTATCCCTACCAGAAAATGTGTAACTTTTTTACTATTTTTGCCTTATCATTCCAATTAGGATTTACTAGTTTGTTAATGATCATATGGTGTGTAGAGAAACTCTTCATGAGTCTCCCATTGTGAAATTCTCTAGCAATGTATTTGGGATCTTAATTGTTCTGATTCGAGCTCACTGTATTAGACATATTTAGCCCTTAATTAAAACATGATCACTTTAAAAAAAAAAAAGAACTTCAAGAGACAATTTAGGTCAAGAGGGCTCTACTGACAGGAGTGGATTAATATTCTCTAACTCTCTCTGTCTCTGCCTTTCTCACTCTCTTGCCCTTCTCCCTCTGCTATGGGATTAAACAGGAGACCCTCAAATTCGATTTACCAGCATCTACAACTGAAAATAAAAACTTCTTTTTTTCTTCTTAGAGAGAGAGAGATTTATACAGAAAAATTTAGAGAGATTTAATTTTTTGCCATGCTGGGGTTTGAATTCAGGGCCTACCCCTTGAGCCATTCCACCAGTCCTTTATTCTGATGGGTTTTTCTAGATAGGGTCTCTTGAACTATTTGCCCAGGCTGGCTTCAAACTGTGGTCCTCCTGATCTCTGCCTCCTGAGTAGCTAGGATTAAGCGTGAGCACCAGCTCCCTGCTTAAATTTCTTTTTGTTATAAATTACCCAGAGTGCTTGCCTAGCATGGATCCCCAGCACTACTACAAATAAAAATAAGAATATATTACCCTACCTTGACTGAGGGTGTAGCTCAGTGGTAAAGCACTTGCTAGCATGTGCCAGGGCCTGGGCTTGATCAGACACCAAAAATAAAAATAAAACTCTCTTTTGGAATTGAGTACAAGGTCCACTTGCTGTTTTCCCAATGGAATTTTAGGCTTCCCGTGAACCTTACAGGCCAGTCTAGTTCCAGGTCCTGCCTTCATCTGGGCTGTACTTTGGCCCTCCAGGTTCCCAACTTCTAGCAAGGCTTGTGGTGAACCATCTTGCAGAATTTAAGACTAAATCCACCACAATCCAGAGGCTCAGGGGGCAGGAGGGCCTGATGGCAAGATGGTGTCAGTATCTGTATCTAAACTGCTTAGCAGTAACACACTGTGAAGGAAGGTCCTGTTAAGGAGGCATAGAGATAAAATACCAAGAGCCAGGTGGAATGAGGAAGTAATGCCAAACTTTGAGGAAGAAACAACCAGTCAACAAGGCCCACCTAGACCAAGCAACTCCATCATGGCCTGCTCCAACCCTTACTGCCAGCAACAGCACTCCCTTGTTGCTCAGCTGTCCAATGCTTCCCTCCGAAGTGCTTTGTTTTGATTTTTCTTCTTTTTTTTTTTTTTGGTACTGGGGTTTGAACTCAGGGCCTACATCTTGAGCCACTCCACCAGCCCTTTTTATGATGGGTATTTTCCAGATAGCGTCCTGAGATCTATTTGCCTCAGGCTGGCTTCTAACCATGATCCTCCTGATCTCTGCTTCCTGAGTAGGCTTGTTTTGTTTTGGGTTTTTTTTTAAGCCTACTCCAACATCTGAGTCAGCAGTGTTTTAATAAACCTTTGCAGCTGGATCCCAGCTACTCAGGAGACAGAGATCAGGAGGATCGACATTCAAAGCCAGCCCAGGCAAATAGTTTGAAAAGAACCATCACAAAAAATGGCTGATGTAGTAACTCAAAGTGTAAGCCCTGAGTTCAAGCCTCCGTACTGCAAAAAAAATGAAAAGGAATAAAGTAAGCCAGGCATCGTGGCACATTCCTGTAATCCTGGCATTCAGGGGGCTAAGGCAGGAAGATCTTGAATTTGAGGTCAGCTTAGACTACATGTTAAAACCCTGCCTCAAACAAAACAAAACAAAGAGGTAGCTAAGTAAAATGAGGCTATTAGGATGGGCCTTATTTCAATAGGACCTGTTGTGAAGACATGACACAGAGGGAGAGCCATGGGAAGACATAGAGGAAAGGTCTACAGGCCAAGGAGAGGTGCCGAAGAAGGAATCAACCCTGCAAACATCATGACCTCCAG